TCTCGTTGATGTTGTTGTAATTATCGTTATTGTTATTATCATTATTATTGTTATTATCACCGTTATCGTTATTGTTAATATTATTATTATTATTATTATTATTAATACATTTCGGTCATCACAGAGATAGTTGCAAGAATATACAGGCCGAAAATCAGAGACCTTAATATAATTGTTGTTTTCTAAAAACCTTTATTTCCATACTGCGGATAGGAAATACGCAACTGTAAATATTTGAGGTAAACATTTTGAACAAGAAAAGTACTCTTCCTCTATAAATAAACTACTTATACAAATCAGATTCTTTCGTTCTAATACCCTTCAAAACGTGTACAGAAAACGGCAGGTGATCACAGAAGAAAGTAATGATGACGTCATCTATACATGTTGAAATATTGTCTAATCCTATCCACGTCTGATGATATAGCAAGTATACGTAATGACGTCACATTGCAACCCCGCCATCGTCAAACTATCATTTGGATAATGACGTTTATTATTTACTGCATTCTGTGCTGTCTTGCACCGTAACCTATCTTCAAAACTACTTTACTGGTGATGATTTGTATAGCACGTAGGGTGAAAATGTGATTCTCTCCTTCCTACTAAATGGTGGCAAAACTCTTGCACACACATGCAGTAACTAAGAGCTGGTATAAGTAAGGCTTAGATCATACTTTAATTTCAACCTGATTCATTGCTCGACAAGAGAACATAATCCTAATTTTTAATTGTCAGGAATTAAATTGTATATAGTAAATAAATGTAAAATAAATGTGTTTTAATATAAGTGCGATTAACCTTGCACAATTTAAAATACACTAACACAAGTATCTCTCTCAGTCGATTAGTAAGAGTTATACAATGTCATTCTCTGATGAAAATGTTAGTTATTTAGCAAAATAGGAAAGGAAGGAGTTATTTATTGACACTCATTTCAACATCTAAAGTTTCTATCAAATGAATATAAAACAAAATATAACTTTCATTTTCCTATGTCCTGCCCTATTTTCTCAAGTCCACGTCCAAAACCACCCATTCCAAGTATATGAAGATCTGGTGTTTACTTGTCAAAGCGGGGGTCCACCTATTTGAATCGCATTTGAAAGCTATCATAGACGAAGCAAACATGGGAAGGCATCACAAGCAATGAAACCCTCCTTGACAAATTGGATGATTACTTTGACTCAAGAAATCTCAAAGTATTTTTGTTCACTTGATACATATCCTTATTTTGACAGCCGTAATCGAATTGTAACCGGGGAGGGTCAAACTTTAGTCCGACTGAAGATATTTTATAATTTCTGTGTGGGTTGGCCGGTCCCGGATAAATTGTCTGTTGGGCCAAGTAGCTTTATGATTCAGGAGGATAATCCGGACAAAGATTTATTTTTCTTATTTTTTGGTGGGGAGGGGTGTCGGGGTATGAACCTATATATACTGTGGAAGTATACATTAATGATCTTTGGATTGTGGAGGTGTACAGAGGATGAATCTTCTATATTTAACATTTATCGATAAGAATTAACGTAGGCCTATATCTGTGTCATGATGCAGACTCTACTATAGGCTATATACACTACAACATACTTTGATGTCACGCTTAGTCACATCATGAAGTTAAATCCGTTTTGTGATTGAAACTTAGTAAAAAAATTGCTTCAAATTTGAATCTTTTAGCTGAACTTTCAATCATCTTGAACTTCTTAGTAACTATGTCCTTTGGCCTGAGATAAATTTGATTTGGACGCCAGTATAACCCGATGTTAATGAAAGTGTAGGTCAATGTTCTCGGAAACTATTTATTTTTCATTGTTTTCCCTTGAAGCGTCTCGTTGAGTAAGGAAGGGGTAAGGGCAATCATCATCTACAGTATAGTGGATGGCCGGCTATTCTAGCTCGAGGCAGCGCCAGCGTGCTAACCGCATTCCTTGCGCCGCACCTTGGGCGGTAGACTGCTAGAGAAGAGCACTAAGCCCGCCTCACAGGATGGGGCTAATTCGGCCTCGAAAGGAGGTCGGAACCAAAGAACCTGGTTAGCGTTTTGTTTTTTTAAGAAGAAAAAGTCACAATTTTTTATTTCAATATTTGATTATTCTTTTCCCTACGTTGAGCCATCCGTCACCTTTAGTATGACAGGTTGTCGATGCCATTCATTGAAGCTATGCAAAGGCAGAAAGAATCACTCTTTCATACTAAAGATTTATAAAAGGTATTCTTTCCATTTACTTCTTGGGTATCTTTTTATGCATAGAATCGACCCCCCCCCCCTCTCTCTCTCTCTCTCTCTCAATTTTTTGGAAAAAAATCTGTCAATTTTTCACTTCCCCCTTTCATGGCTGCATCATTCTCCCCAATCTCTCAGGTCATCCTCTCCTTCTCTCTCTCTCTCTCTCTCTTTCTTTTTTTTTCTCTCCGTCATACACACGCATACACACGCACACACTTACCCACACAAACACCCATCTTCACCCGTTATTTATATATCGTCCTCATAATTGCGTCCCTATCTGTGTGTGTGTTTGCCATCATCAATGTTACAAATAATCGGTTGTTTCTTGTTCGTATAATTATGATGAATTTGAATGACATCTGAATGATACGCGTAGCTCTATAATATTATGACCTAATAGTTCATCTTGAATAGTAAAAGTTATGAAAATGGACTTTTAAAAATAAATTCGTCTTCTAAAGATGTGATAAAGAGATGGTGTCACAAAAATGTGTATGTTTGTTTTTGTGATTTGTTTTACGACATTCTTAATAACCGACATCTGTCATTTTCCTTTATTGAGTCTCAAAACAATACTGTCTGTTCGTTGGTTTATTGGTATGTTTGTTTAACCGTATGCTTGTAAGTAAGCAACCATGGGACCGACCGATGTAAGTCCTCTCTCCAAGGGACTTGGTAATGAGGATTAATGCCTTACCAAAGAACACGAGCGCATCGACTTGGCTTCGAACCCGGGACCTCCCGATTACGAGACCATTGCTCTACCTCTGAGCCATTGCACCTGTCCGTCTATGTTTTTGTTTGTTTTGTTTTCTATTGTTGTAAGTGTCACATACACTCGAGTCTTTGTATGGAAATTGGTAAATTACCAAAGATGTGAAATAGCATAATCATATCTTATGTAATGGAAGGGCCACTTCAACAGCTTAGTTTCATTATAGGAATGCCATGCAAAAAAAGCCCCCCAAAAAAGTTACACTCCAGTAACTGATTCTAAAAATATACCATATATCTACACTTCTCATTTGTGAAACAGGCTATCCACCTGTTCAAACTTGTCCTTTTTTTTGCACAGTGTGTATATATCCCCATATCGCCCGGTGGCATAGACTATAAAGCCTAGATTACTGTTTGGATCAGTGAACAAGCCGAGATGTGCCCGTTAGAATGTATAGTTCCTACTGGTGTAGGTATTTATTCAATCTGTAAAGATAATGCACAAAAAATAACATATTTTGAGTTATCTTGTTCATACTCTAAGTCTGACATGTTCTTAATAAATGGTTTGAAATGTACAATTCCTTTTGTGACCTGGTTCTCATTTATGTTTTCCTTATATATAAAAAAAGAATCTACAAATGCCTGATTAATGAATAACCCATATCCTCTAAATTGCCTAAGTGTTTGAGTGTAGCAGACAATATTGCTTGTTATCAAAAACCAATTTACAAATCACCTTCAGATCTTTAACTAAATCACTAATAACTCACTCACTGACACATTACCTTAAATTCCTATACACAAAAATTGTGCTCCTAACTTCAACCTATTTTCACGTGTACATTATTTACCAAGAACTCTGACTTTTGTTTATAACTTTCCTTTTCCTTCTTGTTTTACATAATCACATCATCAACACATTATTTACATAATTATATCATTAATCCAAAGAACTTACTTCTGTGGCGGGACACAAATTAACATGCTGAAAACGAGCAAATGATGACGAGCTGACAATTCCTTCCTGTCAACGTGTTGAAATGAAAGTGAGTGACAACTGAACATGCCGTACTAAAACCACCGTGAAAGAAATTGCTACGGTATCTTCAGAAAGAAAAATCCAAAGAAAATACGACTCTAACTGTTTGAGCTTACAAAAGTAACGGGAAAAAACGATCTCAAAATAAATACCTTTGCAACGATTGAATTTCCTTAATAATATGAAAAACAACAATTTCATACCAAAACATCCTCCCCACCCAATGAGGGAATTTGTCCTCATGATATAAATGAAGAAAATCTTACATCCAAAAAAAAATGCAAAGATTAATCTGTTCTTAAGTTTACAATGTTTCAAACTTAAAGTTCTCGTGTAACTTAATCTTCGTAACCTTCTGCGGGATAGATTACAGCAATCTTCGTGATCGGGCGACGGTACTCAGAGTTCATAGTCTTTACTTTCACGTTCCGTACTTTACCGTCATCACCCGGAAACACCTCGATTATGCGAGCAATTGTCCACTTGCTACGCACAGAGTTCGCGTCTGCGAACATAACGATATCATCAACGCGTACATTACGTCGATGCACATTCCATTTTCTTCTAGGAGTTAACAGTGGCAATACGTCCCGCGTCCAGCGTTGCCAGAATGAATCTACGATGCGCTGAACCAGCTCTACTCTGTGCCTCGGATTTCGCGTTTCCAAGAATGGACCTTGCGCTACGTTCCCTGATGCTCGTCCTAGAAGCATGTCATTCGGTGAGATGTATCCGCCATCATCTGGATCGGTCGACAGCCTGCCAATTGGTCTCTGGTTGACCAGATTCGCCACCTCAGCCAGACAAGTTAAAAGCTCAAATGGTGCCAACACTTGCTCCCCAATTGCCTTCTTCAAAGCATGTTTGCAGCTTTTGACTAAAGCCTCCGCACAGCCGTTCTGATGTGGTGCTCCTGGAGTGGTAAATCTCCATACGGTACCTCTCTCAGCACAAAAGTCCTGAAGTTCTTCGTTGGACAGTCCCTCAGTCATCTTCCTTAACTCCCGTTCAGTACCGACAAACTGAGTGCCGTTGTCGCTTAGGATGCTGGCCGGTTGTCCTCTCACAGCGAAAAAAACGCTGCAGTACCTGCATAAACTCCATGGCACTGCAATCTACTGCCAGCTCGAGATGAACGGCCCTTGTGTTCAAGCAGGTAAAGATGACTCCGTAATGCTTCGACGTCTTGTTGCGTCCCACTCGCACGGTTAGTGGCCCGAAGTAATCGCACGATGTGAAGTGGAACGGTGGTGTATTCGGAGCTAATCTCTCCCTAGGTAGCTGGGCCATTTCTTGGGTCTCAGTTTTTTGCAGAAAAGCTCTGCATTTAGTACACCTGTACTTGAGCGTTTTGATAAGTTTATGGCCCCGTAGAATCCAGTACTTTAGCCTTATCTTTGCCATTGTTGCAGCTACTCCACTATGACTCATCTCATGAACATGACGAGTAATCAGCTTGGAAACATGATGTCCATACGGAAGAAGAGCAGGATGCTTGTGCTCGAATGATGTCATCGCTTTATCTATCCTGCCTCCTACTCGAATGACTCTATAGTCATCAATGAAGGGACTCAAGGACTTCAGTTCTCCCTTCTTGATTCGTGATTCCATGCCTTTCTGTACGTCTCTGATGATGTACCTTTCTCCCTCCTCTAGTTCTGCGGGAGTCATTCCTTTACTGGTCTCTTTCTCCTGATTTCCCCGTCTAGCCTTTAGTTTCTTCACAAACTTTAACACCAATGTTGCGACTCTGACCAGTTTCCTCCAGCTGGAGAACCTCTCATAATCGATTAGGTCACAACTTAAACCCACAGCTAGAACCGTCTTCTCATGACGCCTCTCCTTCTCAACGTCAGGTAGATTCGTAAGAACCTTCACTTCCTCAGGCCAATCAGATCTTGACTGTTGTAGGAAGTCTGAACCGTGTTGCCATGAACCCTTCAGTTCACTTGCCTTCAGTCCTCTTGACAACACATCTGCTATGTTGTCTACTCCTGAGATATGTCGCCATTTGCTGGGGTCTGTGTTGCTCTGGATCTCTCCTACCCTAGTAGCAATGAACGTCTTGAAGTTCCTTGCCTTAGACCTCACCCATGAGAGGGCTATCATACTGTCTGTAAAGAGGATGACATCATCTATCTCCATCGTCAGCTGCTCTACTATCGTCTTGTACAGTCGGCTGGCAAGAACTGCAGCCTGAAGTTCAAGGCGCGGAACCGTCAGTGGCTTCAGTGGTGCCACTCGTGATTTCGCTGCCACAAATCTTGTCTTGTAGTCTCCATCCTCCGTCTCCCACCTCAGGTATGCACATGCTCCGAAGGCGTGCATTGATGCATCACTGAAGATACATAGTAGCGGCTTCCCAACTACATCCTTCGGAGTCAAACATCTCTCAAACGTTACTTCCTTGAGCTCTTCCATCTCTTGAAAGAATCTCTTCCACTCTATCTGGCATTCCTCTGGAAGAACTGCATCCCAGTCATAGCCAGCTTCCCACATCTTCTGTAGTCCTATCTTTGCTCGGATGACAAACGGTGCTGTGTAGCCAATCGGATCAAAGATTCGAGAAACCTGGCCTAGGATGATTCTCTTGGTTAGCTCCTTATCCAAGAACTTCTCAACTTTCACCCTGTAAGAGAACTCATCCCTTTTTCTGTCCCAGAAGACTCCTAGCACCTTTTCCTCTGCTAGACTCTCCATCAGAGTTTTCTCCATTTCATCTCCTCCTGCTCCCTTTAGCTGTGTGCTTGAAGTCCAGCCTTTCACCTTAAACCCACCATTAGCGAGAATATTGTCAATGCTCTCAGTTAAGGCTTGAGCTTCCTCTCTCGTATTTGTAGATGTGCAGATATCATCCATGTATGAGTCTCTCTTCAACACATCTGCAGCCTCTGGGGACTGAGTGCGTCCCTCTTCTGCAGTGAGCCTCAATGCTGTCTGCGCCATTGCTGAAGCCGGTTTGTCACCGAAGGTAACAACTTGCATCACATAGGTATCAGGCTTTCTATCAACTTGCAAGTCTCTCCACAAGAATCTGTGTACGTGTTGATCAGATTCCGGTATCAGCACCCTATGATACATTTTGGAGATGTCCGCACAGACTGCTACTGGCTTCTCCCGAAATCGTATGATGACTCCAAACAAATTGTTCAACAGGTCAGGCCCCTTCATCCAGAAATCATTGAGACACTTGCCTTGATACACTGATGAAGAGTTGAAGACAATTCGTATCGGTGTGCTCTTTTTCTCTGGTCTCAATACGGCGTGATGAGGGATGTAATGCACAGGACCGTTGTACGACTCCATCTCCTCAGCCGTTAGCTTCCTAGCAAAATCCATCTGAACCATCTCCTTGATTTGATGGTCATAGGCCTTTGCATGCTCTGCATCCTTCATCAGCCTTTTCTCAGTAGCACAGAGCATTTTCTCCACTAGAACCTTATTGTCTGGAAGTTCTCTAGGATCTTTCAACCATGGGTACGGTACCAGCCACTGCTGTCCTTTCTTCTGACAGGCCTTGGTGATTAACTTCTGTTCATCTGTCTCCATAGCTGGACATGCCACACCCATGGACTCCGTCGTCCAGAAATCCTGCAGGTCAATAGGATTTCCAACCACCTGTACATTAAGTACACTTCCACTGCTCTGTCCTGGCTTGCCGCCAAATACCACCCAACCTAGTGGAGTTCGCGTAGCCACTAGATGTCCTCTTTCTCTTGACTTGACGTCACCAAGATGTAGTCTTGCATAATCAGCACCGATGAGTAGATCAACTGACCCGTCTCCTCTGTTGAGCTTATCAAGATCGAAGATCCTTGCAAGCTCCCGAACTTCAACACTTCTGATGTTGTCGTTGATCACATCTAGTCCAATAGCTTTAACATTAACAACTCGATGATTGTCCAAAGACTCTACCTTCACCCGATACCACTTAGAATTAGTAGTCTCTCTATCTCCGCCGATCTTTGTGATCACTATTTGAACCGGATCACCCTCCAGGTTGAGCTTCTCTGCTACTCCCTTTCTGATGAGTGTCACCTGAGAACCCGAGTCCAATAAACAGTTGCCAATGACCGCTCCCTTTGGACCACGAACCTTGACTGTAAGAATTGGCAGAAGAGTTTCACTCGATCCGGTGCTTGCAACATCCACAGTAGATTCCTGGATCTTTATGGTTGAATGTAACAAAGGATGGTGAAAGGAAGAACATCGATCACACTTCTTTCTTCTCCGACATGTAGTCATCCGATGTTCCTTGCCAGCCCGTTTCAGACAGCTAAAACAAGCCCTGTTTTCCTTCATCAACTCGTACCTCTCCTGCTGGCTCATCTTAACGACCTTCTGACACTTATCGACCCAATGATCATTGGATTTACAGAGCCAACACTTAAAGTCTGGTTTGCGACCTTCATTTCCTTTGTCCTCCTGTGTCAGATGGTGTATGAAGGCACCCTGCCTTGGCTTGCTATCTGACCTTCCTTCTCGAATCGATGCAGTTGCCCTGATACGAGTTTGCAACTCCTGGCTCAACCATTCCATTAAGCACTTCAAAGTTGGTGACTTCTGTTGACGTAACCAGATTTTACGATCTTCATTCGTAAGCTTTCGCTCTATCAATGACAACATGTGAGAATTGTTCATGTCCTCCTCCTTGTTGATTTCCTTCAGAGTGTTGTAGCTCCTCCTCACTAATCCTGCTAGTTCAATGAACCCTTTATCATCGCCGTCTTTCAAGTTCTTGAACTTTGTGATGTCGTAGATGACAGCATCTGCGACATTCCTCTGATCACCGTAGATGACATTTAGTTGCTCCCAAGCTGCGTTGTAGTCTGTTCCTATGCCTTGAATCACTTCAAGTGCTTTGCCTTGTAAACTAGTACGCAGAATGGTTATACAGTCCCTCTCCGAGTATTTGGACTCGATAAGATGTTTAAAGTCCGATTTGAAGGTCTGGTACTCTCTGATGTCTCCTGAGAAACGTGGCAACTTTGGTTTCTCTATCTGTACATGACATGTTGTTGTGTTTCTCACTTCTGACCTTGGGCTTTCAGCTTCTCTTGTGGTGTCAACCGTGTCATCCGCGCCGGTACTATTGCCTACATAGTCCACAACCTTCACCTTCATCTGCATGAAGCTATTCATGCAGTCCTCCATCCACGCCTGCTCTGCTTCATACGCGTTGTCATCGAGAACCTCAGAATAGGCATCATGTTTTGCCTCCACATTTTCATACAGTTTGCGGAATTCGTGATAGCTCTCATCTACCTCCTTGATGGATCTTTCAGTGTTCAAAAGGGCCTGTAGTTGGTTCATACCCCTTGTGAGCTTCCCTTTTGCCGTTCTCCTCTTAACTTTCAGCTCGCCTGCAGTTTCAGCCATCTTGTCCGTCTGATTCCAATCCCGGAGTTTCGTGAGAAATTGAATTATGTTTGGATCAGTGAACAAGCCGAGATGTGCCCGTTAGAATGTATAGTTCCTACTGGTGTAGGTATTTATTCAATCTGTAAAGATAATGCACAAAAAATAACATATTTTGAGTTATCTTGTTCATACTCTAAGTCTGACATGTTCTTAATAAATGGTTTGAAATGTACAATTCCTTTTGTGACCTGGTTCTCATTTATGTTTTCCTTATATATAAAAAAAGAATCTACAAATGCCTGATTAATGAATAACCCATATCCTCTAAATTGCCTAAGTGTTTGAGTGTAGCAGACAATATTGCTTGTTATCAAAAACCAATTTACAAATCACCTTCAGATCTTTAACTAAATCACTAATAACTCACTCACTGACACATTACCTTAAATTCCTATACACAAAAATTGTGCTCCTAACTTCAACCTATTTTCACGTGTACATTATTTACCAAGAACTCTGACTTTTGTTTATAACTTTCCTTTTCCTTCTTGTTTTACATAATCACATCATCAACACATTATTTACATAATTATATCATTAATCCAAAGAACTTACTTCTGTGGCGGGACACAAATTAACATGCTGAAAACGAGCAAATGATGACGAGCTGACAATTCCTTCCTGTCAACGTGTTGAAATGAAAGTGAGTGACAACTGAACATGCCGTACTAAAACCACCGTGAAAGAAATTGCTACGGTATCTTCAGAAAGAAAAATCCAAAGAAAATACGACTCTAACTGTTTGAGCTTACAAAAGTAACGGGAAAAAACGATCTCAAAATAAATACCTTTGCAACGATTGAATTTCCTTAATAATATGAAAAACAACAATTTCATACCAAAACAATTACATATTTGTGTGTGCGAGAGGACGTACGAACATTTGCCAAGGAAAAAGCACCACATCTGTTCAGTTTTAGATATGTACTTTTCAAATAGTTGACAGTCAAATATAGAGCAATAACATTATGATCACTTGAGTTGGTTGATGCTCAAGAGGGGTAGAAAGTCAGGTTTACGATGTTCGTCTATTATGTGAAGCATGAGTTTACCAGATGATGCTCTATTCATGATTAACTTATGAAACTGTGTAGTTCGGGATAATGCTAGATTTGATAGAATGTCAACATCGTCAAAAAGGGAATGCTTGAAACTAAGGATATCAGAAGAGTAACAGGGTTTTAAAATCAGTGTAGGCCTACCATCAAATAACAATGAGTGACGTGTTCAAATTTAATTGAATCATCTTTAAATAAAGAGACAAATGGCAATTTTCTTAATTTGTGATTGTTAGTATCTCTTTATGCTGTACACTAGACAGTGTTAGGCAGACCTTGATAACTGTTTAATGTAATTCCTATTACAGTCACTCATAAATCGACACTACGAATAATGGGATGAATACGAACGAAAAGTGGAAATAATTACTTTTTCCTTTCGTTAAGAGCTGTCCTGAAAAGGGCTTTCTTTGCGAAGCTAAACGCAATTGCACAGTCCTCATAAGGAGATCTGTGCTAGGAGGGGAAAGCATTGGATAACAATACAAATATATCAGCGGTGGGTCCTGGACTTAGAATCATGACACCATACCTGTTCGCACCTAGCCAAAGAGACGCCATCACCTCCGGCAGGCTTAGCCCGCTTTATCCCGCTTAGCTTTCACCTCAAATACTCCTCAAGTGGGGGCCAGATAGAATTGCTTGGCAGCCCCCCATGGCCTTATTTCTCCTTTGTGTGCCACCTCTTCTCACCCTCTCACACCCCTCCTTCTCTTTTACATTCTTAACATCGCTGGCACCGACAGTCGAGTTTCTTACAGAAGAGAACTTCAATGTAGAAAGACAATGCACAAAATAATTGATATCAATTTATTTCGAAAGTATGAATTGATGTGGCATGTCTTAATGAAACACATAAATACGAACTGATTTATCAAGTTTGAGAAACCATCATCTTTCGACTTTTGATAAAGGGGGCTACTCCATATTCTGTCTGTGAGGTATGATGTATTGAGAAATCCCCTAATGTCTAGGTATGCTCTTATGGGTGTTGTGTTGTCGTTACGATCACGACTGTTTGGGATTTACTCTCCACAGCATGCTTAGGTCATCACCCATCGACTACCCACGTGCATGCGAGACACGAGCACACACGCACGCATGTATACGCACACAGCGATCGGGGTAGCTAGTGACTATCTTGTGAAGTATTGGAGTGATTCCATACATCCATCGGTGAAACCAAGAGGGCCCTGGGCACATGCCCCCACCCCACCCCATAGGAATGATTCGTTCACTTTATAACACTGCATAAGGTCTGTCCTTAATCAAAATGTCAAGTTTTAATAGTAAACTGAAAATGTTCGCTTGGTCGCTACACTCTCTCGCAGATTACTCGATGTACATGTAAGAGTATGATTTAACGCGCTTCACCACGAAATAATTCGTGGCCCCCACCACTGAAAATTCCTCGCTATGAATCCCACCTTTATTCTTGATTTTGTATAAGGATTTCCTTAAAAGAATTTCATATTTTACGGTGCATCTTACTATGAACTTTTTTTTTAAATTCTGCAGCATACAAAAACAGTAACTATGATTTTGTTCACATCATCATTACTTACATAAAACGTAAAATGGATTTTAAAATATAAACATTTTGTGAAAAACGCAAATATTCATCCTACATGAAAGTTATTACACCCGCATAATAACATGTGAATATGCTGTTTGGGTTATAATGCGATTACCTGAGGCTAATATTTCAATGGCGCGCTACAAATTCAGCGTTCTAAAATTAAGGAGGAGTAAAGGCATACCAAACGTGGTATTTAAATCAACCACAACAAACTTGAGCGTAATTACTGCTTAACAACATATCTCATTTACATGAGTCTACAATAAAAGTAGTTGACATAAATTAACCTTTTACCTTCAAGCCATATGCATAGTTCATGCACAATAAAGTCAAAGCAGCTTCTCTATTTATGTGTCAAGATCAGAATACTCTGCATGCTTAAGTCTCTAGTCCATCTAATCATTTGGGGAAAATTAGAGTTATTTTTATAAACATAAAATCTAATGGTCTAAATTTTTGACATCTAAATCGTCCAGTGATTGAGTATGTTGGAAGTGCTATGATGAACATACCACCAACAATGCGTGGGTGAAAACAGCGATTAGGAGGATATCCCCCTAAAAAAGAAATAGTTGGTCCAAACCTTCAAACCACTGCACCTGTTGTAGTGGAAATGACATTGTAATATGGGTAGCAATTGCTCCTTTCTTTCGGACGGGAGAGAAGGAGAGAAAAGGAGGAGGGATGGAGAGACGGAGACGAGAAGCGACCAGGCTACATCGCTAGACAGGCAGCCGGGCGAGGCAAGACGGAGGCTTGAGATGGCGTTCCCGCTGGGAGAACCGCTGCGCCAGAAATTTGGACACGTAGCTACTGTCAATTGGGTTGCAATATTGTGTTATTGTTGTGAAAACAGGCTTGACAGATTGGAACAGGAGTAGGCCAACCCCTGGGTGTTTCAACAACCAATTTCCAGGACCAAATTGAAGAGAAAAACTGTAGCGAGTATACGATGTGATGATGGGGCATCATGAATGCTCGTGATGTGTGTACATTGAACATTGACTTACGACGGTCTACTGAAGATTGATTGCAGCATTCGCTCTTGTTTTGCCCATCCCCTATGACCGTGACGACTATGTTTACTTTATTTGCATTATATTGTATAAGGTGCTTCAACATTAAATACGAAATGAGAGAGAGAGAGGGGGGCCTGTATATGTGTGTGTGAATGGGGAATGGGCGGGAAAGTACATGAATAGTTGAAAAAGTATAACAGTTTAAAAGAGTTAAATTAATGAAGGGGCAGAAAGAATCGTATTGAGATGCGTGTGCGCGTGCGTGTGCGTGTGTGTAAGTGCGTGAGCGCGTTTGTGCGTATGAGGGTGGGATTTTGTGTGTTGGCGTGGGTGTGCGTGCGACGGTGTGTGTGCGTGTGTGTGTGGATGTGAAAGAGAAATCCTTTTCTTACTTCTCAGAGACTTTGTGATATAAATTCCATTCGTCTTTAAAGTTTCAGTCCAGATTAAAACAATTTAGAACTGTTATCCCTGAAGATGTCACACTTCAGACATGTGGATGATTTAGAACGACAGAGTTTGCATTAGATTACATTTTAAGATTACTAACTTGAGGCAAAAAGTGTCAAAATGTGTTAAGATTGAAAGGTATATTGTAATCACCATCTCCTAACTGTCAATGAAGCTCTTTCGAACTTTGAAATCTTTGATTATTTTCACTCTTTTCTATATTTAAACATACATCTTAGGATTAGATAATGTAAAAATTTATAAGCACAGGGAGAAAAATATTACATGATAAATAAGACTTGTGATAGATATTGGAACGATTTCGCTTTCGATTATGCTCTGGAAACACTTTTGATTACTCTAATAACTCACTTCACTAAAAAGAATTACGAGAATGACCTGTATTGTTGATTATATTATTCTGCATCTAATTAAACAAAATTATATCTAGGTAATTAGATATAGAATAAAAACCTGCAAAATGCACTGTTTATTTGAAGAAAGCTTCGATCACTAGAACAATAGACATGATTTAAGTGCTTATTACTTTTATATTGAACTTGAGAGTTTACATACAATAAAAGTTTTGTGACACAAATATTGATATAAAGTTTGAAATGAGATATTCTTCCCATAAATTCAAAAGCATAATGTAGCTGTGATACATTTTTAATAGTTATTTCAACATCACCTTTACGACTACATACATGATAACAAATATTGAATTAGGCATATTTTAACAACCCCCAAAAAGAAATTTCATTTCCAATCACAATTATAAAGTTATATAAGTTAAGCCATTGATTAAAAAAATATATTAAAATCTGGAAAGCCACTGATATAAACAAAATATTAAAATCTGGTACGAGCTTCGATTTTTATCTTTGATTATTGTTTGTGAATGTTGGTTTTTGATAGTTGAAATCAATACATTTGGAATCTTCTATTTAGGCTTTATTTTTTCATGATTGACTTATGTATATAATCAACTATATGTAAACATGGTAAAGAAGTAGTAATTAAACGTTCGACATCTTCCTTAGATGTCTTCCTCCTTTTTAAATCAATGTCTGGATTTAATCATAGTTTATTAATAAACCAACATTTGTCATTTGTGAGAACTTAAACGAGACCACACATTCCGACAAAAATCATCTATGAAGATAGAATTACATTTTTATTACGAAATGTCTCCGAAGGACAACAATTTTCCAATTTAAAATATAATAGAAGTATAAGAAATAGTATATATGCAAGCATTTCCAATTTAGGATAGAAGTCTTGGGACGCATCGAGTTTCCAGGTATAAAAAGAAGAACTATGAATTTGAGAGCGCGGTAAGGTTTAGAGTTTGTTTCTTCAGCTAACGAAGCTCGTTACAATTGATTTGGAGAAATGATATGCACTTGAGTTTTTGTTCTCAAAATTTAGAAGTCATTGCATCCCGTTGGGTTTATTGTGTTACTGTGTGCCGTCTGGCCCCGAGCATTAACTCCGCACAAAGTAGTTCGACTGAGGGCTTGTTTAATTTTCTACATGTGTGGCGGGCGGGCAGGTCGCTGGAATGTATACCCCGGAGTTATTCAAGAAAACATCCTGATTGATTTCTTTCTCTCCACCTCTTCCCCTCTCTCTCTCTCGTCTTCAGATATAGTCTAGCCACCATTTTGGAGGTTCATATCATACTACATACACACGGGAAATGAATTAGGATCCTTTTGTTGCAAGATGATGAAATACTTGTTAATTTAGAACATCTGATTTTTTACTATTTTAGATTATGAATGGCGTATTCCTTATCTTATGTTTTACATCATTTACAAATGTATAGACTCAAAATAGATATGTCACAAATGATCTCTCTATCTCTCTATAAGACTTTAGGCCTATAAGGCTATCGACAAACAAAAAGTTGATAAGATCCCATAGTTTAGATGAAATACATTAATTCCTTTCATTGAAATTCATAAAAGGCGCGACCTCAAAAAAAAGTCATTAACGAAAATGAGTTTGACTGTTTCCTTTCTTTCATTCGAAATTTAAGAAGTCGGCATAAATCAAGATTATACAGGCCTAGAAAGGAAGGAGGTATTAATAACGTAGTTAAAGAAGGTGTCATTTCAGCTAGAAGCTCAGACAATTGGCTAAATGTGTTTTCAAGAAGCCTTTTGAATCACGCGGTACATGTCATATACTTACCGACTAATTCGGATAAATTTATTTTCGTTGTGTGGCCCCGTTGTCACCTTAAAGACGAACAATAACATGGCTTGATTTTATGCACGTGTGACGGTCGGCCAAAGAGAAAACATGTTTCATTATCATCAGCCGCCTCAAAGTGCAATAGGTGTCACGTGATAATTGGTAGGTTAATATGCAATGACAGATGACTTATTCGTCGGGAGAACAGAAGAATGGGATAGAGTTTGAATGAAAGGATGGGTACCGGTGAAAAATAATGGTCAGGCAGTTCGTGATAGGGGGTGAGGGAGACAGGAAAGAAGGGAAGGTAGGGAAACAGGGAGGGAGAGATAGAGAGAGATGGATAAAAGAAGGTGAAAAGAGAAATATAGAGAGGGGAAGGGTAATGAAAATAGTAAGCTTTGTAATTATGCATTTAGCATGATTATCCTCTTTATATAGAAATGGATTTTATTTTATTTTTATTTTTTAAATAAATAGTTTCCTCAATATTGTTGACCATTTCCTTTTCTTGTGAATGCAAAATATGCATGCACTGGTCAAGTTTTTTACTCTCTATCATTATGATGCACCGTGATATATGAATATGACTGCAATTTTCATGCATTCCTATTACTTCTCAAAGATTGCAAGTATTCATTTTTCGATAGGTATGTTTAAAATATGAAGTAAACTAAACGAAAACTGAAAGTGGGTATATTTTGGTATGATTTTGTTTATATTTACGGTACTATTTTTATATGTTTAAATGTCTTCACCTGAAATTGTAATGTGAATTAATCTTTATTCTTTTAATAGATACACAAGGATGATTTCACTTTTAAGAAAAGAACATATATATTAGCAAAATACATATTGACAAATGTTGAATTCGAACTGTCATCTTATCTTATCATAATGTTTTTTTTTTGTGTGTGTGTTTGCGTGCGTGTGTGTGTGTGTGTGTGTGAAAGTGTTTTTTTTTTTTGTTGATGTTGTTCTGATGATTTACACGGATATTTTAATCTCAATACGTCTATCTGGTCATTGCATACAATTGCATCTTTTCCATCAGTGTAAGCTTCCCAAATATCGAAATCAACAGACTTCCCACACTAGGCATTTAAATTCTTATAAAACGACATGATATAGTGTGATGGTTTCATTGTATTTGTAAAACTGTATATTTCTCATCCGTCTGAATTCAATCATTATAAGAAAGCTTCTTATAATGATTGAAAAACTTCCCTTCTTTCAGTATTTTTAGACACGTATCAGTTCACAAATTTCCTATTCAAAACACTTTTTCAATTGAGTAGAAATTCTATATTGAGGACCCAATCAGAAGAAGGCGTATAATTATATCCTAGATGATGACCCGAAAGAATAAAACATGCAGTTTTTAAAATACTAGTTATCAAACCCCCAATGGGCGACACGATTTCCCAGACTGTATTAAGTGGTTACCCATTAAACACGTTAACGTCCTTACTTTGTAATAATTTTTTTTTTTTTTTTTGTACAGCCAAGTAATTTGTACTCATTACTTTTCACATAAAGAGGAATCCTACAAAAAGGGTGGGTTTGCAGACGAAATATTTCTAAATGCTTCCGATACTTTTTTTCTCGGTTTGTCGTCAGTCTGGTATCTGTTCATTGACCTCAGCAAGTCATAGTATTAGCTCTAAGATTACAGAATGAAGGGGTGAAACCTTAACTGATGAATCCTTATATCTTTCTCGCCTATTGTGATCATTATCGCAGAAATTTTTTAGATGCCAGATGATTTGATGTTTTCTGTTGTCTGGGTACCAACTTTGTTCGTAAACAAGATTTCACTAAGTTGGCGAAGGACACTCCATCGAACTTGGCGTGATTCATCAATTTGGAAGATAACCTGTATGGCCTTACAATGAAATGGTATCGGTTGTTATTGATTCTTTGACGACAAATGGATTCGGTGAAGACAATTTAGTTTGGTAAAATCGTATTCGATTATCTTTCCTTTCAATAGTGGCTTGAAAGGAATGCATTGAAAAGTATCTATTCGTATGTCTGACAGGTATCAATTTTATCCTCCGATGATGTATTTGCGAATAAACCAAGCATTGTTTTTCGTAGAATCGTAAAGTGAGTTGGTTTAGATGGATGACTCATGAGTGTTGTTGTTTTTGCTGAATTGGAACAATTTTCCTCTTTTTGCTGTGAAAGCTAATTTATATATATATATATATATATATATATATATATATATATATATATATATATATATAGAGATTGTCTTGTGATCTACAGTAGACGTATATAGCTGTTACTCAATTAACTAGATTAATACATGCGGAAAGCAGATGACCTTATATATAAAAGCCACCGGAGACAGGAAGACATTGGATGATGAGACCAGAATCATCGCGAAGAAAGACATTTCTCCCCTTATTCGATCTGGACAAAACAAATTCTAGAAGTCTATTAACTTTAGGTGTTGTGATGACACCCATTGATTAAAAACGGAACGCGTAGTCATTTCCAATTGTGACAGAAAAGTGTTGGCCTAATTTTCAACAATACCTATGTTTATTATGCGAGTGGTGAAGTTTTGTTTCTCTTTTCATGTAATACTCAATGTAATATATAAAAACCACATGGTTTCAAAAAAGTTAGGTATTTATTTCTCAAAAAGAGATTAGAGTTTATACCGATATCCAAATTTTGAATTCGGTTGAAAATACTGTTTATAATGACAGCCAATGACTGCAGAGTACAAAGTGGATAAGCCTATAGACTGATTGCTTTGCTGAGCTCCCTTTTCTTTGAATTATGTCTGTGTAATCTATATCATTAATTTAAGTAGTGAAGGCCGGCAACATAGAATGGATTAATAGTACAAAAAATGGTATGTCGTCAGCCCAGATACAGATCTTTACGAACGTGTGCAAGGGAGTATTAAGTCGGCGTCTTTACAATACCCACAAAGGCATATTAATTAATCAGACAATGGAAGAACAGGTGGCAAAAGAAACCCAATACAACAATATTTAAGCGGCACCCCTCCTGCTATTATCCACCAGTTCTTCCTGTTTCTCTCTTCTCCTTTGTCTCTGGTCTTTTATGTAAATACGTCTGAGGCCTGTAAGTGTAAAGTCGGCCCTTTGGCAACTGTAATGCAGAAAAGATTTTCCGCCGAAGATTTGGGAAAAGAAAGAACGAGACAAAAAGAGCCACAGAGAGAGAGAGAGGGAGAGAGCGACGGGGAGAGAGAAGGAAAGAGAAAGAAAACGACAGAAAGGAAACGGTGGATGAAAGGTGAAGAATTGGAGAGCCAGATTAAAAGGGAGGTACTAAGAAAGAGAGAGGGAGAGACTGGGTGAAGAGAAGAAAGGGAGAAAGGGATGAAGAGATAGAAAGAGGGAGAGAGAGAGAGAGAGAGAGAGAGAGGTAGGGAAAGAGAAGGACAAGGGAAAATGAATCAAGACAGCACTAAGAAGAGTGTGAGCAAAAGGTGGAAAAGATGAGCTTTGTTTAGGTATCGGGGTCCAAGATTGTAGTACAAAGAATGTGCGATCTTCGGCGGGCGGTGATTGAGTAGACGATATGGAGCGAAGAGAAAAGAAGGAATTGAAACTGTGTACAGAGGGTAGAAAGGTATGGGTTTCTCGACTTAATTTTTTTCTTTAATATTCTGTAAGTCGGTACGGCACGATCACGTGTGTATTTACTCAACGACAGATTTCTCAGTGTGCCGATCCTTCGGGCTAGGTAGCTCAGCTTGCTTCGTTCGCCGGCTAGCGTGACGGATTCCGATTTACTAAGCAGACGACCCGAGACATTGATACTTCTACATCTCCCGCGCCTTTTCTTTTCATTGCCCTTCCTCCCCACACATCACGTCATTTTCTTCGACCGATATGAACATGTCCGTCCATCTTATGCAGGACTTAGGAGGTTAAGTCTCGCTCGGACTGGTTGTTGCCATGTGACGTCATCAATCTGATCTCTCAGGACAAACTTTGGACATTGTTTCTCTTTTCCTTCTTTTTCTCATCGCTGGAAGATTTTGTGGATAAGCGTGACAAGGGAGTCGCTAAGAAGTGTATGTGCTTGTGTGAAATGGATCGTTGAAGAATCTGTATCGAGGCTTGATTGCTATTTTATCCATCGGGCATCGCTGAGCCATGCGGCCCAACTTGGTGTGGTTATTCCATATCATTCTGCTGGTTGAGTTCTCACACCAACCCAAGCTCTTGTAAGTACAACATAGTTTGTATATCATACAACAGAATCCTCAAAATATCAACGCTGTCCTACATTAGTTTCATATTTTGGGGTTCCTCCAGAATTGGAAGAGATGTTTAAATAATGAATAGTTCCAGCATAAGGTGGGATGACAACAACGGTTTGGTTGCCCAAATTCATTGTCATTAATGAGTGGTACTGGCCCAAGGCATTTACAATATAAGTGTCCCCTTTTTTTCTCTCTATAGTTTATTCTCGTTGGAGGCTTGTAATCTATGTCTTTGTAGATTAAATGTATGTGCATCTCACATACGGGACCGGTCTTTTAATTAGCCCACGAATGTTATAAACAGGCCCTACCTTCAAAGTGACACTCGTTCTTGAAACAAATTATTAGATTGGCGATATTATTAATTTCAAAATAAGAGACCATAAGGAAGAAATGCTTTAGTTTTCTTTGTACTTTTTTCCTTTTCGCTCCAACGTAAACACATGACACTAATGTTTCTTTTATGATGTAGGATGTTGCTGTTTTTTAAGTGGAGTATTAAAGGCTTAGTATAATTAAGTTAACGTATTGGTAACTAAACAAATCTTCACAATTCCAAATTAGTGTTTGGTTAAGTGATTGGTTTAAAGACACCTCTGACTCATCCACCATGATCACCATCAACAACAATCAACCCCAGAACAAGGGGAATGGTTTCATTTCATAACAGTTCATAAAAAATTGTGCCGCAACAAAGAAAGACATCTTCTGAAAAGTCGAAATATTATTCTGATTGTCGCTGTTTCTATCAAGTCATAACTCGGCGTCAAGGTTGTGCCAATGTTTGTGTGGTTGATCCAATACCCCCGGGAGGAAATCCGTGGTTGAGTCCCTGCCCCTCCCGGGACACTCCCAAAACTCAACTGGGTTCCCCCACATTCTCATCAAGAGGACCTGCGATGCACCGTCCCTGTAGCTTGGAGCTGACTCTGCGTGGCGCATCTGGTTAGCCCCGATATGTAGCCCGCATGTCCTCACCAGAAGAAGGCGTTCCCGCGGGTAGTTGGCGGAACTGTGATATTTCCCCCTTAATAAACCAGGAGGGCATGTTCTCACCCCCACCTCGACTGCCAAGTTAATAGTGCGTTAACCCCCGACCATGCAACACACACTTAACTTGTTTAATAGATTGAGATAACTCGATGACTAAATGTTTAACATTCAAATGTGCAGTAGGTCAGTCTTCATTATTTCACCAGGGGCATACTTCAAGATTTTATCGATGCAACGTATCTTTAACGATTATTGCGCAGATCCTATATACTTTAAATAAACGAAATATTAACAGTTAACGCATTCACATATTTCTTCAAGACAACGTGATGCACGAATATCGTTCTGTCCCTTACATTACTGAAGTATGAAAAAAAAATCTGTGTCTATCTCTTGATTTTGATAAATGGCGTGTGTATTTTCATATGTCCACTGCTTTGTCAGCTAAATACAACATATCAGCGCACTAACGAGCCAGTATAGAAGGTACTGAGCACTGAAGATGAATTACCACGAATGCTAGCCTCCTCACTCAAACTGTTTTGTACCTCCCTTGTTTTAATATTTTCGGTGTAAAGGGAAACGAACGATTTATTTTTCACTTTAATAACAATACTGTTTGAGACTCATGGATATGTCTAATTCTTACTTTGTGACAAAAAGAAACCAGTGAGTTGTTTAAGGTGCAGGCAATTTAATAACCATGATATGCATTAAGAAATAGTTAGGCCTCCCACGGTGTTTGGTTAGTTGTGCATTATAAATGAAGAAGAAAGACAGCAAATGTCTTTTTTAGACGTATTGCATTGGATCTTCGACGTTCAATAGATATAATTTTATAACAAAATAATGTACATGTACCAAAACTTCGTAAGAACAATCGTGGCAGTCCATTAATGCATTTATGTGAATATGTTCATTTAGATTGAGCTATGAGTGCTTGCATATTTGTATATTTGTGTATGTGCGTGTGGGGGTGGTGTGTATGTATGTATGTAATTTTTCATCTATGTATACATATTTATATACTGTAGATCTCACTGTAGAAATACCTAGAATTTCCATCATAATAATATTTATGAACAAAATAATGCTAATCCTGGAATCATGTTTGCTCAAAATTGTTCTTAGGCTGACGACCTTTGATTATAATTACCTATCGTGGTTCTTATTCATCAAAGCCTACTTCGACGTTCTCTTATCAAAATATTGTCCCCTTTATGTTACTTTTATGACTCAATTTTGAACTCGCTGTCCCATTCCTTCCGCAAGTACAGCACAGACCCGAATGGGGGTTGATGACAAAGCTCTATAAACCCGTCTGATCTGAACCTGTCTAACCCAGTCAGGTAGTGTACCCTTGAATGGAAACTAATCATGTTGATGAACATGGATGTTTATGCGGTTTGAATCAATGTTGACTCACTGGTATGTGTATCCATTATACAGACATACACACGCACACTCACACGCACACGCACACACACACGCATACCAGTGCGGGAGAATTTCAAATCATTCCCACGAGAACCAAACATTAACCCTTAAACCAGCGAATATGTAATACTTGTTACTGTAATTACAGTTTTGAGAATGATAGGGGTTAAGAAGACAGGGGTGCATCCCGTAATCGTTTTCATCCAACAAGTGTCAGGCTTGATCGTATTTTGAGGTCTTTATAAGAAGTAGAACGAAAACTAGGCCAAGCCACATCTTTCTATGATATTACTATTAGTATTAGGGGAGAGAACGCATCAAAGTTTGCAAAGTGATCATCGTCATTCGGCACTCATGTTCGTATTGCCTTGTCCTGGGTGATGGTCTTACTTATCTTATTCTTCTGCCACGGATTTGTTTAGTACTATGAAACATTATATAGTGCATGCTCTTTTCTCTTATCAACCATCGAAACACCCTTAATAATTAAAGAGATCCATATGCTGAATCAGATATGAAGTATTTCCATTAATTTCTTCAATCATCTTAAAAACGACCGCATGGAATTAAAATCTTCTGCACTTTTAGTTATCAATCCAAACATGAGAGTTAATCGCTGATTTACAAATACTGTCTGACGGCCATGACTATGAAAAATCGTGCACATCTTGCCGCAATAAGAAACAGACGTCACCAAAAACATTTGGACCCCATTTATTCTTAATTGATAAGTTCTCATTCCGCCCATTTGAGAAAACAGAATGCAAGTTATCTCCTACGTCATGTACTATCTGATATCCCAGAATTTCTGCGTGTGAAGCCAATCGTAATTGCAAATGACTGGTGTTGTCGAAATTAAGATGACTTCTCTCTTTTCGTGCTTCTTTGCCTGATCGTAATCCAGCACGTTCGGCATGATGTCAATTTGACTTTCATAGGACTAGTTTGAGAGGGGCAACCATTGAGCGTTTCCATACGCTCCAAGAGGAGCAGCATGGCGGTCGGTATTTCAACGAACCGGTTTGAAGACCTCGTTCATTTACACGATGAAAGATGTGACAAAAGCGATACCCTCTCTGGTTATTTCTCTCACTCATATTCCATATTTTTTCCACTCTCCAAAGTTTCATTCTGGTTCTTTGCTTATTTTGCTTCGTATCTTTCACTGCCTTCCTCTTCTCCCACCCACACTCTTCCACCAGACCTTTTCATCACTCTCTACTTGAAAAGGTTATCCTCACTTTCTGTTTAAGAAACCTCTAGAAATAATCCGTATGAAAATTTTACTCGAAAAACGAACGCTTTAGTATCTCAACTAAGGGCTTCAAAGGAATGCTTTATACATGTACATGTATATTTTTGTATGGTCGTCTTGTGAACGATCTAATGGTTGAAAAGATGTAATTTCTAGAAAAGGGTGTTCTATTTTGATGCGTTTTAATATTGATCGGGAATTCAATTGCAATTTTGTAGTGTTTTATTTTAAACCGATAAGTAGCAAATGCTCTTGGTAATATGCTTGTTTATTTTATCAGATAAAATAAACTGTTTATTGGTGAATACGATTTGTTGTGTCCGATAACAGCAATGTGTATGAAGTACAGCCGAAATCTTTTCTATTTCATTACAGTAACATGCCTGATCCTACTTCCAGCTTTAATCATAAGGAAAATGTTTTATTATTTTCTGCGTCGTTTATTAAGTAAAGTTAATGGAAAATAGAATGTAGTTTTCTTGCGTGTACTCCCTTAGAGACATAGCCACGTATTAATTCATGATTGGATTCGACATCACATGGTGAGCATTGAATTCATAGAAGTCGGACTTTAACGTGATGTGAAACACATTTTTTTCAGATGAAATGAACAAAAAGGAAGAAATATGTCGTTCACCAGATTGAAGGGTAACATGATAGTCACGTGTGAGTTCTTATGAACGTGATCCCAACCCATGTCGAATGCCTATTTTGATATCGTAGCGAGCCCTGATGTGATAAGAACTATGTCCGTTCCTCTTCATCTGGCAATGGTGTTGATACCAGTGATGTCGATGGGGTGGGGTTACGAAGTCGGTTGCCATGGTGATAAGGATAGAAAGTATGAAAGGATGGAGATGATGGCAATACTGGCGACGATGGCTGTGGTTGTAACGAGAGCAGCGATGACAATATCACTAGAGTGTGTTTGTGTGTGTCTGGACAACACTTTGACTATTCTTATTAATTTTAATTCAGTTTGATTCGTACTATATCAAAGCAGATATCAGTTTGTGAAATTCCGAGTGGAGACACGCTGTTGTGCCCATTTATCTGTGCATCATTTAACCATGCGTGGTCTGCAAGATGTTTCGACTTGTTTCCATATGATATTTACTCTAAACGTTACGGTTACAGTAATTAAGGGTTTATTAACCGTTTATCCAAACAGTTCAAATCATAAAATACAAGTTCAGAGCCCTCTTAACGACAAGAAAATATGCATGACCTGGATACTGATGCGTAAGGTGACAAATCGATATGAGAATAAAACATGTCAAGGTGATGTGATTAATCATATCTAGATACCTTGTTTAATTTAAGCAAAGGCATACATTTTAATGACTTTATGATTGCACGTTAGTCTGGTAATAAAAATTGTGGTCTAAAGTTCTGAGTTACGTTCGAAGTTCACTAGTGCTACAAGTGCCCTTGTTTTTATGTGTTGTACAATATGTATACAATTCCTAGCAACTTCAATACTCCTATAATTCACACGTTCAATGTTGGTTCTTCTGTGTTATAGCTTGTACTTATTTGTTGTTACAAATTTTAAATACCATGATAATAATAGGTAAAGGAAACAAAGGCGTGTCAAGGTGATGTTTTCTTTTTCTTTTGAATGATTTACGATTTACCTTCACGTTTTTCCCTAGGCAAATCCCTTGTTTACTACACCGTTCATCTACAAGCTTGACAAGTGCCAAGGCAATTTTATGGATAACAAATTATATATATTATACTGTGTTATAAAGACTGCCTTGAATACAATTCATGGTTTGTGCGAAAAACTGCAATGCTTATTTTTAATAAAAAATGTTTACCTTAATGAACTGACATTTTCCTAGAATGCTCATGATATTGTTTATGAAGGGGGAAGGAGGTTTCATACTTCCATGCCAGCTTCGAAAACGTTTATTCACAAAAATGTTATTTATACATTTATTGAATGTAATCGATGAATCGAAACTTACTCTCTTTTCTCTCTCGCTCTAAATTATCCATGTAGACGTCACAGTTGACACTTTTAATCCATTCTAATGATCCCTATTGTTTTTTCTGGATACCACAGGGCCCTTTCGTCGGTGGTGGCACTCGGAGCCAACGTAATCTGCAACCGCATACCCGGTTTGGCTCCCCGGCAGCGGGCCATCTGCCAGAGGAGGCCAGATGCCATAGTGGCCATTGGAGAAGGTGCACAGAAGGCCGTACAGGAGTGTCGCTTCCAGTTCCGCAATGGAAGGTGGAACTGCACCCTGCCCAAGTATGACGAGACCATCTTTACACAGGATGTGCCTGCTGGTAAGGTTATACGACAACGAGGAGCAAGGGATAATTGTTACATTAGGAAGGGGTATCCACATAAAAACACGATTACAAAGACTTTCGAGAAATTAACTTAAGTTGTCCATCAAATTTAAAAATTGTGTTGACATTACATGTTATATAATTTGAACATGGAATCCATGTTATACTAGAGGGTACTGAATCGCCCTTTAGGTGATTTGTTGAAAGTCTTTAAGATCGTGTTTTGAGGTGTCTTAGAAACCACTCTATTAGATATAGTAATTCATATTATACTATTTATAGATCCTCTACCATTTCGGTAACCAAAGCTTGGTGATCTTCTGTAATGTGTAGTCATAATTATGGGGCATGTCCCAATTATGAGCGAAGGTTGACGAGACCTGAGATCTGCAAGACCGACGTCCACTTTTCGTTTGTCAATAATGTACCTATATCTCGTTGACCTTAAAGGGTCTCGTGAACTCTCCAAGAGTATCAGGTCCGCGAGACCAGATTGTTCGATCCCCTGGGCGTTCAGTCGCATGTCCTCAGTTAGATGGCCTGCAGTCGTACTCATTGGTAACACAAGGCACATCGAAAACAAAACAAAACAAGAAGCGAAGAAAAACTATAGCATTTCTATATCTGCCTACTTAAATTTTAACGATTTATATTATTTACCTACTTCACCCTATTGTCTGTCGTTATTGTTCCTTTCTCATCCTTTAATTATTTCTCTTTTCTTTTCCCCTTCATTCTCTTGCCCAACCATGATCCCCCAGTTTAGTTATGGTATCTCCAACAGAATATTACCTGCTCGCAATAGCGTTCTATTAAACACACGTTCTCAAAATCTTGCATCGTCAATGATATTTCATTTGCGATGAAGGTGATAACCTCTTTTATTCATATGTCACCGTCTTTATTATCATTCCTCCTGACATTAATGGTTTCCTTCTAGACTTTACTCATCTGTACTTTCTGGAAAATCATCAGTTCATTTCATGGAAAAGTGGTCATGCTCGGTTTACGGCGACACGTCTGTGTCTCGGTCGGAACAATTAATTTGCTGAATGACTTTTGTCTTATTTTGTGCCCTCTTATTTAGTGATTATTTTGTCCCTATTTTGAACCGTCTGCATTTTTAGATTTTGTTATGTAAAGGAGCAATGAACCGAAATATATGCCGCTGTGCGCAGTGTTTTCTTTTGTCTGTCCCATTTTTATTTTCACGATCAAATGCAATTGACATTTAACAGAAGATGGTTACAAAGAATTAAGTTTGGGTATGCAAGTGAGAAAAATACTGTTGTTTTAGGTTTTTTTGTAATACCCTACTCAGTATCATAATTCCCTCCTCCCCTCTCTCTCTCTCTCTCTCTCTCTCCCCTCTCTCTCTCTCTCTCTACCCCCCCCCCTCTCTCTCTATATCTCTCTCTCTCTCTGTATCTCTGCATTTTATTGTATTTGTATAAGTCTTCTTTTAATATCATCATTTTCTCTTTCCTCATTTAAATCCTGATGGCAAAATTAGAGAATTTCCGATCCAGCTTTTCTCTTTGTCCCCATCCATCCTTAACAAATATATTGATCTACGTTTTACCGTTTCTCGCTGTCATTTTCGTTAACAGATTCCCGGGCAGGTAATCGCGAGGCGGCCTTCCGTAAAGCCATCACTTCAGCCGGGATCACCCACGCCATCACCGAGGCATGCATGCAGGGAAACCTCACCAACTGCAGCTGTGATCGTAGCAAGGAGACCGGGGTCACCGACGAGGGCTGGCGATGGGGAGGCTGCAGTGCCGACGTCGAGTATGGGCTCAGGTTTTCACGGCTTTTCGTGGACTCTGGAGAAGTAGCGAATAATGCCAAGACGCTCATGAATCTACACAACAACGAGGTTGGCAGAAAGGTAATTATTTGTATACCCTGCTTTTGTTTTGCCTTTTCATTAATTTGTCCTGCTCTCCTTCCTCTTTTTGTACCCCATTTCTTCTTCTTTTTCTTGCTTATCATCTCCATCATCTTCTTCTTATCATTCTTCTTTTTCTTCTTGTTCTTTTTCTTCCTCTACTACTTCTACTTCTATTTTTTTGTGGGGAGAACAGGGTGGCTTGCTCGTGCAGAATAGTGTCAACAAAAGTGAGTACCGACAAGATATAATTACCAGCAAACTTAATGATTACGCGAACGCCTTCTTCTCCTTCTTCTTCTTCTTCTTCTTCTTCTTCTTCTACGTCCTCTTCTTTTTAATTACAATATTCCAGTTTCAAAATCAACCTAACAGCTCATTTCACACGTTCTAATTTTTATGCCTCCGTTACGAAGTAGCCGGAGGCATTATGTTTTCGGGTTGTCCGTCCGTCCGTCCGTCTGTACGTACGTACGTCTGTACGTACGTACGTACGTCCCGTTCTCGTGATCGCATTATCTGAAGAACCAATTGATGGATTCCTGCCAAACTTTGGTCATGTATGTATCTTGCAGAGCCGATGAACTGATTAGATTTTGGGGTTACGAGGTCAAAGGTCAAAGGTCACAGGGCTCATTATGTATGCAAAAACAGCTCGTGATCGCGTTATCTGAAGAACCGATTGATGGATTCCTGCCAAACTTTGGTCATGTATGTATCTTGCAGAGTCAAAGAACTGATTAGATTTTGGGGTGATGAGGTTAAAGGTCAAAGGTCACAGGGCTCATTATGTATGCAAAAACAGCTCATGATCGCGTTATCTCAAGAACCGAGTGATGGATTGCTGCCAAACTTAGGTCATGTATGTTACTTGCAGAACCGATGAAGTGATTAGATTTTGGGGTCATGAGGTCAAAGGTCAAAGGCCACAGCACACATTGTGTATGCAAAAACAGCTCGTGATTGCGTTATCTCAAGAACCGATTGATCGATTGCTGCTAAACTTAGGTCATGTATGTTACTTGCAGAGCAGATGAACTGATTAGATTTTGGGGTCACGAGGTCAAAGATCAAAGATCAAAGGCCACAACGCACATTATGTCTGCAAAACAGCTCGTGATCGCGTTCTCAAGAACAGATGGATGGATTCCTGCCAAAATTAGGTCATGTATGTTACTTGCAGAGCCAATGAACTGAGTAGATTCTTGGTTCATAAGGTCAAAGGTCAAAGGTCATGGGCTCATTATGTATGCAGAAATAGCTTGTGAACACATTCTCATTAGAACTGACAGATGGATTACTATTTAACTCAGGACATCTTGCAGAGCCAATGAACTGAGTAGATTTTAGGGTCATGAGGTCAAAGATCAAAGGGTCATATATGTATATGAGAAATTGCTTGTAATCACGATATTCTGAGAACCTGTTAATGGATTACAATTGAACTTGAATTCGAAAAATGTGTTCTGTTTTTTGTTTGTAAAATTGCTCTATGACGGAGGCATCATTTTCGACTGCGCGCAGTCGAATTCCATCTAGTTTTCTTCACAACACGATGACAGCATGTTCTTGTCACGGTAGTTGCACGTCTACAGTAATCCAGCAGTGAAAGAAATAGATCATTTCTAGGTCAATTAAGATAATTAAGATAACGTAGTAATTACACCCGATAATAGATCAAAATAGGAAAGCTGATATGAGCTAACCCTACACTTCCAATAAAGTTACGTAACATAATGTTATCATAATCTTTTCAAGGCAATATTGCTCAAAAAGTTATATTACAAAACTATCTCCAGATGAATTAACGTGTTCTCGGTATAGATTGACTGATTCTGTGACTTTTTCTCCGGTTATCATGGATGAAAGAAGATCGGGGTTTGAGGTTGTCAGAGATAATTCATCTTTGTTATTTCGATTTGTTTGCACTGACTGTCAAGAGAATAAATATTTTGTTACATAAATGTCGATGATGACATAGAAATCAGCTATCTTTTCGTATTGAAAATGTTTAAGTGTCATTACATTCAAGGCTACTCACCAAGTCACCATTATGCCGAATCAATCGAACATATCACTAACAGTCTTTCTTGCTAAATTCAACTTTTTCTACAGTAGATATAAGTCGAACAGAAAGGGATACAAGGTGGGGCCAAGGGAACTGTAGCGGTAGCCCCATCCCATCCGATGATTTTAAAATTACCAATATTGGGGGAACCGTCATCTCATATTCGGGCAATCGACACCTTACATGTATATTCAGGCCACAATGTGGTTATTTTGTAATTTATACTTATATATAGAACATTTTGGTGATGAAATTGATGATATTGACGATAATAGAGTGTCATTTTTGTTCTCGCTCGTTTTGCTCGCTCGTTTTGCCCTCTCGAGAAAAAAAAATGCAAGAATTGGAAAGTTGAAATTCTGGCAAGAGATATCATTCCCCGGCACAAAATTGTACCCTTATATACTTAGGGCCGCCACCCTGACTTAATCAGATCATGTGACACAATAGCTAGTCAAAATGTGGAAAGAATCATCCTAAAATCAGGGGAGCAGGAGCAGCATAATTGGAGACAAACATTTGCCTTTGTAAGATTGTTCTTGTTTCCCACAATTACATCAAACACAATGTGATGTGGAAATATGATATACCGAGTTTTCCGAAATGTATCAAATAGTTTTGAGATAGGGGAGGATTAACAAAACAAACATTTAATTATTTCCTTAGTGGCGAATTAGAGATCTAGATTTTACTGTGAGTCAACAGCTATAGAGCCGGCATATCTAGGTTATGATGTCATACATTATGGATGTTGACCTGAAAATTCTATAAACTAGCAATTGTTAGCTGAATGATACTTATATATTATACAGATGCTGGGGCGATATGAAATTTTAGAAATCGATTATAAAGAGTATAAACAATATAGACACGCGAAAGAAGGCATCCATTTTGAACTAGGCTGACCTGACATTACGTTTCGGCAACATTTTCTTTAATATATCGTAAGGGATTGGCTGGGATTGGATTTGGGGTTAAGTTATAGGGATAGGGTTATTAAAGTAAAATATTAAGTCAGGGTTGAAATTATGAATTTGACTAGACAGTGTTAGAAATCGGCAATTGTCGTCGGAGCATAATCGTACAATAATGAAGTTAGACCCCATTTCATACTTTACGTCAAATATGTATGAAAACAGGAATATTTCTGAATGAGGGGTTAGGCCTATGGATAATTTTCAATTAACTTTTTAATACCTTTCTAATCGAGCTAGAAGAGGAGATTCAATTTTTGTCAATGTTATAAATGTTCTCAACTCTATCAGTTTCGAACATAATTATTCCAACCTATACCCTTAAAATTTTCACATGGTTCAAAATGCAATTCAAAATTCGAAATCTGATTTGTTAATTCTTTTCACAAGAAAACGATAAAGATGGAATGTAATTATTCCAAACTCAGTATATTGAGTGCAGGAAGGATCCAGGATTTTGTAAAGGGGCACCATTCCGAAAAATTACACAATATTAATGGCTAATTTCGTCGTTGTTGCCCATTGGTTCGAAAAGGGGACACAGACCCCCGCCCTAAACCCGCCACTGATTTGGCGATACACTTATGCTGTCTGCAAAGGACAAATATAATTGTTCGTCAGACAAGAATTACGCATAAGAGAGGTGACTGTTATGTGAGTCCTCGGCTCCAGTATCAAATGTTCTGGCTTACCTCGAAACCAAATTCCTATCCGGAACAAAGTAATGAAAGGTAAATGAAAGAAATGCGCTTAAAGGTCCCTTGTATTTGGCAAATTATCTTTCGCATTGTTTGCCAATTACTACTGGCGAGCGCGTTCAAAAGGACAGCGTAACAACAATCTTTTCTTTGAAAGCACAACACCATGATTACCTACCCGACCTAGTAGGGCTTCTCCGACCACCAACCGTAATAGTTTCCTACCGAAAAGAAAGAAGACAGAAAATGTAAAACTATACTGTTAATCTCAACGATGGGAAGCAGAGGGAAGAGATAGGAGAAAGTGAAAAGATGGGGACATAGTGGAGTAAAGGGACACAAATGAAGAAAAAAATGAAGAGAGAGAAAGAGATGGAGAGATAGACAGACATAGAAAGATTCTGAGTCAGTCTTTGTGTTTTGGGACCAAAGGCTTGGCTCATCTTGTCGAGACGCTATCCAATTAAAGGAAGCCTAAAACATGACATGAGGACGTGAGAGATAAAACCTAAAGCAAAGAAACTCATGTAATTGCTAGTTTCATTGAAAGAAAAATCTGTTTGTGTCACAATTTATTCCTTTTTTCAGCGTCGGGCCCTTTGTAAATTAAAATAGGAAATATGCAGACGAAACACTGTATGGAGGAGGAAAGATGTAACGTCTGCGTTGTTCCTCTGTGAAAGCTGAGCTTCTGAAAAATTAGCATGACGTTATGATGATATTAGGCGACAAAGATGCAGAATTTCCCTTGTCAATAGTTAAAAGCTTAGCGTTAATAGTTACCTATTTTGAAAATGCATGAGGATTCGTAAGAACCTTGCTGACAAGGTCGTTACGAAATAGTCTCAATTCTATGCTCATAATTGGTGTCCTTGTGGGGACCTTGTGTATATACTTTCAAACAACTATTTTTAATGTAATTCATATACAATGAGTGCGGCATTCCATTTCCTACTGCATAACCGAAGACACATTTGCCCAAAGGGTTTCTCGATAAAATGTACGGGCAAAATAAGGCAGAAAAGATAGATGTTGTAAATGTAACGACAATTTTAATATGTTCCGAAAAAAGTTAATTTACCAATCGCTTGGTAGTGTGGAAGGAAGTAGTATACAAAACTTGGTAAAAATATTCATCAAATATCAGTTAACCGATTTCTCCTCATCTTTTTCCTCTACATGCAGGTTGTCGAGGATCATGTGGGAATGGAATGCAAATGCCACGGTGTTTCAGGCTCGTGTACAACCAAAACGTGCTGGACAATGCTGCCAAATTTTCGATCGGTAGGTGACGTCCTCAAAGAAAAATACGAAAGAACTCTCCAAGTGGAGCCCGTCAAGGCCAAACGAACTAGGAGACCAACTTTTCTCAAAGTCAAAGACTCCGAGAACTACCGGAAGCCGCGCTTATCGCATTTAGTTTTTTTGCACCGGTCGCCGAACTATTGCGAGTTCGACGAGAACAATGGTTCGATGGGGACTGTGGGACGGAGATGCAACCGGACATCGACATCGACGGACAGCTGTGATCTCATGTGCTGTGGCAGGGGCTACAACACACATCAGTACACGAAAATATGGCAGTGCAACTGTAAATTTTATTGGTGCTGCTACGTCAGATGCAATCAGTGTAGTGAACAGACTGAAGAATATACGTGCAAATGACACGGAGCTAGTGTACGGACTATCAGCAGCAGAGTGTCCTAGATGGGTTTTTATTTAATGATGGACTGCAATGTGGTTAACAGTTATTTTACAGATTGTGATGTTTTAGCGTCATGAGAAAGTCATTTTGAACTTTGAAATGTCGACGATCAAATCGACGACTGGAATCAGAAGTTATAGAATTGAGAGATGACTTGTGTTTCAAAGTGGCTAACCTCCTAAAAGGAGAACAAAAGACAGGTGGTGTTTCCAGCATACAATGAAGCCAGGGTACTCCTGCCCCGCCGCCCGTTTGGAGACTGCATCTTACGGGCATGGCGAAATACATTACGCAGCCACCCCACTTATCATTTTATGGATACGCCATTTGTGTCTTTGTTAATTTCGATTGCTTTCTCACTAGGTTAATTAGGCCTGCAGAACATGAACTTTAAAGGAACTGTTTGTTTACTTCACGATTTCTGCTAGAAAGAATAAAGCAAGACTATCGCCATAACTTATATTGACAAAATTAGACACACTGGTCTTATTATGTGTTAATCATGCTTATTTTTTCTCTATCCTCTTAGCGCAACAAAATAGTGGCGAGACTTGATACTACTTGCTTAGCTGTTCTTTGCCAAAGCTCTAACACGCTTAGTACCAAAAGCTTGCAGAGATCAAACAATATTGCATAACACATCTTCGCTCGATATCTTGTGTAATCAAATGTGTGCATGTCGAGCGGGATGGTGCAAACTATATCAAGCAGACGTTAACTTGTAGCTTTGACCTCTAGCTAAACCTATCAGTTAAATCAAACCTCTCAGATGCTATCAGATGCCATTTCCGTTTACTTTTGTCAATATAAGAAATAATATTACGCTAATCCTCCTGGTTATCTTCGTGGACAGTCTTCGAGACAAGTTTAATTGAAAGAAGACAGTTTTGAGGGGGGTACTGAAAGGTTGTAACTGCTTATTAAATAGGCGCGATAAATCTTACCTTTAACATGAGAATGACAACAACTGTTTATTTATGATACTATATTGTCTTTATTCTATTATGATTACTAGTCTATATCTGTTTTGCCCGATTTATCAGAAAGAGATTCATTGCCTTCCAAGGATAAGCTCATGCAACCAGTGAAGCGGTTTCAAATTTTGGCAATAATTGTGGATAATGCCCATTACAATGACTAAATACCTCTACCATGATGTTACTTGCAATCTTAGTAGATGTATGTTTGAATTAAAAGAATGGAGGAATTTACAAATGTTGGGTTGCAAACGGAATCTTAAAACACAATAAAAACTCAAAGTAATAAGCTTTGTACGAATCGTTGCCAGTCATCTCTTTGCGTTTGCCAAAAAGGTATTTAGAATATTGTTTTATATTAAAGTATCCCACTTCCACCACTTCAAGAGGAGCGTCAACCATTTTTTACAGAATGGAGGGGGGGGGGGTATTAGTACTCGAGAATGCTTTTATTCTGGATAAATTACTCTTTTAAATACCTAACTAGGGTGACCTGTTACCTTCCCCGAACTACTTAATAATATTTCCCATTTAATTTTTTACTTTCTTTATAATCATTTGTCTATCAGATTTTCTAACTTTTAACCAAATCTTTAAATCAGAAATAACTAAATACGAAATATTGATTATTAATCAAGCCTCTATCGGGGCTGTAAATCTATAAAACTTTTCGCATATTTTTCAACAAGAAAAGTGTCATTTGTAGATATTATGAAGTTGATGTTTATGATATTCCAGTAATTGCTTTCAAACAATTTTACTATACGTAAATAGGACCACAGTGTTTGATATATTTTGTATGGGCCTACATGAATTTCATTCTGTTACGAAATGTAAAATATCGGTGTGAAATACTGTATTAAACATAAAGGAAAAATATTGGAGGGTTTCAAATGTCTGACAATGGTTATGGTCTTGCGAAGTTCAAATGCATAGAATAGGATATTGATACAGTTGAGGAGTTGATCGAAAATCGATACTCATTAAAACATAAAGCACTAATTATTGCGTTCAATGACACCCAACCTTCGTTATTTATGTGATCATTATATTACCACAAGTTTATGTACCCATCTCCTTTTCAGGGATTCGTCTCGTATTTATAACAAAGATAATATAACAAACGGTGTCTGGTAACTGGTAAATACCTCCAAAAACAAGAGCGAGGATTTAGGTATTTAGTCGACGGAAACATGGGAAATCATGTTTGTATGCTCGTCACTGGAATTATTTGCGAATTATAGGTGAACCCGTTAACATTCCAGAAAAGATTATTTCCCCCCATGCCAGACTTATTTTACCCCATTCGTCTGCATTATTTCTCGTCCCATATCCTTTTCTTTTAAATTCTCGTCCAAGTTATTTAGGACAAAACCTTGATTTTAAATGAATTTGCAGGCTACGGTGAGCATGTCTGAGAGATTCGGGCAGCTTCTTAGATTTTCCCCAATTCCATCTAAGCACAGCTCTTCAAAACATCATGACCGCTTTTAATATTGACAGTTATTTCTATCCGCAGTGTACACATCACACCGCATATTTGTGCAACGTATTTTCTCTCTTTCGCCACGTTCTTATAATAGTCTGCCAAGTCTTTTTTTTCTTCTTCACCCTCTGATCTTACCTCCACCTTCCGTCGCTTTTCCTTTATCAGTTCCCGCACATACATAATGAGTTTATAATGACATCCCACTTCACATGAGTTTACTTCTCATCGGGTAAATGGGTTGATTTATTCATTCTCCTCGAAGGCAATGCGCAAATAGCCCCGAGTCAAAAGCGTCATAATCCACTCCGCCATCAAATTCAATCCATTCCTCCCCATCATGTATCGCCTTTCTTTCTTTTATTCGGTTAAACTGTTAAAGCGATTTAACACTTTTGAAGAAAAGAAAAGAAAAGCTGACAGGTTATCATCAAGTTAAGCTTTCATCTTGACAAGTGGATCGTTCTCCTGTCAAATTAAACAATGCGTTTATACTAGAAACATATCGGCTTAAATGTTCAAGTGGAAGAGTGTCGCAAATCCTTCAATTTTATCATTATTTGGTAAATGCTTCCTTTTTGTACCTAACGATGTTTTGTTTTTGAATCGTATGTAACTGATTATGTAAGTTATCTTCGAAAGTGCGGTTGTATCCTATTAGTATCAGACTTCGCATAATCATTGCCTTCAATATATTCTATAACAAGTTCTTTAAGCTCTTATGTAACTTGTAACTATGTCTGCGGTTAATTTTAACTTAGTGAGTATATTAGCTACACAATGTCAAACAAATAATCATTGTCGATATTTAGATATGCTAACACTGAGTTTCATTCAATATATTTCTTTATTCAAATGGAGATTCAGTGAAATGTATACCTGTACCATTGATCAAAACGAATTAAGAAACTCAGTTTTTAACCGTTGAAAGAAGAAATTTTAATGCGGTAGGAAATGATAACGGCTACCATATACACAAATATGATATCACAGAATAATGATCATGGACAAACAAACTTTAAAATTGAATTATTTTATTTTGTATTGTATCACCTTTTATCAATTTTATGAATTATTTAAAAAAGTGACATGAAAATATAAAGGAACATCAAGGAAATACACGGGGAAATAGAAAAGCTATAACGGTTCCAAGAGAAAAGCTAATTTGATTTGCTCCGCAGAAGATTTGATTTACACTCAGCCAAAAAACAAGAGAGTAGACACTTTTTATTGTTTAACAAATTAACTTAAAGCGTCGATGAAATAAAATTTAAAAAAAATTATCAAATCAAAGAACATTTAAGGCTCTAACAAGATCAATTATGGCCCATATTTTGCAATTTACCCCAGAGACTTATTTATTTTGAAATGGTTGTACTCACTCATGCGTGGGTGGTATGATTCCAATTGCATATCATCTTAAAGAAGATTAATATATGATTATTTTGATATATGAAAGATAAGTTTGTATCGATTATTTATTCGAAAATGTTAATCATTATGAGTGTCCACTTTCTTTTTGTGCTGAATGTATGTTATATTTTGAACATCATGATTTACTCATGGTAGGAACGACACTTTCAAAAAAGAGACAAATGTGATCCAACTACTCTCGCCTTGAGACCTTTTATGCATTTCGTGTGTTACCATGATAGTGAGAAGATTAACGATTTACAATGACATTACGACTTTTAATGCTATAATAGCGATAAAGTTATAATATTTATCATAACAATATCAAGGGAAATTAAAGATTCGTTCGTAGTTTTCAAAATGTGCTATTCCGATAGGTGTATAAAGATATTATTCGATGTATTGCATCGTATATGCTGGTAGTGTTTACCACAGCGATAATGGAAATTCCTCAAACAAGCATAGCCTCTTTGGTAGCATTGCCTTTAATTTTCTTCCACGTTAATGGAATTCGTCTAAAATTATTTAGTTTTTATAATTGGATGTTGAATAAAAAGTCTAAAAATGTTCACACTTTTAAAAAGGTTGATATTGTCCTTTCTCGTTCATGTATAGGTATTAAGTAACTCTTGTTATGACTATTAATAAGTCAAGAACAATTAATGCCTTTTCCTTATGCCAATAAAGATATATGTACGGTGTTGTTTTCTATGATTATGTATGATAAAATCTTTTTATATTGTATAATAAAATTAATTGTCTATAATATCAAATTCATTTTCCCAACCTTGCATTTCTGTATGTAGTTATTGTGTGGTGTATGTAGAAAAGTCTTGGTAGTGTGATGAGATTCCTTCACATTCACATTTTATTAGGTTGATTGAAAATTCACTTTTTTGACAATGTAATGAATTACATGAAGTCACCAGGCTTTTTCAGAACACTGTTCATCGGTCTTACTCGAATGAATTGCGAAGAAACAAGGAAGCAAATTTATGGGTAGAGAAGTTTCTGTCATCATCTTGTCTGGTCCTTTTCCCCTATCCTATTCCTCTCTCTAACTTCCCTTTCCCCTTTTCGCCATTCGATGGGGGTGGAGGGGGGGGGGGGGGGGGGCACGTGCACCAAGCATACCCCTGTAGCTCCACCACTGATCATAATCGTGATCACAGGTTACCACTGAATGTGGAAAGCATCGTTTGGAAATTGTGTAATTAATTCCTTATATGTTTAACCAATTAAATCAAATCAAATCAAGAGTGTGTTTAGCATAATGTGACGACTTTATGAATTTATTTTTGGGTGATTTAAAGAAATGTTCGAAGTTGAACACCGCAATATAAACATGTGACTATGAGCGAGTTTAATGGAGACAAGCCAAATTACCTTTCTTACACCAAAGTCTGATTATCTATTGCACATTAAAAAGAATCTTGTATGGACAGTTGTGATGTAAGATAAAGAATCAAGGAAATTACCTAAATCAAACATGGAAATGATTATATAATACTTACACCTATCATGTCATAATTCCGATAAGCATGTCAAGTACTTTGAGATGTGTCCTGAATATGGGAGATTAACATAAGAAGGCATGGCATTAATAAGCCTTTGATGTTTTAACTTATTATATACTTTTAATTAAATATTCATTCACTTTCTCTTAAAATAGGCCTATATTTCAAAAGAAAGCAACACATTATATCCGATACAGGCACCGAATGATCGGGGGGGGGGGTGGCGTGTATCTGTAACAAGATACACACGTTTTCAAAATACTTTTGGAAAACTTGTGCACCATTCTTTCAGTTTTCCCCTTCAGGATATCATAAAATCTTATATATTAGTGCCATATCATGGGCATGTGCATCCGATTTTGTGATGAGGGGAACTGAGACATATTGTTTTGGTTACACCTAGTTGGTCTGAAATCCCGAGAAGATTCACATAGTGGTTACAAAGAAACGTGAGCATGGACACAGATCTTCATTCAGTTATTTATTCATTTATTTATTTATTTATTATGACAGGCAGGGTACATATTGAGCTCAGGTATATTGCATGTTCGGTTTCAAGTAAAATCATGACTGCCGACCCCCGAATTGTCTACTAGGCTGTCCTAAAATCGTTGGTCTCTAAGGAGCATTCATATTTCTTTTTTGTTTGTTTCTTTTTCTTTGTTCTTTGTTCTTTTTTCTTCTTTTTTGGAGGGCGGGGGGGGGGGGGAGCACGGTAGTGCATATGCCTCTTAACTAAACAGTTTCATCCTTATACAGGCCTATCGGATTCGTTTCCCACGTACAAACTTAAATCTATTCTTCTATATAAAAGGCAATGTATATCATTAAAGATAGTGTTTCAGTAAACAATCAGCTCTCTGATGACAGCCAAGGCCGCGAATAAACAACTATATAGCAGTGGGGTTGTTCATGTTTCACGTTGAAAGTAATGAACTGACACGCCCACTGTTTAGTCGCCAAGAAACAGCTGTTTGTCTATGAGACGCACTACCCACAACGAACTCGGCCCTCCTGTTAAATTGTGCACCTCTCAGTTTTTAATTTAATATTTTTATTTTACAGGTTACAGGATATTTTACAGGTTATCATGGAATGAGGAAACCAATGCAGAAGACAGGATGAAGCACACCTGGTGGCGGTATGTTGGAAGCAAACTAGCGCCAAATTATCTTGCAGAGGGGGGGGGGGGGGGGGGGGGGGGGGTATTTTAATTATGTAGAGTGAAGGGCGAAACTACTAAAGCGATGTTGGTATTGGGCGAGTTTTTATATAGACTTCGGTGATTAGCAAATTTGTAGAGATGATGTCGAATGTCACCGCCTTCTCTTAGCAGTATGGCGAGAAAAGAGGACGGATTAAATATGGAGAATGGAACCGCAACATATAAAACATTTCCAAACTGGATGGGAGAGTTGCCAGACAGATTACGAAGTGAATCACTGAAAAATATAGCTATTCCAGGTAAGTAGCTGTAAACGACTGTCCCATACCTTCATTTTGATGTTAGATTAATTATTATGTTATGACCGAGTCGAGATCGAGCCTTGAGAATTGAGATATGTTAATTGTATATATTCAATTCAATCAAATTCAATTCATTTATTTTTCCTCTTTCAATCGATCATATTTACAATGATGGTACATTTTAACATATTCACATATTTATATACATATAGACTAGAGGTCTAGGTCTAACTGTTAGATCTATAGATGCAATTTGCACAATACAAGTCAATAGTCAATACATTAAAAAAATAAACATGAAATTGAAAGGGAAGGAGGGCCGACTAAAAAGCAGAGCTTGTAGGGTGTAAGCCCGCTTTAAAAGTAATTATTATGAATTATTATTTTATGAGTAAAAACAACAACAATAACTGATTCAGTAATACCAAAAAAAAAAAATCATTTTTAAATGCAAAACATTGATAAATACATAGTCTACATGTTTATAAAAAGAAACAATCAAAGTTGCATAAAGTCACACTACAAATTATATTTGATTGACTCATCTATGCGTCTCGTCTTATTATTCATTTCTCTCGACCATGATAGATTGATAATCATGATGAATCAACATGTATTTCTTCCTTTTACATGATTAATCTTTATTTTTGATATTTTACTATAATTTTGTTTTTTTTATTTTTGAAGGAAAATTTGGCAAACTTCTTTTCATGATGAAAAATCTCACCTGCAGTGTAGTTAGTGAAAAAGAAGGTCCAATATTAACGTTACTAGGATAACATTTACTAACATTGCCGTTAAGTGGAATGGCTTTCAAGAGATGAATTCAGCTACAAATTTAACAATTTAAACTTGTCAAAATCCACATTTTAGACTTTTCATCCTCTCTTTATAGGCTCTCATGACTCATTCAGTTTCTTCCTCGACTGCCAGTCACCTGTTGCATCAGGATCACCAGACACAGTACGGAACCTTGTTGCGGTCTTTGGTGATGCAGCCAAGAAGATCGTCCACAGTTGGTCAGTCACACAGGCACTCAACTTCAAACAGCAGCTGGACCTGGGGATTCGCTACTTTGATTTCCGTATATCCCGCTGTCCAGGCAAGGAGGGCTTCTATTTCGTCCATGGCCTGCATGGGTTACGAGTCAGTGATTGCCTGCGAGAAATCAATGACTGGTTGAATGAACACCCCAGGGAAGTTGTCATTATTGATTTCAATCACTTGTACTGCATGCAGGAGAAGCACAGTGAGCTGATATCCTGCGTAGAGGAAGCCTTCTCCTCCAAACTTTGTCCAGAGATGGATTTAGAAGCGGTTACCCTGAATGTCCTCTGTGACGAAGGTTGGCAGGTCATTACAATCTACCATCACGATGAGACATCGGTGAAGCATACTAACCTCTGGCAAGGCACAAGAATCCACAGTGTATGGCCCAACACTGCTGAAGCACCCAAGATGGTGAACATACTCAATGCTCACCACACCAGGGGTAGGCCCCCTGATAAGTTTTACGTATCACAGGGTGTCTTGACACCAACTGGCACCACCATTCTACAGCACATTGGTAATAACTTGAAAGGTGTGCTTGCAGGTCCTGCGATTAGGAATACGAAGTACTTCCTCCAAGATAAAACTATTGGACCCACTGGTATTAATATTGTCATTGCAGACTTTGTAGAGATGGAGCAGTATGTTGAAGCTGTGCTTGCTCTCAATTCAAAGGAGTAATGGAGTCATGCAAAGTGCCAAACTTGCCCTAGAGAAGAAAAAAAAAAGCGCCCAGTTAAGAAAGATACTTGTATGTACAGGTATTTGTACTGAAATGTCTCGCATCTTATTTATTTATGAATATATATTATGCATTTTAAAGGAGATTTTTAAATACTAGAAAATGTTTGTGTAGTACATTGTTTTAATGTATCAAAGAGTAGTTAAAGTACTATTGTGTGAAATTACATGACTTCAAGCAACTTTTTCCTATTTTTAAAACAGTATTAATATTTATTTATTAATATATTATGCATTTTAAAGGAGATTTTTAAATACTAGAAAATGTTTGTGTAGTACATTGTTTTAATGTATCAAAGAGTAGTTAAAGTACTATTATGTGAAATTACATGACTTCAAGCAACTTTTTCCTATTTTTAAAACAGTATTAATATGAATTTAGATATTTATATTCAAATTAAGGAAATAAAATATGTAGCTATTTCAGTGGCCCGGCTGTAAAAGAAGTGCTACCATGAAACCTGTATATAAAGATCACTCAAGGGAAATGTGCAAAAGTGGTCTTTATGAGCGGGTGGTCTTTATGTACAGGTTCTTTTAGTGCAGGTTTCAGTGAGAAACCATATGCAAGGAAAATAAAAATGTAGTCTTTATATGATAATTAGGGTAGCATCTCACTAAACTGTCATGACAAGTCCAGCAAACTTCCTATTTATACATGTTTTAAAATTCAAATGTATTTTAATTCAATGTCCGCAAATGATGGTTTCTTGAAATGATGCCATGTTTTTACCCCGCCCCCCCAAAAAAAAAAATTAAAAAAAATAAAAATAAAAATAAAAAAATAAATAATAATAATCTGTATGGAAAGTAGTTTCTTACCTTCAAAGTTATCAGTATGCATAGGTACAGTATATAACACAAGTCCAACAGAAAAGCTACATGGGAGAAAGCTACCAGTACATGGATGAACCAGCATTTGAAATATGTGTGCAGACAAATATAAATGAACTTTGTTCTCTTCCCCAAATTCTTACTAACCATTTAATACTATTGAATGATGTTGCTCAAGACATAATTACTCAGATGTAGTGCATTAAAGCAACATTGAACTATTAAAATTAATCATGTTTGAAATTTGAAGTAAAGAGTGTCTTTGGTAGCATATTTAGTAATATTTCCACTCTTGCCTAATTCCAAGTACCGGTAAGCCTGAAATCTCTCAGGATTCAACCTATTCAGTCCAAGTGAAAATATAACATTTTGTCTCTGCATCTAACATCGACTGGTACATTCTCTTTAATTATTCTGTTCCTTGTTAAGAAATATATGCACTTTATGTGTGTGTGTGTGTGTGTGTGTGTGTGTGTGTGTGTGTGTGAATGATTCAGGACGAGCAGCGTTCCTTGCATTTGCATATTGATTCCAAGGTGCTTTATAATTAAGAGTTTGGAAGAAAAAAAATCTGCAAAGCCCATATTCATACTACAAATATGTATTTGATTGAGAAAAAAATGTAAACTTAACATTTTCCAATTTGGCTACTATCTATCATCTTACCACAAAGCCATGCCAATGTTTACTTATTTTTCATTACAGTGCACTGTATCTTCCCCTTGTAGATTACATGTACAATGGAATTTTCTTTAGCCTTTTGAGCTGTACTCTGTTGGTGATTTACAATTTGATATTGTATTGTAATAGTATGGACAGTTTCATTTCAGTCTAATTCAGCCAGATATAACTTCAAACAAATAGAATTGTTCCCATATTTTGTACCATGACATTTTAAGCTGCTGCAATTATGGATGGTTATACAAATGTTTATACCATGACTTGAACTTTAAGTTATTACGAAATAGAATGGAAGAGAATTCCAAATACCTGTAGATGCATGCTGGATATATTGATCAAGGACACTGAAGTCCTCGGTAGTACATTTAGTTTTGCTGATCAAGCATTGTGAAAAAATGCTAGACCGTTTCATCTCATGTTTTTTTCTTGCAATCTTTGAACTCAATAAAAATGAATCATAAAGTGATATTCAATATGCCACTTGTCTTTTAAATTTCTAGATCTCTTTTTTTTTACCTATATTTTTTCTAAAATAATTTTTTTAAAAATTAAATTTCTTCATGCTTTTAAAGTAAATAAAAAGATGTACATGACCTCTAGAATATATCATCATCAGTATGAAATTACCTAAAATAAAAACAATGGGAAAATCAATGTAAATGAAAAAGTTCATCCATTCTTCCTAAGTAAGAATTCATCAACCAATAAGAAATTCTTCTGTCTCTAAGTAAAAAGTGAAATATTTTCCATTTATCACTTGTTCCCTTTTGTTAAAGAACTGCAGTATTGGTTTCTGTAAATGTAGTCTTTTTGACAAATTACATGAATATATTAAACTTTATTAACACACAAAATTCCACTTACATACGTAAATAGTAATCAGGAAGAAAATCTGTTTACAGCAATTATTTCAAAGTTTATTATCCACAACAAAATCAACAGCATAAACATCAAAGATATATAGCATATAAAATATTTGTACATGAATGTTCTATTAAGCAATAAATATAAGCTTAGACAACACAAGAATCAAACTTTCAAAAAAATGTGATATACTCATGTCAATACTTGATTCTGTTTTTCGCTTCAGGATAAAGCCATATAGAATATAGTTTTTGTTTTAGTACACAGGTGTAAGTACCATATAATTACGAAAAATGCTTCTCTGGACAACACAATTTAAACACAATACAACCATCTTGATATTAACAACATTTATGAACATATTTACTGTACTAACTTATAGATGTGTACATTAGGCAAAAAAAAAAAAAAACATGTTTAGCGACTTGCCTTTTTGAAAAATAGGAAGGAGGAGCCCCTTTTTTTCTTTAAAAAAAAAGAAAAGGAAGCGGGCGGGGACGCTAAACATGAATGTTTTTTTTAATGGCCTGATCTTCACAGTGATGATATTCAGACTAAATACATTTTACAATTATGCAAGGTAGTTCTTTGTACTTTTCTCTGGGAGGATCTTATAGCACCAATATATCATGACGTATATCACTAATAAATAAAATAAACCCCACTAGTACCACTAGATATAAGACACCCCCATCAAAACAGAAAAACACCTCTTTGCTATGGACAAGCAGATTGAAAATTGAATTTGCATGTGGTTAGTACAATTCATAGTTTTTTGAATAAAGAACATGTACTTATCCTTTGTTGCAGTATATAAGAAAAACAATATCACCTGGGCGGTGTTTCATAAAGCTGTTCGTAAAGTTACGCATGACTTTACGAATGACTTGTATACGAAAAGCCAAATGGGATGCTCAATCATTTTTAACAGCATCAACTAAAGTTATTATTATAACAAACATTTTTAATGCAAGGTATATTTTTGGCCATAATTTACTTGAGGTTATTGAAAATAAAGTCACACTTTGTTAAAACATCAGGAAAATCTTTGGGCATCCTACCTGGCACTTCATATACAAGTCGTTCATAAAGTCATGCGTAACTTTACGAACAGCTTTCTGAAACACCCCCTGGTAGTATTTTGTAACTATGTTATCTTCATGTAAGTGAGATGGGTGTTAATTGTCACAAAAATTTAAACTGTCTTAATTCATAGTTGTCATGACAACTAGTATACCTTCTACTCAACCACAAGTTGGCATAGTTAACAGAATGCCACCTATGGACAAATATAATCAAAGTAAAACATTATATATCTTGCAGATGAACCACACTGAATATTAAAAATATTTAAAGAGAGAAAACAAATAAGAAATTATGTGTAAAACTATCCAAAAATGCCCCCTCCCACCCCCCCCCCTCCAAAAAAAAAAGAGGAACATCTCAAGGATTTTTAAAATAAATTTAGTTAAACAACAAATATGCCCCTACTTTATTCTATATCATTAAATACAGTAGATTGAGTGTAAAAATAAAAGAAGTCTTGTTATTCATGCAAAGAAGAAAAATGTGTAGAAATAGGACAAGTTTTAACATATTGCACAATATCTGTATAATTCATATACAATTGACAAAACTCTAGTACATATATCCCTACAAGCAACAATCTTTCAGCAGGGAATGTTAGTATATCATTCTATGTGAAATGGAAGCAGATAATACGGTGATTGACACATGCCCAGGCAACCTTATCTCTGGCCTTTACGTCATCAAAAATATAGGGTTAGGGCTGACATTGGTTATATGTTAGGTTTAGGAGACACGATATCGTTTTGGCTCCACAATTGCAGTTACAGATTCAGTTAGTTTTGGAAACTGAATGAGGAGCAATTGGCCCCAAAAGCATGTGTCGCCACACACAAAATTAACTGTACAAACACTTATGTCATACAATTTCCTACGAGAGATGTCCTCGATGGCAAGAAAGTCATTTTCAAGAAATTCAGTCAGTGTAACACGCAAATATTACATTTTACTGAATTAAGTTTTAGAATCAACCGCTTTCGTCATAACAATTTTAATAACTTTTTGTGTACTTTTTGTGTAGAGGTGTCTTGTTCGAGTCAGAAGGTCGACGGATTGTTGATCACAAGGTTCACGGTTGGAGTCCAGCCGCGGCACTAATGTCCTTTGGCAAGACATTGATCTACATTTGCAACACTCGACCCAGGTGATGTAAATGGGTACCTGGCAGGAATTAATTCCTTGAAATGCTAGAGCGCCTTCATGGCCACTTTGCTAAAGCCAGGGTAATAATCGGGGCAGCACCAGGAGCGTCACAAAGTGACTGACATGTGCGCCATATAAGAAGCCACCATTTTCATTATTATTATCATTATAATCAGTAGGTGTAATTTCATGGCCATAATTCATCAAACGGCCATTCTTCAGCAGTCATGTAGTAGGATCACTCAACCAAGCAGCCAGTCACTTTATATGAACACAGGTGATGAAGGTGGTAAACCAATCTCCAACTCTTTCTGCTTCATCAGAAGACCCTACAAATCAAACAAAATCAACAAGTATAGGCACATGATTAGTAGATGATTTGACCAACTGACCACAAATAATAAATTACGATAATGTTCACTCAATACCCAGTATTGACCCTCTGAATGTGATTCAGAAATAATCATTCACTATTGGGAGGGTTGTAAGAAGACATATTATTTCTGAATTTGTGATTTATTGGACACGATTAGAAAGTATGTATTGATTAGGAAGATGACCATGTCCTTTTCCATAAAATACAAGTCAAGTATTAACATTATTGCCAAGCTCTTCCAAATAAAGAATTGAGACTAGCATATCTGTTCATAAAAATCATGCTTATTCAGTGCCTTTTTAGAAGTGTAACATGGGCGGCACAATTCAAACATCCCACTGGTATAAGCTAGTAATGGATATATTCATAGTTGTAACAGTAACTTGTTGAATACTGAAATACACTATCTATCGTATACCACTTGTTCGTCTCTGTTATTCTCCACAATACCAAGCTCAAGCTACATAGCAGTACACAAGAAATTCAGGTCTTTCCATTCTTACATACCTGTCTTAGCGTTGACAGCTGTAGGAGAATCTCCTCTTGTCTGTGTTCTTTGTCTTTCAGTCTGTCAGGATTCAACAATGGATCCTGTAAATAGGAGAGAGATATTTGTTAACGCTAGATGATAATTACACCTGGTATTCATATATTACAGATTTTACATTTGAAATTGTGAAGTGAATGATGCAGATCCAGTCCCTTGTATAACAGCCAAATGACCACAAAAAAAGAGGTAAATGCCAAAGAAAACTGTTTACAAAAAAATCAAATATGAAATCCTGCAAAGATCACCACAGATAAGTATTCAAATTTGCAGACACTTACACCCTATCCATTTTTTTTTCTCATGAGAACAGCTCTTTTAAATCTTGATGTGTTTGCTTCCATTATCTCAACACACATCCATAAATTGACCAAAGATACTGATGAATGAATACTTTAAGATATTGAAAGTTTCTTGCATGAATTTATAATAATGTATCTATATCCAATAATTGCTTTGTTGTGACAATTCTATATTGTATATTCACAAAGCACACCACTGAGCAAAATTTATCAATGAAGCAATTTTCAACAGTCATGCACATATCAAGTCAGACCAATTCATGCTTGCTCATGCGGTAATATCTAAATTTATGTTTTTAGAAATATGTTAGAAAACATTACCAATGGCTTCTAAAACTGACCATTTCTCTATTAGATTGCCTAGAATTCCTGGAGGCTCTGCTTGCATCTCTTGTCAAGGCATCATTCGTCTTGGGGACCTGTCGTGGTGGAGCAGGGGCGGGGCTTACAGATAGCCTACCCTCAAGTAATTCATCATCTTCAGTTCTCATAAATGGCACAAAGTCATTGTTCCTGAGAGTTGGTGTTTGCGTACTGGAGCTATCCTCACTGGAAGATGGTCGGAACTCCTTCCTGCTCTGCTGCTGTGACATCACTCTTTCTTGCGCTAACACAGCAGCCTCTCGTCTTGAACCTGCTCTCTCACGTTTGTTTTCTTTTTCTTCTGTGTGATGTGATAACTTTGTATCTGCTCTAGATTTCCTCCCCTGGCTCTCAGTCTCCATCTTTTTCTCCATTTGCGTCTGTTTTGGTTGAGACACCCTCTTGGGAGCACTCCTCTCCTGTAAACTAAGTAACTCCTCCTGTCTCTTCTTCAGTCTTTCTTCCCTCTTACGTTTACTCATCGACATGTCCTTTTCAGAGTTTTTCATTCCCTTTTTAGCTTGTTCACTTTGGCCCCATTTTGGTTTTGAGGCATCACTGTTTTTCCTACTCTTGCTGGCTTTATTGTCAGACGTTTCTTCTTTGATGGAAACCACCTTCGAACCTTTCTCCTTTTTTCTGCCTCCTTCCGCAAGCTGCCTGCTCTTTTCATGATCAGTACGTTTCTTGCTTTTGGGCTTGTACTCGGCTCCTTCACTGGCCATCCGTATAGCTTCAATCAGTCTTGGTGATATATAGTTTACATCCAGATCTATTTCCATGTGGAAGAAGAAATGTAGAGTTTTAAAGATTATATTTGATAAATAAGAATCTTATCAAAATGCCTTTGTAACCATTCGTTAATGATATTTTGGAGATTATAAAAAGTGGAATCTGTAACAAGCACCTTTGAATAACCAGGTGTATTAAAAGGTATATTGATAATTGTAAGTGATAAGCTGTGAAAATTCAATAATTTTCATGTCTTTCCTCTTCTCTCTCTCTCTGTCTCTCTAGTACCTAAGTGCATAGAGATGCAAAGTTGCCATTCATTCACACGTCTAACAAAACTGCAGCGGCATTTGTGGGGCTATGGCCGCGTTATAATAACAATAACACCATCTCACTATGCTTACCAGTTTGTGTTGATACCTCATTGATGGGGGAAGTTGCCGCATCCTGGATGTGAGTTGCCACAGTACGGGCATTCCCTTGAAGGTCTGCAGAGGGGTGTTGCTCTTGTCTTGGTGAGAAACTGATGGAGGTAGTTGGTTTCAAAGCAGGCTGAGGGTGAGATCCAATGGCCTGGGCAGGAAGTCTGGGGGAAGCCTCTGGGCTTTGCCGTTTGTCTGGAGGTAGTTGAGAGAAAGCATGAATTTGAATGAGATACAAGGTGAAAATACAGTTTTCCTTTGATTTTTGTTTAGACAAAACAAAACAATTAGCTGTATATAGATCAAAAATAAAGATGATAACAATGTATACTTAACTGTGACGGTTAACAACATAAATGTGCATGCCACAAAAATGATGAATTTTTTTTTTACCACAAATACTTATATAAGGATCGATTGTAAAGGTTCAAAGTTGTTCTTCACATAGCTGCACTTGATGATCCAAAAGCTGAGCATTTTGTATTCAGTAGGACATCCATGTTCAAAAGTTTGATGCCACCTATCTACTGTTCTTTATTACCAAAGGAGATGATTCCTATATGTCAGATTTTGCATAATACAAAAAGCAAGCAAATGTTTTAAGAACTCAAGGCAATAAATGTTTTAAGAACTCAAGGCAATAAATGTTTTAAGAACTCAAGGCAATAAATGTTTTAAGAACTCAAGGCAATAAATGTTTTAAGAACTCAAGGCAATAAATGTTTTAAGAACTCAAGGCAATAAACTTTTAAAGAACTCAAGGCAATAAAACATTTATTAAATGTTTGAAAAAAATGAATATAGTTGTACCCCCCAAACATACCTTCCCAGCTTTTCCTAAGGTTGCTGACATCATGGCCCTGCCTCTCTAGCTTCCGCATCCTCCCTGCGTGTTTCTCTCTCATGGCTGCATCGTGTGCATTCTGCATGCTCTCTTCTAAGGCTCTCTGCTTAGCCGCACAGGCCTCTTCTTTCTTCCTCAGCTTCTCCTGCTCATGCTCGAAGTCTCGGGCAAGATGGTCCCTTTCCTCGGCCAACTTTCTCTCCTCCTCGGCCTCCTCCTGCCGCCGAAGGGCCAATGCCTCTTGCTTTTTCCTCCGCTTCTCCTCCACCTGGGCCTGCACAAACGCCTGTTGGATAGGGAAGAATGTGTGGTGAGTTGAGGGAGATGGATAAGAAAAAAAATACTCAAGCAATACAAACATTTGTCAAACAGATAAATCAGTATTTGTCATTGGTTAACAAGTAACCAGCAGCCTTTCACAGAACTAAAATTGTCAAAGAATCAATTATGCCTTTCCTTGAAAATATTATATTGCAATTAGTATTACTTTACAACTGCCTTTCAACATTTACAACATCCTTTGCATTCTTTGTATGGAATGCACTCAAGCTTTAGTGGAATATTTTTTAAATCCCAATACACCAATATAGAATAGTGAAAGATAAACCAATACATTTAGGTGAATGGATCATCACTAAAGTTTCCACAAATTTACAAGCATTTCAACTACTTACATACTAGTATATGATTTTTTTTTAATGAAAAAGTGAGATTCAAAGTTATTAAGAAGTAATCTACAAAGATTCATACAAAATTTACTTACCATATGTTCCAATTTCTTCTTTTTCTGGATATCTCTTCTCTCCATTTCAGCTGGATCAATCAGAGCATTGGCAGGCCTCAAGTGCGATCTGATGGGTTTTTGGAGCAAGAGAGAGAAAACTTATACTAGAGTAATCTTATTCATGATACTGTCATATAATACAAGCTCAACATAACTGTTAATTTATTACTGACCTACAGATCAACTGGATGTCAACTAGTAGTGTCAGAAGTATAGTGATATAAAAATCAAGGTTAAAGGAACTGACCTGGGAGAAGCATCATCGTTGGTGTGGGGAGAACGGGAGCGGTTAAGTGGCGCACTTTTTGGTTGCTCCGTTTCCCTAGTCTGTTCTTTCCTCTCAGCTGCCATCCTACTCATAACACGAGAGTCATCTTGTACCTTGAATGAAAGAAATCAAAGAAAACATGTTTTGTGATCAGTTTTGTGATTAGCATGATCAGCCTGAAACAAAGCATTGACAAGGCCTGACATCAGGAGAAGGCCCTTTATTGAGAGAGAGAGAGAGAGAGAAACCAAGGACTTGCTTTCATCACTTAAGAAAAAGGGATCATGGGGGACCAACAGGTACCGCTTAGGCATTGTCGGAAATATAGAGGGCGCAAGTAGATACAAATAGTGCAGTCCTGCGTTTAATCCGTTGCCCACGATAACAAGGTCATTCCTGTACTTAACTTATGGGAATGACAGTAGTCGGTAGTCAACAGGTTGCAGAAGCCCAATGAAACACACATGCTTACCTGGCTGACCTTGTTATCCATTCGAGATATCATCTTGGGCTGAGGATGTTCAACAGGTTCTGCCCAGTGCTGCATGACGGCCGATTCTGCGGCACGGTCGCTGGCCTTTTCCTGCTCTTTCTTCTCTTTAGCCTCTCTCTTCTGCCTCTCTGTTTAGCCAAGGAATATTGAGCAGACAAGTGATAAAGATTTATCATTTAATGCAATATCAATATCAAACTAGGAAAAACAGAACCTCCCACAAGTGGGAATGTATTTAAGTACAGTAGAAATTTTATAAATAGGTTAGACATTTTGTAGTAAAAATGCAGGCACAAATAATTTTTTCCCGTAGAAAAAAAAAGGTGAAAAATTCCATTGAAATGCTGACACTTTTGTAACAGGAGGGTTTACTCACTTTTGTGCATTATCATATTTGATTATCATCATGGCCCACTCGATCCTTACTTAAAATTGATTTCTAAATTTCTGCAGATATATAAATTAACCGTTAAAAAAACAATTAAAAAAATCCACAAAATTGAACAGTGAAATAGTGCATTGTCATAATTGCTGAAAAAGAATATTTACCCAAGTCTTCAAGCCACAGTTGTTTCTCTTTCCTTTTAAAATCATCATCGTGTCCATTATGCATTCCCTGTGCAAAGGAGAAACAAAAGTGTAAGAAGTTGGCTTGAGTATGTGCATTTTAATGCATACACATACATACATTTTTTATGTTAGTTAATTTAATTCAAACTCAGTAATCAACATAATGATCTATGCTATTGTTTTCAATGTTTATAAAGAAATGCCTGTATACAAGCACCCCAGTATCTTAAAATGTACTGGTCTAATTATCACCATATGTAATTACATTATATACTAGATTGTACAGAAAGTTGGAATTGAGGATGGGATAAAATTAATTAATTAGTCCACTGAAATATGGTATTCTCAGCTAATCTGATACTGTAGACAGTGATTTTATCTGCCACAATATTTTCTAAAGCAATATACAATGAACAGGCAGAAAATCCATGATATCCTCTGTTTGGAGCCAAGGGTTTTAAATAGACCATTGGTGTCTCTTATTTTACAAATAACTTGATCACTTTAAGCCATGGGTTATCACATTTAGATGGGAACCTTTCTTGTATGGTAGGCATGGTAGGAAAGAATGATGGAGGGTCACATGGTGTCATTTGACCAATTACATTGCCTGCATTCTTAAACCCATTTTTATAAAAGGTTAAACAGGGTTGTTATAAGATCATAGACAAAGGAGAGCTACTTAATGTGTCATAGCTATACAGAGTGACCGATATACAACACACCCCAATGGCAAAAGAGCTTCTCATTGCTGCTGGTACATTCCTCTGCTTCTCCCTGTGACTAAGACCAGAAATTGACTGGCTCATCATGTCATTTGACCCTTGACCTCTGCTGCTTCGACCTGGACTTGGATCACTCGTACTGACCTTTACCAAATAAGAGAAAAGCAGAATTAAAGTTAGGCAATCAATGGCATCCTGTCTTTTGTTATTTTCTAACTGTCAAAATAAGTGACATTGCATCTGTGATTAGTTGATCACAGTAAGGCCTAAAATAAAAACTTGTTGTATTGCCCTTTGCGACCGACCAAAAAATCAGAAAATCTATGTTCGGCATTTTAAAAAAGTTTTTTTTTTTCCAACCGTTTTTTAGATTTTTTTTAGATTAATGAATAAAAAAATATGTATTTTAGTCGTTTAAATAGGATATAAATGCATAAAATCAAATTATTCCAAAATTCTCACTCGTGCAGAACCATGGTTAATTATGAGGTGAAAAAGATATGAATAGAATGATGACACTGAAACACATGTATTAGAGCATTAAAAACTGAGAAATATCAGCCAAAAGAGGGCGACAAAAAAAAGTTTTAAAAAATAAAAACTTTTCTGACCGACCGACCCATGTTTTGGCACCCAAAGGACAATACAACAAGTTTTTATTTTAGGCCTAATAGAAAACATCCCCATCGCATTAACAAAGTAAAAATAGTCTCGCTTGTCCATTTTTTTTTCTTCTGAGAGGGAGAAATCTCTTAATTGGAGTTATGTTTTCATGTTCATGCACAATGAAACAACTATGAGTCATAATGTAATTTCACTGCAAAGATCAGATGGTTATTTCTGTTATACTGATATTGAGAAGATACTTACAACTACATACATTATATTGCATAACTGCACAAGAAACAGCATTTTACATAAGACATACAATAAACTTTACTACCTGTGGTACTTGATTGTCTCTAGGAGATGAAGCATCCACACTACTCCTCATTGGGGCTCCACCACCGGGCTGTCCCCATGGATTCCATCCATCAGAGTTCACCGCTATCTGGCTACGCCCCCTCCGGCCCCTGCCTTCTTTCTCCTGAGCGGCTTGTTTCGCTGCGAGCTGAGCATCTGAGGTCAATAAAGCAGGATGTTTGTAATCATTTATATTAGTTTCAAAAAATGATTCCTCATGTATCGTAAGTAACGCCAATTTTCAATATTTAGTTCATCCATTTCAATTACATCAACATGATAAGGGCTTTGCTAAAAAACAGTTCATTTTTGTTCCAGTACTTCTCTCCTCTTTTAGAAAATCAATGACTGTCTTTAAAAAAATAGCCATATAGTGATGATGTTAAGTGACTTCCCCAAAGAATTCAACCATATTGGCCGATTAATATGCATGACTGTCAGTGCAGCATGCAACTTTACAGAATTTCATTTTCTAGTGTGTGTGTCCCTCAAAGTATGCTCTCAAAGTATGCTCTCAAAGTATAGAGAGATATATGGCTTGGACTGCCTAGCTACAAACACTTACCAAGCTCCTGCTTCCATTGTTGTTTTTTCCTCTCCACCAAAGACCTGTCATTCTGCTCACTCATGCCTATGGTATTGAGGATATCTGCCTGACCCAATCTAGGAGACTGCTTCTGGACAACGGCTGCTGTCCTAGTTGACTCCTGGGTCCTCGTCTCCTTAGGTGCATCATTGCTAGCTGTCTGATCATTATTATTACCGTCTTGATTATTGTTGGCATTGGTGATCACGGCAGAAGTGTTTTCATCACCATCTCTTTCCCTCGCCTTTTCGCTTTCTTTATTCTCATTTTCCTGGTTGATGCTGCTCAGATTCACCTTTAGTTCACCAGCATCTAATGCATTAAGAGACATACACTGTAATCAGTAGTAGGATCAGAATGATTTACAGCTAGTCATAGCAGAAGTTGAATACATTTGAGCTCTGTTAGACACACGCAATATGTGTACATGTATTAATCAATAACATTTTTTAATAGAAATGCAATCATAAATATGTCAAGCACATCAAAATCGATGTGCCAAATTCACCTTTTTAAAAAGAGCATTTCAACTCCTTTTTGAGAGGACAAATGTCACATATCAAAGGTCAAGCAGATATATATCAAAGGGACAGTTCATTTTTATTTTGGTTTGTTTATTTCAACTCAAATCATTCCTATGGCATTGTTAAAGGCACTGGGATGTTTCCATTAAATATGGTATACAATCCAAACATCGTTATTTGGCACAGAGTATATTTTCAAGACCCTCATGGTACTTCCATATATAATGAAGAGAGAGACTCACCAATGGAGAAGCTCGGAGCTCCAGCTGACTCACCGGCGTTGCCGATAGTTTTGAGAATGGCATTAAGCTGATCCTGAGTGAGAGTCACAGTGTCCGCTTGTTTCAAAATCTTCTCTCTCTTAGTGAGAGCCTTCTTGTTTTTATCAATGAAATGACTTTTCACTTTCTCTTTTTGATCTGGGGCTTTGGTAGAATTCTTCTGATTCAAAACGTGTTTGTTCACAGTTTGTTTGTTAGTTGATTTCTGTTGTTCACTTGGTCTACTGCCAGCTGTTTTGCTAAGTTGCTGATTTCCTTCATCAATGGTTCCATTGACATTCCTCCGAACAGGGAAGGATTGAGTCTTGGATTTGTAACTAAACTGCAAAACAAGAGAAGGGAAATGAAGCACTTAGCTATTAAAATTGGATGGTTATGTTTTAAATGTGATAATTAACAATAAATCTATCTCTCTTATCACTGTGTCTGCACAATAATAAAGATATTAGAGAAATTATTACAAGTATTAAAGAAAATATAATATCAATTGTATATGGAAAGAGCTTTCATATTAAATATGCTAACAAAATATGTGTAGAACTCTAGTGGATGATGCTGGTAGATTCATTAAATGTTAACACTTTTATTTCTATTCTCTGAACTCCATGCACTCCACGCCACCCCATCCTTGGTAACACATATTTATTGTACTCTTCAAACTCCAAACCCCGCCGATCCCCCCCCCCCCCCCCCCCCTCTCAAACAAAAAAATAAGGGTGGGGAAGTAATTCTTGCTTACCTTCTTTGGTTTTGCCTTTGTATCTGTGAATAATAACAGTAAAAAACATTATAGTGAAAAACAAAAGGATAAAGCAAAGAGGATAGCATGTGGGATCGTTCTCACAGGAATTCTGCGAAACATAATTCATCATGCAACTCTTTAATATGTAGTAGAGCAGTCAAAGATTTATGTGAGAATACTTTTATCATAGAATGTTTATGGAATGGTTTTTGTAAACATATGCGATTTGAAATTCATTCTCTTAAAGAAGAAATATTTACTATACATGTACATGTATTATGGTCATGGTCACGATGTTACATTGTAGCTACTCCATATTAACTACTTCTTCCTAGCCAATTAAATGGTCATCTCAACTAAAAATAAACTAATAAGTTATAATCAAAATGACAACATACTCATACCTTTAAACATATGACCAATCGAGTTTCCGGACTTGGCTTTGGCAGCTATTCTCAAGCCCTCCCTGTAATAAAATTGGAATATATAGGCTATGAATATAAAGAAAAACAGCATTAAACTATTGAATGAGATCTGTCTGGCTCTGGTGGTTAAATAATTTCACTTACCGTTAGAATACCAAAAAACTTTGTCTAAATCTATCAACTGGCATGGTATGTGTGAACTTTAAATAGTTGGATTAACTCGGCACCATTAATTCTTACTTGTTATTTGCACAAACTTAATCGACCACAACTCCTTGAAATCTAATGTGGTGTATGAAGTTATACCCAGACTACAAAAAACCCTATAAAGGTCACACATAGCTGCATTACTATTCTGGCTCTGTATTAATAACTGTTCTATTGATTCTCAACATTTCAAACACCACTGTACAAAACTCAACTGAGCTCACTCAAAATCGGTACTTTAGTGACAATTGATAACACTTAAATAGCAGAAAATTACAATCTTTTCAACTTACCGATGTTAGAAAGAATATTTTGAAAATTCAAATAGTGAGTCTACTGTCAAACTTGCTGATCAGCCACATCATATTCATTGTGTGCATTAGTGTGCAATTGTTTTTAGTGTGTGTATTGTGTGTAATTGTTGCCTCTCAGCATGTAGTACAGCGCTAGAGGTCGAACACATTAGCATCGACTCTATGCTTTGCTGGAGTGTAAAGGTTAAAGCCCTACATGTATGAATGCTCTAGACCAGGGGGTGTTCATAAAGAGTTCGTAAAGTTACGCATGACTTTACGAACGACTTGTATATGAAGTGCCAGATAGGATGCCCAAAGTTTTTTCTGATATTTCCAATAACCTCAATTAAATTATGGCAAAAAATATACTTTGCATTAAAAATGGTTGTTATAATAATAAGAATGTTAATCTACATCTGCACAGTTCAACTTAATAAATAATAATCAATAATGTTTGAGCATCCCATTTGGCTTTTCAAATAGGTCTACAAGTCGTTCGTAAAGTCATGCGTAACTTTACAAACAGCTTTATGAAACACCCCCAGGTCTTCTCAACTAGTTTATTACTTATTAGAAGTGCCAAATCAAAAAGAATTTGTAGTTGAAGATCCAACCTGTAAGTTTGACTGTGCTGTGAGGGGGCGTAGCGAAATGAGCCGACAGCAGGAGGGGTCCAGGGGTGAAGCCCCAGTGGGGGTGCAGAGGGCAGAGCCCCCTGAAGCTGGTGGATTTTAGGCCTTTATCAAGGGCAGGCCCAGATGTGGCATTTTCAACACCTTTTTATTCTAAAATATATCAATCCTAATTTCATATCAATGTGAACAAATTCTTGGGTACAAATAAAACACTGGAGGTTACTGTAGTTATTTTTGGTGCAATAAATACAGAAAATGTCACAATTAAGTGATAATAAAAAAAGAAAAAAAAAAGATCTGCAATGTAAAAATTGGTAGCACATCGTAAGCTTATTGTTGTGTAGAGTTCAGGTTTGGAGTTGTATAAAATGGTAAAAAACATTAAATTCCCCTTTCTTCCTGCTTTTAAAGCAGACATTTTGGGCTCAACTTCAACTTCTTGATTTTGCTGAGTTTTAATTATGAAATATAATTTTTTTTTTCTTCTTTGCACCCGTGCGACACTCCGACTGAGCATCATCAACTTCGCGAGCATCCGCGTCAACATCGCGTTCTTCAAGGCTCTTCAGCCACGAACAATGAAGTCGCCTCTCCGCCTTCCAGCCTCTGTCCGAGTCTGCATCATCATTGCATCGTGCATGCACGAGAGTCCTTTTCTTCACCCGTCATCATTTTCAATTCCATTGCATTGCCATTGGCATTGGACTTTGTCCGAGTCTGCATCATCATTGCATCATGCACGAGAGCCTCTTTCTTCACCCGTCATCATTTTCAATTCCATTGCATTGCCATTGGCATTGGACTTTCAACGTCATTTCTAAATTCTAGTTTATTCTAGTGTCTACTTCGGGTCTTTTTAGTAAGCTTAAGTCACTGCATTTATTCATGTCCATGCATCTCATTTATTATTGGCCAATTTATCTCTGTGCAATATACCCGGTAGTCTAGATCTAGACTTTTGACTACTTGATTCTCATCAGGGAATAATTTTCCTGGTATCGCATCGCAATTTGCTATGCATTTTTGCATGACTGCTATACAAAATATTGTTTGTGTAGCAGTTTTCTTCCATAGAAATGTACAGAATTTCATTTGAAATATTTATCCATCAGCTGAAATTGCTAATCAAAATATTTGAGGAAAATTATTCCCTGCTCATTCATAATTCATGTCATTCTTAACCGGCAAGTGCGGTGCAGGTGCAGTGGTAATGGAGCGCTGCCCCACGGTCTTGGCAGCGGCATGCAGTGGCAGTGCGATGCCATGCATGTCACAGCTAGCGCTAGCTGCGACGACAGCGACATCGACAGTCGCAGTCGATGATTCACCTACTAATTTGCTCATTGTATTACACTTACCCTCGATTCATAATGATGCTACAGAAGACAACTTATGCATGCATGCATATTATTTATTCCATCATCTGTCGTCGGTTTTCAAATGCAGATTTTCATAAATACAATATTGTTCGCTTCCTTGGTTTCACGGTTGTTATGCTGAAGAAAATAAAATCGGGAATGTATGATTTCTGCGCATGCTCAGTTATATTTAGCATAGACTGCATATTCAGACCTTCTTTTCTTCCGTGAAGAAATCTTTATTCCCAAAATAGCCCTTTATCCGGCCCCTTTACCCAGGGTCAGTGGCTTAATGAGCAAAAAACGTTTAGGGGGTCAGAAAAAAAATCCGTATCACCACCAAGTAGCATAATACAAGGGCGGTGGAGCGTCTTCCAAAAATAGGGAGGGCAACAACCAGGCGCGGATCCAGGATTTCTTAGGGGGGGGGGGGGGGGGGGGGGGGGGGTGGGGGGGGGGGGGGGGGGGGGGGGGGGGGGGGGGGGGGGGGGGGGGGGGGGGGGGGGGGGGGGGGGGGGGGGGGGGGCCCAAATTTGAAATTATGCGAGCCAAAAATTGGAACGTAATGGTGACCAGCAGTGACGTAATGCGGGGGGGGGGTGGGTGCAGGGAGGGGCGAGTTTCCCCCTCCCTCCTCCTCGAAACGCGATAGCTTTGACGTTTCATTAAATTATTAGAGAAAGAAGACGATTCATAGTACCGTTCTCGTAAATAATCCTCTTCTGAATTCAGGTTCACCCCTCCCGCGCGAAGCGCGGAAACTTTTACGTTTCATTAAATAATTAGAGAAACAAGACGATTCGTTGTACAGTTCTCGACTCTTAATCCTCGACTGAATACAGGTTCCCCTCTCCCGCGCGAAGCGCGGAAGCTTTTACGTTTCATTAAATCATTAGAGAAACAAGACGATTCGTTGTACATTTCTCGACTCTTAATCCTCGTCTGAATTCAGTTTTTCCCCCTCCCGCGCGAAGCGCGGAAGGTTTTACGATTCATTAAATCATTAGAGAAACAAGACGATTCGTTGTACATTTCTCGACTCTTAATCCTCGTCTGAATTCAGTTGTCCCCCTCCCGCGCGAAGCGCGGAAGCTTTTACGATTCATTAAATCATTAGAGAAAGAAGACTATTCGTTGTACCGTTCTCGAAAATAATCCTCATCTGAATTCATTTTCACCGCCCCCCCCCCCCCCGGCCCCCCGGCCCCTCCTGCGCGAAGCGCGGAAGCTTTTACGATTCATTAAATCATTAGAGAAAGAAGACGATTCGTTGTACAGTTCTCGACTCTTAATCCTCGTCTGAATACAGGTTACCCCCTCCCGCGCGAAGCGCGGAAGCTTTTACGTTTCTTTAAATCATTAGAGAAACAAGACGATTCGTTGTACATTTCTCGACTCTTAATCCTCGTCTGAATTCAGTTTTCCCCCTCCCGCGCGAAGCGCGAAATCTTTTACGATTCATTAAATCATTAGTGAAAGAAGACGATTCGTTGTACCGTTCTCGACTCTTAATTCTTGTCTAAATGTAGTCCCAACCCCCAACCCCTCCTGCGCGAAGCGCGGAAGCTTTGACGTTTCATTAAATTATTAGAGAAAGAAGACGATTCGTTGTACCGTTCTCGAAAATAATCCTCGTCTGAATTCAGTTACCCCCCCCCCCCCTCCCGCGCGTAGCGCGGAAGCTTTTACGATTCATTAAATTATTAGAGAAAGAAGACGATTCGTTGTACCGTTCTCGAAAATAATCCTCGTCTGAATTCAGTTACCCCCCCTCCTGCGCGTAGCGCGGAAGCTTTTACGATTCATTAAATCATTAGAGAAAGAAGACAATTCGTTGTACCGTTCTCGACTCTTAATTCTTGTCTAAATTCAGTCCCACCCCCCCCCCCTCCTGCGCGAAGCGCGGAAGCTTTTACATTTCTTTAAATCTTTAGAGAAACAAGACGATTCGTTGTACCGTTCTCGATGCTTAATCCTCGTCCGAGTTCAGTTTCCCCCCTCCCGCGCGAAGCGCGGGGGCTTTTACGTTTCATTAAATTATTAGAGAAAGAAGACGATGCGTTGTACCGTTCTCTACACTAATCTTTGTCTGAATTTTAAAGATGTTCTTTGTCTGCTCCTTTTTCTTTCTACGTCCTCTTTCTTTTCTCTCCTCTTCTTTTTTAGGGGGGGCGGTTATTGTTTGGGTACCGCCCCCACCGCCCCCACCGCCCCACCGCCCCCCCCCCCCCTGGCTATACGCGCCTGCGGTCAGATTAACACATTTTGATACCTTGTCCGACCCTGGAAGCTCAGACGTTTAAGGCAATAAATTACGGTCAGACAAGCATTCAGGAGCCCGCCTTAGGGCCCCTGGTGGGGTCGAGGCGGTGGAGCCCCCGGAAGCTCGGGGTTTTTAGGCGTTTAATTACGGTCAGATGAGCATTTTTTATAATCCTTATTATTTTGTCACACTGGCAGGACACTTAGGCTTGGGGTCAAGGGGACAAAGCCCCCCAAAATCAGGGGTTTTAGGCATTAAATTACCGTCAACTGAGCATCGAAGGGCCCGTCTTAGGGCCCAAGGTGGAATCCTGGGGGCAGAGCCCCGAAGCTCAGGGGTTTTAGGCGTTTATTTACGGTCAGATGAGCATTTTGTTATGATCCTTATTATTTTGTGTCACTGGCAGGACACTATTTGGCGTGGGATCCAGGGGGCGGAGCCCCCCACAATCAGGGGTTTTAGGCATTAAATAACCGTCAGATGAGCATCGAAGGGCCACCTTAGGGCCCTAGGTGGAATCCAGGGGGTAGATCCCCCGGAAGCTTAGGGGTTACCGTTTTAGGCATTTAATCACGGTCAGATGATCATATTTTGATGCCTCTGTATTTGTTAACACTGGCAGTTAACTATTCTTTCTTTCTTGCTCTTTTTCTTTTTTTTATTTCTCTTTAATATACTTTTTTTGTTAAAGTGTGGGGGGGGGCTCGAGGCTCCCGATTCCCGCCGTTCCTCGGGCCCTGACATGTAGGAATCTCAAGAATCACATTTCTTGCCTGGCTGTAAATTTATCATTTGTCATTTTGTCATTTTCCAACAAACGCATAAAAAGTATAATTTACTAAAAAGTGAGGAAAAATCTCGGAAATTATGTCATTTCAGCATTATTTGTAATCCACAATTATGGAATTAGAAATAAAACACGTTTGAATTTGATTTCCCCCAAGCCCCCCCCCCCCCCTCTCTACAGCCTGGGAGGCAAGGCCCTTTCGCCCCCCCCCCCCCGATCTCCTTCTTCTCCTTTTTCTTTTCTTCTTCCTCTTCTTTCTTTCCCTTTCTCTCCTCTTTCCCTTTCCCTTCTTTTCCTTTCTTCTCTCTTTTTTTTTTTTTTTTTTTTGCCGGGGGGGGGGGGGGGGCCAAGGCCCGCTCGGCCCCCCTGGATCCGCGCCTGGCAACAACAAAAAAGGGGCACCTAAAAAGGGTAACTTTAAAAAAAAACATACATTGGTATTCCTACATCGTCATGATTGCGATCGCACTACCAGGGATGATATCGATAATTTGTTTATTTCTTTACGTGGAACAAGATACTGCTGAATTAAGCAACATTACACTGTGCAGTTGGGTGTAATGGTCTGAATTTTCGAGCGAGCGAGCAAAAATGTGAAGATTTGTGAGGCCCCAGTGCAAAAAAAATTGCATTTTCAAGTTCAAGTTCAAGTTCATTTATTCAAAACCACACAAAACATGATATAATCTTTACATGAAAAAGAGACTGGTGATAGTACATTGATTAATCAACATATATTAACTTGATTACATTATTAATTGAATGGTTTTAGGACTCCTGTATACAAGCTAAGCTTGTGAGCAGGGCCCTATAGTCAACAAAACTAGTACATTAACGATATGGCAAGGTGAATATAAAGAATGTAATGTTTATACAAGGGATGGAAGAAAAAAATAAGCTACAGAGTATAGAACACAAATATATATATATATATCTTATAAAGAAGGAAGGAAAAAAATCCTGATGAGTATTAAGCACAATCTAATTGGAGAAAGTGTGAAAAGTTCTTTTATAAATAACATACTTATAACATCTATAAATGGGAGCGAGCGTAGCGAGCGAGCTCCAGGGAAAATAATAGGAAAGGGGGCTCTAAATAACCTTGAATTAGGGGTGCATGTTAAGGAGGAAGGAAAAGTAGGCACTTATCAAAAGGGAAAGTTATTAGAAAAAAAAGGTGCTCGTGTCAAAGTAAAAGGGCAATTATCAGAGGTGAAAAAGTTGCACTTCTTGCACCTAAATAGGAACACTCAACAGGCCCTTGTGAGAATGGAAATGGAGAATTTGTTGAAGGAAGAGGGCACCTATCTATAAGATTTTAATAGGGGCATTTATCAGATATTATTTTGATAAGGGGGATGGGTTCATATAAAAATAAAAGAGGCACTTATCAGAGGTGAAAAGGGGCATTTAAGAGAAAGGGAAGGAAAAGTACACTAATTAAAAAGGAAAGGGGCACGAGTCAAAATTAAAAGGGCAAAAATATCAGAGGTGAAAAATAAAAGAGAGTAAAAGGACAGTTATTAGAAGAGAAAAGGGGCACTTGATCTATGTAAAAATGGGCTTTTGGGGATTACCTGAAAAAGTGGGGGCACAGTGCCCCCCCCCCCCCCCCACCGGGAGTGCCGCCTCTTGCATAATGGGCAAAAGTGAGAGAATGTCATTTCAGCAACATTATGTATATCACTGATATCGAATTAAAAATAAACCACTTCTGAATTTTATTTTGGGGTCAACTGCCCCCCCGCCCCATCAATACGCCAGTACCAAGGGTGGGGGGGGGGGGGGGGGGTCTGTGGCCTGTACATCATCCGCTTACACGAAAACGCGCGCCAATAGAATGAGAGAGAGAGAGAGAGAGAGAGAGGGAGAAAGAGTGAGAGAGGCAGGGAAATAATACACGGGGGTTCGGGGCGAATTAACCCCGAAAGTCATAAAAGAGCCCCAAAATTGTCATATAGTTCCATGGGTGTCGATCCTTACGTAATACCTATTGTTCAGGGGGATGAATGAATAGATCATCCCCCCCCCCTGAACAATAGGTATCAATTACAGATCGACACCCATGTATAGTTCAATGCAAAACAAATATTTTCATGCAAGCCAAGCTTGAAAAGTAGCCTCTGATTTTTTTTAAAAACATTTTTGTCCCAGAACTCAGAGAGAAACATAGAATGAGGGGGCCGAAACGGTTGCCCTACTTTGAGAAAAAAAAACATTAAAAAAGCTTTGAAGAATAAAGAAAATATGCAGGCCCTTTTGCCCTGAGCTGAGGGCAGAGCTGCATAACGAAAATTATCATGACCGTGCTTTTTAGGGCTTGAATCTAGACTAATTTTCAAAGTGCAAGAAACGAATTCGACCCGAGTCGAATTCACGCAAAATATCGCCCCTACCAGAGATCATTATCGAGGATTATCGAATCACCCAGCCGCAGATTCTGGCACAGCGCCACGTACCATTATAATTATAGAGAAAAGAAACAAATGATAAATCTTTCTTTTGGCTGTGAATTAATTTCTGAGGGAAGCTTTGTGTAATGGTCAACCCAAACAATTATTTTTGCGATTAGCCTTAGGTAACATTTATGCCAGTACCAAATTATTTTAACCAATAGCCAGTCTTTCACGGGCTGAGCAAGGTTATACAATCTTTTTTTTTACAGCAGTTCAAGAATGTTACGGAACAAATCATTAATATGCCTTTTAAAAATGTTTTTAATGTTTTTAATTTCTTTCTTCCTATCTTTGCTTTCTCCTTTGTTGCCCCTTCCTTCGATGTCTTCACTTTGACTGGTACGGTAGCCCAGTGGCGGATCCAGCCCCCCCCCCCCCCCTGGGAAAAATGTGTAAACACGTGATTTTTACCTTTTTCGGGGGTTGGGCCCCCCCCCCCCCTGGCGCACAAGGGGGGGGGGTGCAAATTTTAAATTTTCGAGGGCCAAAACAAAAAATGTGCTCACTAACCCCCCCCCCCCTCCCCTCCCCCCACTGAGCGACTTTTCGGCCGGCGCGATTTTCAAATTTTCAGGAGCAAAAAAAAAAAAAAAAAAAAAAAAAAATTGTGCTCACTTCATCCCCCCCCCCCCCCCCCCCCCCCACTGAGCGACTTTTCGGCCGGCGCGAGTTCAAATTTTCGGGAGCAAAAAAAAAAAAAAAAAAATTGGGCCCCCGTCCCCTAAGAAATCCTGGATCCGCGCTTGTGGTAGCCTTAATGTTGTATCTGAGTTATTTCTATTTTCTTCTGCTTTTTGTAAAACGATTAATCATTCATATAAATGTAATGCCTTATATAATAATTATGTCTTGAAATATTTTTTCTTCGGTGTATGGTAAATTTGTTGTCCACAATTTATTTGTGTAATGGCACGGACATACTTTAAAACAGCCTTTTGGGCTGAAAGTATTTTGTAAAGCGCTTAGAGACATTTGTATTAAGCGCTATATAAAAATTAAATATCATTATTATTATAAAGTGAGAAGGCCCATGTACCGTGTCTAATGATAAAATCAACAACATGGAGATGAAGGACTGCTGTTGTTGTTTTTCCTGGGGGTGGGGTGCGGCACTCTTCTTTCTTTCTTTTTTTGAGTGTCACGCGTTGCTTTAAATAATATAGCCCTGACCCTAACCCATTTCGGAGCAGCGGGTGAGGTTGGCCAATTAGCGAATTTAACCCCCCCCCCCCCTCTAAAAAAATAAAAGGGAACGAGTTTCAACTACTCAAACAATTTGTGAGCACATAGCATGAGCCTACAGAGTTTCATATGGATTGTTGTTGTTGTTGTTTTAGTTTTAAGGGCGTGTGTCATTCAATTATGAATATTTACGCCGATTTACCATTTCCTGGCTAGCCTTTAATCCCGGCCTTTAATAATTTCTCAAAATTTGATTATACTGATTGCTTTCTTCCGGGGTGCGTTGCTTCGCGGGGTTGTCGTATGATGAAAACAATTCTTCTTAAATTCTCTTCTTCTTCTTGGCTGGTACAGTCCACTGTATCGTATGTACTCTCGAATTCAAATATATTAAGGAAAAATGATTTCAGAAAGAAGAAAAAATATACAGGAATCTGATAGGAACATACATAGCGCCTACTCCGGGTACAGGGAGGTATTGCTCTTGAGTGAAAATTTTCTAACATTTGCAAGTGGTCGAAGAAATTAAGCAAACAATCATCTATACATTGTTGACAAGGTAAACGTATAATTTCTTCATAAATAGGCAGATGAATAAGACGTAAAGTTTTTTTAAAAGACCCTCCGCCCCCCCCCCCCCCCCGCCCCGATCGTGCTATGAGATCACAGAAAATGTGGCCAGTTTTGAGTGAGCGGCTCGAGTCACGAGAGTCACACGAGTCGAAATAAGCCAAAGCAGGCGAATTTGGTATAGGGTAAATTTCAGCACTGCGCTTGCGCAAATCTGTTGTGTACGCTCGGGGATATTTTTCCCGCGAGATGAATTTTGAGCAAAATTTCTCTTTTCGGATCTTATAAATGCTGATATGGACATGATTAAATGCTGAAGTCGACTGCTGTCAATTACTGGAATAGTCTCAACCTCCTACCATCATGGGATTCCTAAAATTGTTGATGCTGGACAACTTTAAGTCCTACCAAGGCAAACAGACAATCGGTCCATTCAAGCCATTTGCCGCTATCATCGGTCCAAATGGGGCAGGTACGTACGAGAACTCTTCTTCCACCACATCGCAAACCAAGCCTCCGGCTGGGCCGTTGCCGCCGGGCGGCGCTGGCTTAGACAAGTACAATTGGGGCCCCCTTCGACGCGGCTCAGCTCAGTTCGTGGCTCGGCTTAACTCGGCCTCGGGCCCTGGCCGCGCCTCTGCCTAGCCTTATGCCGGCTTAATAATAATAAGGGCTAGGTGCCGAGACGCCAAGTTCAAAGATCAGCTAGACTCTAACTAGAGTCTAGTTAGACCCAATGCGTGATATTTTCATGAATGTTTGTTCATATAGATCTAGGTCTAGTCTAGACTAGACTCTAGATCTAGGTCTAGATCTAATCAGGAACACAACTCTTTTTTTTGTTTTATAAAAATAATTCAGAAACCTAACCAAAATTTGACCCGTAACTCCGGCGTGGAAATACGCTACTAAAACATAGACCTAGGTCTAGATCTACCCAAAATGAAGTAAATATTCATTAAATGTCCAAATAAAGATCATGACATGAGTTAAAAGTCATTAGACTTCTATGTTTATTAGGGTAGAGTGCCCAGTATTCGGTCACTTAAGGGGAAATCACTAATATTTTGAATTCTTACCTCTTTTGTTTGGCAATCTACCCATCAAAAGAAAAGAAATTTATTCCTCTAACAGGATTTTATAGTCACTTAAAATATAGAATAATGATAAGCAAAATACTTCCGAAAGAAGACGGAGCATTTTTCTGCCCAGAATTCGGTCGCGCCGATTAGAATTCGGTCGCGCCGATTAGAATTCGGTCACGCAATTTGTGCGTGGTATCTCCGTTGCAAAGGAGCGTAGCGTATTTGCGCACTATTTTCACACAATTGCGCGATAAAGCACTGAATGTCAATGCGTTGACCGAATACGGGCCGAGCGATACCGCATGGCAAGGGTATCGTATAAATACCTCTTGCACATCGGCAAGTGCGTCATTTGCAAATTCGCTGCGATGGAGCGAACACGGAAGTGATTCTCTTCACACACATACTAAATTCATTGTGACAGCACACATAGTTGTTTCGCAATAGACTTCTACATATGGCTATGCATGTTAGCGCATGTGCTAAGAGAACGCGGAAGTGCAGAAAGTTGTGCGACACTGACCAATTTCGAGCTAAGTTGGAGATCTTTCCGGGGCCCTAAATCTGATTTAATTTTGAAAGTTAAGAAAAATTGTTCAGCTGCCTGATTTGTGCAAGTTTCGTGGCTCATAAATTATTTTTTTAATTGTTACAGCTGTTGAAACGGCTGTCTGACCGAATACTGGGAATTGACCGAATACTGGGCGCGCTACCCTACCTGTTTCGTGTCAATTTTCTTGTTATTTTTGGAGTTTTTTTGGGGGAAAACAATGATAGAGTCTAGTGTACACTTTTTCACAAGTGCATACCTACCAATGGTGGGTTGCGGGTGGGCGCGCGCCTGTGTGAAGGTGCCTTTAATGGAAGCCTTGATGATAAAATGAAATATGAAATTGATATCACCAAGCCTTAATTCATCCATTAGTTTACCTGTGTGAAGTGTGATGTAGATGAAACCTCAAATGTATACCCATTGGTATATAGGGTCTACATGTAATCTCCCATTTCCGGACTCTACAATGATCCTTCGGAGTTGGCTAGTGGACTTTTCTTTTGTTACATGGTATCTTTATTACATGCATTTAAAAATGTTCAAATGATCTCACTTGTACTTTTACAGGAAAGTCCAACTTGATGGATGCCATCAGTTTTGTACTGGGAGAGAAGACGTCCAATCTTCGTGTGAAGCGACTGTCTGAGCTGATCCATGGAGCTCCCATTGGCAAACCGGCATCCAACAGGGCTACTGTCTCAGCTATCTATGCTGAAGAAGACGGTAGCGAAACACAGTTTACCCGCATGTAAGTTGAATGTCTGGTGATCAACAAATATGAAAGCAATTGCTTGGGCCTTGGCTCTATACTTTGTTGTTTAACCCATTCAGAATTTGGGATTTGTTGAATATATGTGTGAATGATGTTGTGACAACATTTGTGGATCCCTTTGTTCAATTATGAGTAAGTGACTAGTGTGGTACATTGTAAGAAATAGAAGGGGGAATTTCCCCTATATGTTACTCCTACTAGTAGCTCAATTCCAAATTTTGGTATTTGCAGATAGTATCTGTTATGAGCATTGGCACAATGCATAGATGTGGGAAGCATCCAGTGGAGAATACTTATAATGTTAATATGTTATGATAGGTTATTATTTTGATACAGATTGATTATAGCTTTATATTTTCATTTTACTGTCTTTCAGAATCATGGGAGCTTCTTCGGAATACAGGATTGACAACAAGGTAGTGAGTGCAGCACAGTACGCAGAAGCCCTGGAGAAGATTGGCATCCTCGTCAAAGCTAGGAACTTCCTTGTATTCCAGGTTAGGAGCTTATGGAATCCTACAAAAAAGATTATGCTCCATCAGCTCAATTCAATTTCAATTTCAATTCAATTTCAATTTCAATTTATTTATGTTTCCAACAAAACATTTCAAATTGATTATAAACATTTACAACAAATATAGGAATACATATTGGAAACAGAGGGGTCCACTTAAAAGCTCAGCAGTATATTTCTAACAATAGTAGAATTCTTAGTTTCTATCCTAGACCCAACAATACCAAACAATACCAAAACATACAGTAGGCTTGCGGGTGCACCATGTGGGAGAGAGGGAGGATTGAGGAGTCCTGAAAGTCCTGACATATACAAGCTGATACTTACAAGCAGCATCTAATGCCAAAACAGTAATGAATACCTTGGATGCATCTGAAAATGCTATCATGAACTTGTTGTAAACATCACCCAGTGATAAATGTTGAAGCATGGATTGGAGTATTAATCAAGCTATATACATCCAAAATTATTATCGTTGATTATCATAGGGTGCTGTCGAGTCTATTGCCATGAAGAATCCCAAGGAGCGAACTGCCCTCTTCGAGGAGATCAGCCGTTCTGGTGAGCTGCGGGAAGAGTACGAGCAACGGAAGGCTAACATGATCAAAGCAGAGGAGGACACACAGTTCAACTACCATAAGAAGAAAGGGATCGCTGCCGAACGCAAGGAAGCTAAGCTTGAGAAAGAAGAGGCAGAGAGATACCAGAAACTCAAGGAAGAATTGGTAGGTTTGATATCATGCTTTTTAGTAACTGTTACAGTTGCGTAGCAAATACATTTGTATCAAAAGACTTCACACATGATGCGGGGAAACCGTGTTGGGTTTTTTCTCTTTTTTTTTTTTACTTGTAAATGAACATGTAGATGGAAAAAGTAGCTGTACAAGCGAAAGGTCTCACACATACATGTACACACTCATCTGTGTGTTATAAGATTCAGAAATATGAAGGCTATCACACTTAAGTAGTTATTATTTATAAGCACAACATAATTTCATCATGTCTTTAATCGGAATTGTACCTCTCTCAAAGGACTTGAGTCTATGAGAAATTTCTTTGAATCTGACTTTTCCTCCATTTTTCTTTTTTCCTTTTTCTTTTTCTGCTACACTAGGCTGACAAGCAACTCGAGTTTCAACTCTTCAAACTGTATCACAATGAGAACGACATCAAACGGCTGTCTGATGAATTGGGGGGTAGGAACGAGGACCTTAAGAGGTCTGTTGAGAAGAGAGAAGGAGTAGAGGAGCGCATTCGAGGAAAGAAGAAGGAACTTGGACAGCTGACCAGAGAGTTGGCTGCTATTGAGAAGGACACAAGAGAGAAGGTGCGTGTTTTAGCTTGATGATGGGAAACATGCATGTGACATGAAGACAGAGACGTTGATGCCTGTAAATGGAACAGAAGGGAAGGGCCTCTTCTTTTAGAAGTTGAACAACATGAGAATAATGCTAAATATATAACTCATTGCAGATGTAGTATCAAAAATAATATGGCTAGTGATATTAGTTTGTCTTGCAATGTATGGTCAACAAGGGATCTAAAACATAATGCAGTTTCGTGCGCCGCTGCAACACTTCGTCAGGTGATAAAATATAATGTAAGCAAGCGTGTTTTATACTCCTGAGAATATATTCAAGAAATTTATCTCCATGGTCAATTTTACTACATGAACTTGAGTTAATTTTTGTTCACCCTTTTTATTATTTTGCAGGAAGTAGAGCTGAATAAAAAGAAACCACAGTTCATCAAGGCCAAAGAGAACACCAGCCATATGAACAAGAAGTTGGAAAATGCAAAGTAAGTGTGGTTGTTTGGTTGATTTAGAGATAGTGCTTTGTGAAATGCACGATACAGAATGTATTTGTGCATATTTTACTTACAAGGTGTAAACCCCAAAAGACATACATGTACCCATTAATATGTTTAAACCTCCTTTTACAAGATCAATCACTTTTGGACCTAATGTAAGGTAACTACGTTGGAGACTTTTTATTGATACGCCTGTTAGGCTTTCTTTTTGTCAACAAAAGTTTAATTGAAGAAATACAATCTCACTTTCCTAGCTTGCTGAATGAACAATGAAAAAAATTGTGGTAAGAGAATTCGCCTGTCCAACATTTGTTTAGTGGTCCACATGAGGAAGACACATTTTTTGCATGCTGTTCACCACATTCATATTGATCATGTCATTCTTAATTTTTAAGATGTGATATCATGTCATAGATCTCAATTGTTTGGATGAAACAGATTGAAATAAAAGTAACCCAAACATTACAACCTTGAAACCATAACGAAATTATAAATAGAAACAGTAGAAATAAAGGTTTTCACACGAGAAAACATTATACTGTCGGGAGTCACATCATTTCACATTGATTTATTCATTCCTCTCATACTGGGATATTTCTTCTTTCTTTTTTTTTTGCAGGAAATCTCTGAAGTCTGCCAAGAAGGCTCATGAGAAGCACATGGCTGATATCAAGGAGCTGGAAGAGGAATTAGAGGCTATTGAGAGGAAGAGACACGATTATGAGGAGAGATTGGAGGAGGAGAGTCAGAGCCAGGGCAAGGACATGACCCTCGAGACATCACAGGTGATTTAACTGTTAAAATTACCCTTATGGGCTTGAAATTAGCAGTTGCCTCTGTCTGTTGACCACCTAAATTCTAGTAGGGAAACCATGATCCTGCATGTTTTTAAACAAAAAATACCTCACTGTTATGTGGATTAATATTTTATTCACTTCTTTTGCAGTTGTAAATGACCTTGTCATATATTTGATGGGGTTAGTTATATTTTCGGCAGTTATAAGTGAAAATCATGTTTAAACAGTGTCGAGTGATGATACATAAATTATTTTAAATGTATTTATTTAAGACTCGTACAAATCGCTTATGACAAGTTTCTGTTTGTCTTGTGCTGATCTGACATACGCTCCAGCCGTAGTACCTTTTGGCTTTCAGGTTAGGGTCACAATAAGGTTTTATGTTTGGTGTAAGATATTGTGTTAGGTCCCGGATTGAAGTTCGCCAATCGGTTAGTTCAGTATAATGTAGTTTATTTTCATGTATTTTTCTGAATCTAAGGTTACTGAATACCACTCCCTGAAGAAAGAGGCTGGTATGAGAGCAGCACAGCTCCTGCAGGAGCTAGAGAAACTCAACCGAGATCAAAAGTCTGACCAAGATAGGCTGGAGAGTGAACGCACACGCAAGTCAGAAATACAAGCCAAGATCAAGCAGAAAGAACATGAAAGGTCAACTACTCAATTTTTCTCTTTTCTTTAAAGCCCCACTGTACTACTTGTAGCTACTTGCACCCTCCAAGTAGCAAACAATGTCTAATTGGTGAACGTTGGTCCCCCGTGATCCCCCTTTTCTTATGATAATTGAGAGCTGATTTGACAAGAAAACCACCTGTCAGTGACCTTGCAGGGAGGTCTAATACCTCCTGGCTAAACTAGTGTAGACGGGCTTTAAACAATATAAATCCAATATGGATTGAAAAACTTTGGTTCTGTGTGAAGGTATTCATAGTATCTTTTATCTTCTTCATACATCTTAACCAATGATTGTTAGAATGATACGTAAAGTTTTCTTTGAGATGATTCAATTCATACCAGCTGAATCCACAGTATCTTTTTAGCTTTCCGTTTGAAATTGTCAAATTTGCTAAGAGATCGAGCAATATCTGACATGGAAAAAATACTTGAATTCAAAAATTACTTAAGAAATACCATCTGATTTTTGTCTAAACTCTAGAAGAGATCTTTTTGAAGATAATTAATGAACTCTACTATGTTACCTTTATTTTCTATAGGGAGGAGAATCAGAGACGTCTTGAGAAGCTGAATGATTATATCCGGTAAGAATTTAAAAGATCTTTACTTCAGATGACACAGTTGATATGAAGGTGTGATTTTAATCATTAAAAAGTCATGTATTCAAGGTGTTCATGCTTATTCTTGTGGTTTTGAATATTAACGGTCTTGATTGATACTATTAGTAATAAACAAACAATTGAACATGGAACACTCAAGAGTTTGAATATTATATCAGCTACACTTCTGCAGCTTGTTTATTTGAAAACTGAAATCGCATACATGCTTTTGTGCTCTTCAGTATTATAGTAGCATGCTTTTGAGTCTTCCAAAGTAGTTGAGTCTTACAAAGAAACCGATCAACAAAATAGGCATGGCATGAATAACAAGGTGATTACCATATGAGTGTGACATTGCCTGTTGTAGCCTGAAGAGAAATTACTCAAAGAAATATCTCAAAGTATATGAGCAAAGCCACCTTTGGTTCTTGACAGACAACAAATGAAATAACACGTTCTTGCCATCTTGTGAACAGGGCGAGTGAAGCAAACATTGCCGAGCAGACCCGTCTTCGTGAGAGTCTTGAGGAGGAGGTGATGGGAGCATCAAGCCGGATGCAGGAGATTGAGACGGAGATGGTATCCATCGTGGAGCAGCTAGGAGAAGCCAAGGTGGATAAACATGAGAGCGCACGTCATCACAAGAAGGCAGAACTCATTGATAATCTCAAGAGACTCTTCACTGGGGTGGTAAGTAAATAGCCTGGAGTTACGTGTATCGATAATCTTTTCGTGATTTTGTTAGTTTGTGTGGTTTGTGATACTTACAGATAAAGTTGAGTTCTGGTCATGCGATTGCATTGTGAAAGAAACAGTGTGGAATCGATCAGATAAAGTTGATGATTTAGCATGTAAGTATTGGTGTGTACTACAAAGTTCTGAAGTCATCAAAATGATAAGAAATTTGGCCCAGTCTTGGTAAAGTAGCAAGCACTGTACACATTAAGATGTATATGGGACTACACAAACATGTGGAATAAAAATCGGACCTCATTTTTAAGCTGTTGTCATATTTAGAATATTAATATTTTTTTAAAGAGCCATGCTTTTCAGGAAACATTTTTTCTCTGATGTTCTTTCACACTTGCATAATAACAATGATAACGCTCACAAATTGTTTGTCACCTCTCCCAGAACTCGACCTTCTCTTTGATTTGCAAGATCCTTTTGTGTGAATAGCTTTTTATACAAATTATAAATATTCTTGAGAGTTGTCACAAATATTTTATGGATGATACCATGACAAATTGTTGAGGATCAGGATATAGTGAAATGAAGCAATTCGCAAGATCACAGCACTTGGAAGACAGCTCACTATAGAAGAGCTATCGATAGGATCAACAAACATGTCTGTGGACAGATCGCTTCCGATGATGAGTTGCATAGTAGAGATTTTATATAGATATGATTCATCATAGTGTCTCTTGACACAAAGGCTGTATCAGTACAGATTTCTAGCCGAAATAATTATTAACACCTTTTTTTCTTCCTCAGGTTGGGCGTTTGATTGACCTCTGTGAGCCTAGTCAGAAGAAGTACCAGATAGCCGTCACCAAGGTGCTGGGAAAGAACATGGATGCCATCATCGTGGATTCAGAGAAGACAGCCAGGGACTGTATCCAGTACATGAAGGAACAACGCTCAGACCCAGAGACTTTCCTACCCCTAGACTTCATTGAGGTCAAGCCCATCAATGAGAAACTCAGGTGAGTGTCAGTCACAGATATGACCTTAATAATATTAATATTTGGTTCTTGTATAGCGCATATCACATTATACAACATCTCTATGCACGCTTCCAAAGAGCTTTGGAAATTATTACCCTAGCTTTAGCTCTGGTAGCCGTATTCAGCGCACAGTGCATTTCAAGGAATAATCCTACCTCTTGAAAGAAAAAAATTGGTCAAGGTCTAATGTGAATTGTGTTAAATGCATAGTAAGCCTTAATAGAATAATGATCCTAAGATACTAACATTCTTACTTAAATTTATCTTACAATCTAAAGAAGTACATGGATTATGAAAGGTTCAGGGCCTTATGCATATTCCCTCCCTTGTCTATTTACTTGATGATACTTGTGTTAATTGTCATCTGTGTAGAAATTTCTATAAAGCTATCTCATCAATTGATTTAGGGAATTTTTGATGTATATTATGACTCATTTGTTTGTAGGAAAGATTTTGCCTAGAAAAAATAACTGCCAATTAATTGTGTGATAAGTTCATTGCCTTCTTAAATGCAGTCATTCGGTAATCTACCCGTTTGTTTTTTCGATAGTACTAAATAGTGAATACAGAAATAAGTATTGAATTGAGCATTCTTTCTGCTTTAATCTTGTTTAAACATCAGAGAGATCCGTGAACCTCGTGGTGTCAGGCTTGTAATCGACGTCATCCGCTACGATCCACCCAACGTCAAGAAAGCCCTGATGTATGCCTGTGGTAATGCATTGGTGTGCGAGACAGTGGAGGACGCCCGTACCATCGCCTTTGGACGTTATGAAAGGCACAAGGCGGTGGCCCTGGATGGAACAATGTTCCAGAAATCTGGAATCATTTCAGGTGGTGCTAGGTAAGAAACAAAATGTCCAAGAAAAAAAAAAGACAGATCTTATTGCATGAAACTGTGATAATTTGCTGTAGGAATAACTGCAGATATCCAGTTTACCTTAAATACAGCAAGTTCATTATCAGCAAAGGCATTACCTTAGAGAGGGTTATTGTTCCAAAGGCAACATTACATCAAAGGAGGCATTGCTTCACATATACTTTTTGAGGAGGAATAATCAGTGTCTAGAAGTGCAGTAAATCTTTTGGTTAAATGATAAATCAAAAAGCATATGATGGGTATTCATTAAGATCAAGTACAAAAAGTACTTTAAAGAATATCTTGTGTTTGACATGTGTCCTGGCATACTGTTTTGGTTTTGGAACATAATAGATTGTAAATGGTTTGACCCTCAAACTTTAAAACTGTGACAAAATTTATTTATTTATTTATTTATTTCTAATCTTTTGTCAGGGTAGCCCATTCACCAATAAGTAGTGGTCTTCCATGGGGCCCTGAATAAACATGAACATATTTACATCAAAAAGCATAACGTTTATACAGAACAGTTAAAATAAAATTCTGTAATACATTTAGAAAGATATAACACGATATAAAATGTGATATAAGATATAAAATTTGATTTCTACAGTGACTTGAAGGCCAAAGCCAGACGTTGGGATGAGAAATCTCTCAATAATCTCAAGACACGTAAAACAGAACTGACTGATAGCCTCAAGGAGCTACAGAAGACCAAACGTAAGGAGTCTGAGCTCAACAACATCAGGTCCCAGATCAACGGGCAGGAGACCAGACTGAAATACTCCGTCAACGACCGAGATAACACTGTGAGTAGCCACTTCTATGGTCAAATTAGGCAGAGAGAGAGAGAGAGAGAGAGAGAGAGTGAGAAAGAAAGAAAGAAAGAAATGAGGCATAAAGATACATATTTGATTTTCATAATTATGCAAAATGGAAATCTGTCTTGATCATTTTGATGATTATTAGTAGGAACATCATTGCTATCATCATTATAATCTTCATCAAAATCATTTTCATCTTTATCATTATCGCCATTATCTTTTCTAATATATCTTTCTAATCTTACATAATCATAAATGTGACTGTTTCACATAATTAAAGATCTATAACCCTCAACTTATATTTGTATTAAATATTAGCTCATAATACCTTTGTTTAGCAATTTGTTTCAGATGAAATAAAGTTATGTGCACAAGTTCATAAATTTTATCTCCGTTTGTGTCTCCTAAACAGCAAAAGAAAATCCTTGCCAACAATGACAAAGCCATTCAGAAGCTCAATCAGGACATGGAAGGGTTTGATGTAAGTTTCTTTCATATGTTTGTGATTTTAATGTTTTGATTTTTATTTGTAGGTGTATCACAATGACCCATTCTTTGCATCACAGATTATTATCATTTATCAACTTCTAATTGTTGAAGTCCAATTCATTTTGTCTGTAACATTATGGTATTGAGAAGAAAAAAAAATTCAAACAGTATTTGAACAGTCACAATTGCATTGATGACACCTCATAATTGTTTTTTAATATGTATGTACGTGGTTCCTGTACATACATCTTTCCATTTTTTCCCTTTTCTTGATTGTAGCCTCGTATGAGTGCCATCGAGGAACAGATCTCACAGCGAGCTGAGCTGATCAAGGCCAAGACCACCTCCATGAACCGTGTCGAGGATGAGGTCTTTGCAAACTTCTGTGATCAGATCGGCGTTGCCAACATCAGGCAATACGAAGAGAAGGAGCTGAGGGCCCAGCAGGAGAGGGCCAAGAAGAGGCTGGAGTTTGAGAATCAGAAGTCGCGTCTCGCGAACCAGCTGGAGTATGAGGGATCCAGGGATACAGAAGGTTGGTGTTGATGAAGTTGATGTTATGGAAGAAAGATTTTAGAAGATGGAAATATGATGAGATAACATTGACATAATAACGGGATTATACTTCAGAGATGTGAAATCAATCAATATGAGATAATAATTTGAGAAGCTGAAATTAAACGATATCTATAAGGACCTAGCCAGCCAAAAAAAATTGTTTGAGTTTCTAAGAAGTCAAAGCATGATATGTCTTACATCACTTTATTGAATGATGAATTCTAAGACCACTCAAGAATAGATGTTGCTTGTAAAGTATTGGATAGGGCGTTATAACGCCGTAAAGAAAGAACAAAAAATTGGTGGAAATAGCCACCGTACTTACACTACTTTATTGAGTGATGAATATTTAGACCACTCAAGAATAGACGTTGCTTGTAATGCATTGTGTCATTGGGATGAATATTTTATCAGCCTTTTCTCGGTTTTTGTTTTACTTTTTTCCTCAGCCAATGTGACCAAGTGGAAAAAAGATGTGACTAAAGATGAGAAGGATTTGGAAAAGCTAAAGAAGGAGGAAGCAAAACAGATGAAGGTAAGAATTGGAGAGGATTCTTGTTGTGAAGAATTCTATTTTGTTTGCCATTATGCATATGAATTGTTATAGATATTGCTGGATCACAGAAAACTTTTTGTTCTTCTTAACAAAGTCGAAGAAATAATAAATAGCAGATAACCAATTGAATTCAGAATGAAAGCTTTTGAATAATAGTATTAGAGACTAGCAGACTAAATTTGATTTGGAGACCTCACATAGTCCATGATTTGAACTGGCTTCTATTGAAGAATTCAATAACAGGATTTTAGTTACTCCGAAATTGAAATTATTGATTCCCAATATATTTCAGATAAAATGATAATGAACTGTTTTGACTGTTCCAGATTATCGATGATGAGACAGAGTCAATGACAAAACTGAAATTCTCCAAGACGACCAAGAAATCTCAAATTGATGATAAGAATTCTGAAGTGGAAGAGATCCGTAAGCAGCTCATCTCATGCAACAAAGAAATAACAGGTGTGTATGAGCAGAGATAAGGGGTGTTTGACAAAGACTAAGATTGACTTTAAGTTGGACTTGACTATGGCAAGCCATTCATGCCACTGGTTGCTCTCACCATTATGATTATTAGATGATAATTTTCCTTCAATAATGAAATACCAATAAATGTAAATTCTGTAGATTTGTGACCTTGATTTGTACATCCCTTGAAAGACCAATGCCAGTAATTGGTGGGAGAAAACAGTGGCATAAACGGCCTTCCATAGTTAAGTCCACCTTAAAGTTGATCTTGGTCTTTGTGAAACACTCCCCAGGTACAGAGTTTCAAGAGTAGAGGATTGAAACAGCAGTTACTTTTTATAAAAAGAATTAAAATTTGTTCTTTGAACATATATTCCAAGCCTACACCACTCTTGCGGGACAATGTATCAGTGTGGGATAGTAACTTGGAATCATTACATATAAATAGCTTATCTCTGTGTAGGAGAATATGAATTTGAATTTTTATTATTTCTCAACTTGTTCATTGAAATGATGTATTGATGCTTACATGGCCAAAACATGTGGAACAATGTGTGCAGTGCTTTGTAACTACATGAAAAATGAGCTATATGAAATACCGAAATGATTGGATTGAATTTGGTTATTGTACGGGTTTGGATTGGATCAGATGAGATTGGAGTAGATTAGACTTTGGACGAGATTAGTTGGGATTAGGTTGGATCACTTGATTACTATGTAGAGCTAAAGAAAAGTCAACTTGTATCTGGATTATTTAATCAAGCATTGTGATTTCTCAGAAGAGTGAACTGCATTAATCGGAACACTATACCATATCAATTGACCCTACCGTCAACACGATGTTTGACAGTAGAGGGCGACCGTCCCCTCGCGCAGGTCAGCACATGCGCAGATATAATACCGGAGAAGACGGTTAGACAAGGTTTCTTCTGGCTACAGTATAGATAATGTACATCAGTGTCAACAAACTCCTGATTTTACTAAAATATTGCTCAGATTTCACGAACTCTCCCCAATGATTTCAAAAGATCTATGTAGCTACCATCATAATCTGTTGCTTATATTTTATTGGCTAAAAAACTATCATTTCTATAGCACTTTCCCTTTCTCGACCCATAACATATGTATGGGACCATGTAAGTGCCTTTGCTACATATACCCATGACCAGTGCTGCCCTCTACGGCCAAATACCATAGCAGCGATATTATTTTGTAGTAATAATAAGTAGTAATAATAGTTTTCTCTTTCTCACTGCCCAGCTGTCCAGAAGCAGATCACAGCTAACGAGACAAAGCTTGAACAGAAGAAAGCCGATCGTCACAGTCATCTCAAAGCCTGTAAGATGGAGGATATCAAGCTTCCAATGAAGAGAGGAAACATGGATGACATCTCAGAAGAAACAGAGGTAAATCAATCATTCAACACATTCATTCATCATATTAACTTTATTATCAAATCACAAATGGCACTCGCTGGTGTAAGATGCCGAAGTCATTTGATGGGCTGTAAGCAAATTTGTTACAGTATTGCAGATAATTTTGAAAACAAGTTACATGAAATGGGGCCCACGATGGTTTAAATTAGTAAGAATAAGTTGTATGACACATCTTTTACAGTCTCAAGATCTATGGTTTGATGCAGCACTTTATAATGTGGCAAGTGCCACAGGATTACACACTGATTGGGAGCCGAAGGGAAAATGATTTCCAAAATACTGGAAAACTTTGCCCCTGCTTTTAACAAGTTCATTGAATTGATAAGATTGAATGAAACTTTGGGACTTCAATACGACTTAAAATTGAGCAGTTTTGTGTTCACATGGATATGTTTGAAAATTGACCACCATTTTTCTCTCCGAACTAACATTCATCATTCATGGTTCTGATATTTTGTATCTTAAGCAAATTGTAACATGTAAATGATTTTCTCTTATTTTTCTTCTTGTGTTTATTAGCATAGTAGCAGCCAACGTGATGCTGATGACATGGAGAGTATGACTGGAGCAGATAGTATGAGCAGCCAGGGCGCTAAGTCAATCTACGCTAGAGAAGCTAATATCATCATCAACTACCGCAGGCTTAGTCACAGCCTCAGAGAGGTAAGTCTATATTGAATAGGCCTGTATTCCAGTGGTTCAACAACACATGCTCCACGATCAATTCTGTTTACTTATCAAATTCCTAACTTGAGCTCTAGACGGAACACCATACTTAACTCTAAACCTAACACTAAACTTAACCCAAATGTCAATTGAAACTGTAACTTAACCCTTTATCTTTGATGAAATAAATCTGAATTGTATTAGGAGCAGTTGTCAGTTTACCATGCAGTAGAGCGAAGTGTGATTATCTGTTGTGAACAATGTATCTTCTGTTTATGATGAGGGATTACTTCTAATTTTGTGATACATTTTATATATATGTTTATGTTTTACACTTTGTTTGAGTATCCACCAAGAATGATGATAAGTGTTTTTCTGCAACAGATTTCATGTAAGATAGGGATATTATTCCCTGTGCCACTGTAGAGCTTTTTTTTATGTGCTTGATAAATTATATGAATAATAGCAACTTGCAGTAGAAGTTGTACGACACAAGGCGAAGAACATTTATCTAGTATAGAAAACAAACCTCTACCCATTTAAATTAATAGATACAGATTCATGATGAGAGAAGATCTTTAAATTGAGTTCTTGGAAGGTAACATATATGTCTGCATATGGGACTGTATTGTAATAATCTGATCGTTTCATTTCTGTAGCTTGATGGAAGTGAGATCAAAGAAGAGGCTGATAAATTAGCATCTGGGATTACCAGCATGGAAGCAACACTACAGAGGATAGCTGCTCCTAACATGAAGGCCATGGAAAAGTAAGTCTCACCTCACAAATTCACACAGTTAAATTGAATAAAATGAACAAATTCTTCCTGACCCTGATGTGAACTCCCAAAAGATAGGTTAAGAGGTGATTTCTTCATAGGCAATGATTCCTATACAATATGGCTCATATGTGAACAGTCTTGTAGAAATAAAGATGAAAATTGATCCTAGGGTATACTGGGACATTGTATAGCGCCCTCTTGCAGGGTTATGTAGTTCACTTGTGCATCACGGTACCTGTGATACTAGGGTATAATAGAAGGACAACATTTTGTGTCATCTCCCTAGCTTAGATTAAGCTTAACATTTTAATGAGTGATTTTTTGAACGACTTACATAATTAATAAAGTACTTTAAGTGCTGACTTTAATTGCTGATGTGCATTAAGCCGATGCCAAAATTCATGTTTGTAGAAATTGTACTCCCAGGTAAATCACCATTTTCAAATGTTTATTAATTCTGAAACTTTCCTAATCCAGAAACATGCCATTGATATTGCTTTAAGCCATGTGTCTTTATGAAAAGCTATGTAGGCTAGAGGCTCTTCATAGTAACATTGCAGTACAGATAGAACAACAAAAGTCTCTTGTTAATTTCAAGTATAAATTTTGGGTCGTAATTCATTAAACATTTCCCTTATTTTCTTGTTTGTCCTTCTTAGACTGGATGGAGTAAAGGAGAGATTCCAGTCAACCACAGAGGACTTTGAGGCAGCCAGAAAGAGAGCCAAGAAAGCCAAACAAAACTTTGAGATCATACGCAAGGAGCGATACGAGAGGTTCAATACCTGCTTCGAACATATCTCAAACAGGATTGATGACATCTACAAGGTAGGATTCAGCTACTGTTATTCAAATTTTTTATTTGATTTGATTTTTTTATTTGATTTTTCAATGCTTTTAATGTCAAGGTACATGTTTGTGAAAATTTTGTTTGTTGTGATGCGGTCCTGTTTCAACCATTGTTTATTATTCTGTGCTATGAGAGAGTGTTTAGAATGAAGCGGGGACAATTTGTCAACCCCCTTTTAATGAGCTTTAGAAAGTATGGTTGCCCTGACATACTGAAAAGGAGACTACTTATTTGCTTCTTTTTTTTTCTTCTTTTTTTTCCTTTCTTTTATTTCTTGTTTCCCTAGTCTTTTTCACTTCTTAAGTTGTTTATGAATATTTTTGTGATCATTTTATATACACTCAACACTTGTTTTTCTTTTACAATACAAACCTGTACAGATTAAACATTGTTTGGTAAATGGTCTTGAAACTGAAATGTGAAGGGAAAAAATCTGAAAATACTTGTTGCCACTTGAGGAAGTCTCAAGGCTCTTGCAGGTTTTGTACAGGGGTATGAATTTATCACAGAAATTTCTGAATAGAATGGAGTATCTTATTCCGTTTCGCTCACTTTATCTTCATTGTATGCAATTTATGCATGTTATGTTCACTCTTTTTCCTGAGAAATGCTACATTTTTCTTGGAAACTTTCAAATCTGCCTTTTACTGCATTTTAAAACAGCTTGATACAATACTGGGACAGACTCTCTTTTTTAAAACTCTATATGTAGTTGCAATGTTGCCAAATTCCTTTAAGAGCTTTGGTAGAATGATGGTCGGATATGTGATTACAAATACATGTATGAGGCTGCCAATTCTATGTCACATCATGTGAGATTTACATGCTTTGCTGTGTTGCAATATAATCTAAACATGTACATCTTGTGTGGTATATTGGTGATGATCCTGAGTTTCAACGAATAACAGACCATTTTCATGACTATAAGAAGCAAAACTGACAGCTGTTAACGACGACACAATTCCCGAAAATATACAGAACTTTTAATACTTCTATATGCTAGGGGAGGGCCATCTGCTCTTGGTACTTAATGACATACATGTAGTCCACCTTTTTTTTCAAGTGTTTGTCATCAGTTTCTTTTTAAGTCTGCCTATGAAACACACAGTTAACAACTAAATTATTAAACATACCCTTACCAAGTTTGTAAAAGATTCATTATGTGAAAAATTGATTTGTCCCGATTTATGTTTCTTGAGAATGTGACATGTTAATTCTTACATCTAAAAGTATTGAACAGAGGCCCCAATTTAACCAATCCACCTTTCATTCTTGAGTTACAAAACAAACAAAAACAAAAAATTTACAAGGGGTATGGATAATTTAGATGTTTATATGTTCTGTAGCATAGTCTTATTTATGTTTTGCGTAACATTATTTAAAACAATACATCTTGGCATCAATGTGCAATCTATAAACCACAATCTGCTGATTATGTTGTACAAGACCTTTGAAGAATATCAATTTACACTAGAGTTTCAGTGATGGACTGAAATTATCTATTCAATATTCAATAATGTCATCTGATATGGCGCTCCATGATAAATACACCTTTGTGTAACAAGTGATACAATGTGTATATACAGTATATGGAGGCAGGCACTTTGAGAATACAAATTTAGGTGCAATTCAGGGAGAGGTACATGTTTCTTTTATGTTCTAGATTAAAAAGAGGCTTGTGTGACCTGATACGAAAATAATATACATGTTTCTACCCCACAAAGACGTCTTTCTTAAATAATGAATGAAGGTTTTTAATGACATTTTGATATTACACAACAGATACGAGAGCTGCCAACCATTCCGTTTTTGCCAGAATTACTCCTTTTTTTTCCCTCCAAATTACGGTACTACGGTTTTTCTTCATAAAATACGTTTTTTAATAATTTTTTTTTTTTTTTTTTTTTTTACATACCACATGTCAAACAACTGCCCTTAAATGGTGATTTGATCACGAATTCAATAGAAAACTTATTTTAAAACATACTTGAAGAGAAAAATATTCTCAAAAGAAATGAAATGCCGATAATACCAAAATAACCACCAAAAAAATTACCTGCTTGTATTGAAAAAACAGCATGATGAATGAACATTTCTGCATTTGAAGTGTGTCGCGCGTGGTTGTAAGGTTCTTTTTATGAATTCCTTTTTTTTGCCATCGTGATTCCTTTTTTTGGTCGCACAAGGTTGGCAGCTCTGCGATATGAGAATGGCATAGATTATTTTCAACGTGTAGATGTTTTTTTTTAATTAAATGAAGTTTTTGAATGACCTTTTAGTATCACACAACTAAAAATAGCCAAATGAGATCAAGAGTTAATATTTACTATTCAATCCACCTGTTATGAGTGCTCTGGACTCATTGTTTTTGTAGACATCCAACACAATGGAAGACCGCTCTTTGTGTGAAATGTAAATTTGTATTATTTAACCTCAATTAGGTAACCTTTTTAAGTAAATTCAGATTATATTCTGTACTAGTATTCATTTAGGCTACCCTGGTTATACTGCTAGACTGCTAGTATTGTTCATGTAGAGTAATGTTATAACTTAAAAGACTTAGCTGAGATAAGTAACTTGCTAAAGGGGGCTCGTTTTGTTTTTTCTTCTTCTATTACTATGTTGTTGTTGTCTTTGGGTTTTTTTCCCCTTACATGTTGATTGGTTTTTCTTCTTTTTTTCCTTTTTATTTTACCCTTTTACCCCTTTAACCATTTTACCCTTCTTTTTTTTTTAAAGGGAAGTCTATTGAAATTAGCTTATTAACATGAATATATGCTTTGGTAGCTTTGCAGAGGGCTTAGGGAAAAATTTGCCTGAAATTCTAGCAGGACTAATAAAGGACCTTTTTTTTAAAGCACCAGTTATGAAAAAAAGTTCTGGCTATGAATTGTGATGCCTCAAAATTCTGAAGTTGTAGCAAAGTCCAATTTTTCCTTGAGGTTGATCTGACATCATCATTCATGCTTTTACACCCTACACAGAACATCTGAGATTCTCAGACGCAAAGATCATTAATATCAAATTATCAATTTTTAACATGTAGACTAGGCATTGTTTTAATTGCCTCTTTGTTAAATTGTTAGTCACATTATTAAGTTGAGAATAATTATAGGGAAGAAAAATAACAGAAAGCTCTGCACTGTTTGTGGTCACACCTATTAAAGTCTACCACATTTCCCTCATGCAGTTTATTGAACTATTACATGACCTTTCCTTAGCCGCAGCCAACTGGAGCCGTCTTTCTCTTTCCCATAGAAGGGGGAAATAGATTTGTTTTATCATTAAACAATAGCCTTTCCAGCCTCATTTGTCTGTTTCCGCTATACATGTTTGTGTACATTTATGTAGGGTGTTGGCTAATCATTCTGAAAGCCCCGTACAGATAGCATTCGCCAGAGTTAAAATCACAATGAATGTGATGAAAGCTTAAAGGGTCTGTATAACATTTGTTGGGCTGTGATACACATGTCATGTACATGGGGGAGTTTTTTGAACATCAAGAAATCTAAAGAAATAAAACATGGGTGAAATTTTCCCTTACTAAACTATTTTAGTTCGGAGGTGAAATTTTCCCTTACTAAACTATTTTAGTTCGGAGGTGAAATTTTCCCTTACTAAACTATTTTAGTTCAGAGGTGAAATTTTCCCTTACTAAACTATTTTAGTTCGGAGGTGAAATTTTCCCTTACTAAACTATTTTAGTTCGGAGGTGATAACAGCTACCTCCCCCCCCCCCCCCCCACCCCCTCCATTAATTCCTGACATGCCAGGTACCGGTACCCATTTACATGTACCTCACCTGGGTGGAGTGTGACATATGTTGAATAATATCTTCCTAACGGCCTAGTGCTGGCTTGGTAGGACTCGAATCGTGAACCATGTGATCCCCAGTCTGGTTACGCATCCACTAGACCATGACACACTATACATTTCTTCCCTCATAGAGGTGTTTAGTTCTGTATGAAAAATATTCAATTTAATAATAATCATTTAAAGTCCACTCCAAATTTTATTAAACCGAAAATGCATTGAGGAGTTTTGGTTTGAAGGTAGTCTTGAGGTCAGGTAATATGGGGGAAAATACGAATCCCCCACCCCCCCCCCCCCCCCAAAAAAAAAAGTAATAATAGTAAATAAAAAAATAAATAAAATAAAATATTAATAAATATATAAATAAGAAATATTAGTATAAATATAAAAAAATAGAAAAATGGTCACAGTCAGAATTTATCTACATCTTAATGATTTTAAAAAGATAATCTGGTAGCCAGTCTGGTAGTAGCCTAATAACTATCACAGAAAAGGGAAGTATAGTGTGTCACTCAGGCCGTAAGATTTCCTACATTTTTACCTTTCAGGGTCACAGCTGACTTTTTCACAACTTCCTTGAAATTACGATTTTCCAAACAACTTGTTCACTGCTCAGTTTAGAATGACAACAAAGTATCTTTCAAAATACACTTTTATTTTCAGAACTCAAGATGACCTTACTTTTCAGTTCATTTAGAGCGTAAACATGTATATTGATCTTTCTTTTGATGTTGGCTATGAATACAGTGGACCGTGTTTCCCAAATAATATCCTGAACACAACAAATTACACAATGTTATCGTCACCATTCTAAAATAGAACTTGTACTCAGTGCATTCTGACTCAGCTGGGCACTCTTTATACAATTATTCTTCTTAAATGAGCTGGCTCCAAACAAATTCAAGTAACATCTGATGTAGAATAAAACAAAAAGAAGTAATTTAAACTAAATTGTCTCTCAATTAATTCTAGTGCGTCTGTGCATACTCAGCATTATGATACATTGTTCAAATGGATCTACATGTATATTGAGCAATAATATAATCAATGAAATGAAGAAAAATATATTACATTACAGTTTTTAGGCTCAAAGGAGAAAATAGTTTTCTCTGTACATGTAGTCTAGGTTGAGTTCATTGAACTACTGAGTAGAAATTTGTGACAGTAGTATGGAACAGTGCATGTAGGCCTACATTTAAAGGTATTACCTGTAGTGTACAACTGTACATGAACATGAATTCTTTTTCATTTCATTTTGTCTTCATGAATCAATCTACATGACCGGCAAAGTGTAGTTTTCAAATCAACTCAGAGTTTTAGTAACTTTGAATGGAAATTCCATTATTATTTTTCTTCCTCTTTCAAAAATCATCCTGTAGAGTGTACTCCCATTCATTTGCTTTCAAACAAGTAAAAATAATATTAGAATAATTTGACCAAGTTTAACAGAAGTGGATCACTCAAATCCCAAATAAGTATCTTACACGTTGGGAGGAAGGAGGGGGGGGGGGGGGTCCTAATATTTTACATCCAGAGTTGGATAAACATTTGCATACATTACATGTACACTACATAAATATAATTAACAATACATGATGATACAATTGTCATTGTCTTTTATTTGATTAAAACATTACTTTGAACATCTACTTTTATGTAACAGAAAGACGGTGAAAATAAATTGACTTGGAAGTTGCTGGAATTATACAAACGGAAACGAATTGATTATTATTATTTAATTTGTTTAGGTTTTAAATTAAAATATTCAGTCTCATCTGAACTAGCCATCACTCCAACAGGACTTCAATAGCCCTCTTCATTGTTACATGGAATTAAAAGATAGGTTGTACATTTTTTACTATCAGTGCTAAAATCTTATATCGGTTTTTGGTTTATAATGTGTATGACAGAGGGCTTGAATATCACTTCCACTTCCTGAAACGTTTTACTTTTCCTTCCTGCTTATTCTTAAAGGTGTAATAATTTGGACAGAAAAATCATCCAACTATAGAATGAGTACACGGCCAGTACAGCATAAAAGGAAACGGTGATTTGCTTATATACTATATACTGGCGATGATGATGTTGAGTAGAAGTCATTGTGATAGTGACTGAGGAGTGTCATGTTCTTCAGATGAGGCATCTTACAGATGAAATGAGCAAAATCATGTGATGCAGAAGGCTCATTGATTTGCTTTATAGAGTCCTAGAATATATTATCAGATCAATATCTTTGCAGAGGATGCTATCGATGCTGATGTTGAGTAGAAGTCATTGTGATACTGACCTAGGAGTGTCATGTTCTTCAGATGAATTGAGTAAAATCATGTATTGCAGAAGGTTCAGTGATTTGCTTTATAGAGTCCTAGAATATATTATCAGATCCATACCTTTGCAGAGGATGCTATCGATGACGATGTTGAGTAGAAGTCATTGTGATACTGAATAAGGAGTGTCATGTTCTTCAGATGAGGCATCTTACAGATAAATTGAGCAAAATCATGTGATGCAGAGGGCTCATTGATTTGCTTTATAGAGTCCTAGAATATATTATCAGATCAATATCTTTGCAGAGGATGCTATCGATGCTGATGTTGAGTAGAAGTCATTGTGATACTGACCTAGGAGTGTCATGTTCTTCAGATGAATTGAGCAAAATCATGTATTGCAGAAGGCTCAGTGATTTGCTTTATAGAGTCCTAGAATATATTATCAGATCCATACCTTTGCAGAGGATGCTATCGATGACGATGTTGAGTAGAAGTCATTGTGATACTGACTAAGGAGTGTCATGTTCTTCAGATGAGGCATCTTACAGATAAATTGAGCAAAATCATGTGATGCAGAGGGCTCAATGATTTGCTTAGAGTCCTAGAATATATGATCAGATCCATACCTTTGCAGAAGATGCTATCGATGCTGATGTTGAGTAGAAGCCATTGTGATACCGACCAAGGAGTGTCATGTTCTTCAGATGAATTGAGCAAAATCACGTGATGATCCGAATACTCAATGTTCAGAGTCTCAATCTGTTATAAATGAATAATTACCAACAACCTACTTAAAGTGTATTCAAGATTAAGCAATATGTTTAAAATTGTATGTACTGGTAAATAGTTGCCACAATTTAAAAAAAATGTCAACTCATCCACATGTATTTTGTGATGATGTACACGTCTTGACACCCAAAATTAGCACCAATTTCAATAAAGGTATATGACAGTGAGGGAACAATACGTTTTGACTGATCCAATCATGACATGACTAACGGCAAACGGGAGATACGGTAGTAGAATACATTAAGAAAGTATTATGTGACATTACTGGTACAATTGAGCAATCATGAATCTCTTCTACCGGTAGATCATATTGACATGTTGGAAATTCACACAAGGTTAAAATGGCAAAAACAATTATCCATGTAGATGCTAGGTCTCTAGCTAAACAGACGCTTACATACATACTACATACATATTTATATAAGTTCTGCATGAAGCCCCGTTTAGGAGCCTCAGTAGGAAAGTTCACCATTGTTTACAATTCTCTCACTGTACATGAATGTAATATACAATGTACAGGTATGTACATTGTATGTGTACAATGTTATTTTCAGATGGTTAACCATCATTGATTCCTCATTAAGTTCTTTTCTTCAAGATGTTTATGTCAGAAATTTCTGATAAGTTTTTAGCATTTCACTACAATGTTCACCAAAGATGATATTAAACATTTATCATGTACATTTGTTGCAATAGCAGGGAGATCTTTGCCATCTCCCTGGCTATGGGCTGTCTATTACAGTACATGTATGTATAAGGACCATGGAGCTTTCCACATTCAATTGAGAATGTGTACTGCTAATGATTTCAGAATAACAACCCTGTTGGCGTACTTGGATGTAGCAAAAAGAGTTCCATGTCGAAAAATGCACAAAAAAAGGGGATTTATGAGAATTTCAAGGAGATTTCTCAATAATCCTTCTGTGACTCCTGTCACGTTGCCTTTTCTATCAAAGTGGTTATTGATTGTGCCAAGTGGTGGGCCAACCTGGCAGAGGGAAGGGGTCCCTTAGGAATGACTATTTCCAAGACCTGTCATACAGAATCACCATGAAAGCGTTCAAGCCAAATGCTACTTCACAAGTGATTTTACATACAAGGTGCTGATGTGTGAACAGACATTTCAATTTCTGTCCCTGTGAAATGGACGTGCATGTATTATTACAAATTGAAGACATTCTTCATCGTCATTAGCAATTAAAGGTGATTTTCACTCCATGTTTTGAAGAAGAACACACATGTTGCCCACCATGTTGTGAAATTCCACAGAGTCAGGTGTTATCTTCATATTAATGATCATCCATGTCAAATCTGTCAAAGATTATCAAAAGTCTTCACTTTTCTTCACAGTATCTTAAGTTTTATAATATGAGGCTGATATGACAGGTTTTTGAAGTATACATTAAATCACAATTCTTTCATTTTGAAAAGTAGAATGAGCCCAAATGGAGGTTATTTTTTTGATTTTTTTGTAATGAAAGCATTAACCAAATAGTAGATCCTTTATTCAGCATACAATTTTCTTCAAAGGAGCATTTTTAAAGTATTGTGATTCAATCACTAAGACCTGTATTTCTTTGTAATGCTCTTCAAGAATTCGGAGAAGTGTACATGAATATTGTTTTATAATGTGAAATCAAGAAATATGTTATGAATGGTTTTTAATTTTTATAATTGATCAATATTTTCTTCGCTCCTGTAGGCTTTGTCTCGGAACCACAGTGCCCAAGCCTTCCTGGGACCAGAGAATCCTGAGGAACCCTATCTGGACGGCATCAACTACAATTGTGTAGCCCCAGGAAAGCGCTTCAGGCCCATGGACAACCTGTCTGGAGGAGAGAAGACTGTCGCTGCACTTGCCCTTCTCTTTGCCATTCACAGGTAACTAGTTCAATGTTTATGTTTATGCTTTCTATGAATTCAAATTGATATATATGTTCTTTTATTCAGCTTTAAAACCTTCCCGTATACACATGATGCATTAAGGTGTATTGTACTTGGACAGAAAATCTTTGATTTCAGGAAAGTTAATGTAGGCTTAATTATATCACCACCAGAATTATTTTCAATTTGTGATGTTGGCATATCTCTGCATTGGGCTTGAAATTTTATTTGTGTCGTTTTGCAACCTCGATGTAGTATGAATATTTAATAAATATTACATATTGTATTTTAGTATCTGATATAAAATCAAAGTGATATTCTAAATGTCAAGAAGGCAGATGGAGTACAGATGGAGTTTTCTTGTCATAAAGTAGAATCCTCTGTGTAGAGTATTGTTGTAATTTGTGTGCTGCCATGTGGTGCATAGTGCTGCATTTATGAGATGCAATCAAGATCATTTATCCATTCTAATTGTTCTTATCCATCTATTCATGATGATCTCCAATCTAGCTATCGACCAGCACCTTTCTTTGTGCTGGACGAGATCGACGCTGCCCTTGACAACACCAACATCAGCAAGGTAGCCGAATACATCAAGGAGCAATCAGAGTCCCAGTTCCAATGTCTTGTTATCTCACTCAAAGAAGAGTTCTACAACCATGCTGATTCCCTCATTGGAATCTACCCAGAGGTAAATACTTCTTTAATTTCTTTAAAGATTGAATTGAGTACAGGTTGAGTACTGATTATGTACTGTCTGTTCGCAACCAGAAGAGCATAAACTCTGTGTTAAAGTATGTGAGTTAATGCCCTTCTGGCTCCAAGTAGTCAATACATTGTGAAAGAAACTGTCTAGGAGTTATGAGGAAGGTTAATTATGTAATACAGAGGAAATGGTGTTTACTGTGAGGTTTGGAATTATTAAACATTACAAGATATTAACTCAGTCTTCCTGAAAATCACATGCACCCCACATAGAATACATGGGACTACAAATTACAAATCCTACAGGGATGTAGTGGACAAATTTATTTCCATCCTTCCCAAATTTCAACCTTCTCTTTAACCAGCGGGATGCATAATTTTTCCTGGAAAACGCCATCATTTGTGGTTTTTGGTCTGTGACTGGGGTTTCAATAAGGCTATAGGGTCATGCGTGCATGTAGTGGATAGGTTGTCATGTGTCTGGGCTGGTAGTCTGCTAGATATAATGATTTATTTATAGTTTTATGTTTTAACTGTAATGACCTGGTCCACAATGCTACTTTGGAGCACGTGCCAACAGAATTTACAATGCTGTATGGGCATAGTTTGAGTAGATTAAATTGATTCATAATCATTTTGTGTTTTAAAGGGATAAAACATGTTTATTTTATTTTGTTATATTGGTTTGTTTTGCTTCTGTTTTAGTTTTTGTTTTTGTTTTGTTTTTATTGTTTTTCTTTGTTTGTTTTCAAAAGAGAGTATGTGGGGGGGGGGGGGGAGATGTAAATATTCATTCATATTTGTTAATGACAATTGTAGCTTTTAAATGCTCTCTTGTTTACATATTTGTATTAGTGGGACAGCATAAACAACTCCAACTGCATCATAAACTTGTTTATGTTTTAAATTGCATTCATCATGCCTTGCATTTCACCCTCTCTCTTTCACCCTTACAGCAAGGGGAGTGCATCATCAGCAGAGTCTTGACCCTTGACCTGACGGAGTACCCAGAAGCCCCAGCAATCCCCAACCCCATCACCGGTATCCGCTAAATCCTTCCTCCTGACCCCTCCTCACCTGGCCACACCCACACACTCGATCTGCTGCAGTTATCCTTGAATAGTTGGATCATACAATATCATCATACGATTCATTTGTCTGTTTGGAGTCTACTTTATTTGAAGAATAATACATAAATTCAATTTAAAGTTAACAAACCTTTGATGAAAAAATGTGTAATTCCTGTAGTAATTGATGACATTTAGGACTAAATATTTCATAGCAACAGGGCTGAAAAATGGATTTCAAGACAACATGATATTTGTTTGAAGTCATTTGAAACGTGGTGTAGTTGGAAACAGTAATGGCATTTCATCTCATTTGATGTTGATTAAAAGTACAGGCATTAATATCTGAGAAGCCAAATGTATTTGTTAACACCTCAGTGAAGCAATTGAGAAGTAATAAAGTTGACTGTTTGCATGAAACTATAAGCAAAAAACACATTTGATACACTCTTGCAACTAAATGCATCCATCAGTTTTTTACAAACCCTCAGCCTGTTATTTTGCATAGGTTCATGTGCCCTTAGAGTCATGGTCATCAATGTGTATTTACTTATAAATATTCCTACAGAAGAGAATCAGGCAATGTAGCAAGTGAATGCTTCCCAGGTACTTCCTTTACCCCCATCACTGGCCATGATTCGAGTCTCAATTGGTGCCCAATATTGACATCTCAATCCCTCCCCTTTAACATGTGCATATGCCGTATGTGTGATGGGTTGGTCTAAGACCATCACAGAGGGCCTCCCTGAAGCTTACAAGTTTTCTATAGCTATGTTCACACAAAGCTAATTTCGCAAAACCTCAAAGTTTTAAACTATGATCCTCTAACAAAGATGAGGGTTCGACGGGATTGAAAAAACTTATATTCAAAGTTTTAAACTACATAAGTGTGCAGCCATTGTAACTACAAGCTGGCGTAACCTCCAAGTTAATTGCGTTTCGCACGGCACTTAACTCTGAGTGTGGACCCCTGTTTCTCTAACCATAAAATGGTTACTCTAACTATAAAATGGCACATGGTTCATAACTTTGAGTCACCTTTTAAGAGTCTTAACCACAAGGTCCGTACAGTCTGTAACAATAAGATAACCTCAAAGTTTTAAGCCCTACCTGAGCTAGTTACTCTCGTTTGAACTTAACTTTTGTCTGCTACATATTTGGGGATTGTGGACCTAACTAGGTCAATGCCATTACCAGCCATGTGTTTTTGTTTGTTTGCTCAGATAAAGGAATGCTCTGGGTTGATCTAGATAAAAGAGTGATTCACAAATTGATATGTAATGTAGCACAGTATGTCGTTTTGGATCTAGGGTCAAAGGTTAGGGTCATGGGGTTAGAGATGAATTCATTTCTTCGACCTCAGGCACTTCTTTAGCTGATGATTGTATAGATGTTATCATAGTATTGTATGAATAGTTGTAAGAAGTATGTCATTGCCTACATTTCCTTTGAACCTCCTAACTTTTTTCAGAATCAACATCCTTAAAAAATGTCTGAAAACAATTATGAACAAATTCTGGTGCTGGGACTTTACAGCATGTGAAATATATTGATAATGGACTGATATTGTATTTATTAGTATCCAAAGTGTCATGATTAAGCCATTTTTGTGCATTTAAGGAGGATGTTTATCTTTCACAATTGTAATGTAAATAAGTGAATTGTATTTCAAACCTTAATATCAGTTGTAAAAAATGAAAAAACACTGTTCAAGTCTTGTTACATGTACATAGCGCATTCCAGTATTTTACACAAACTCTCAATTCTCCATGTTTTATACAGCAGGTTTAAATGTAATACCAGTTTTTGAAAGTGTATATACAGATTACTCGTTCATTACTTTCTAGTGTATGATCTAATGATATGATGTAATATGATATCGGAATGAAGGGAAAACAAAAAATACATGTAAGTTCATCATGTTGGGCCAGAGTTATACAGTGTAGATAGCCTTCTTCTCTCATTTTTTGTCAAAAAAACCCAAGTAGTTTTTGTTCTTAACAACTTTCTCCATGTTATTTCTTTTTAGGATCTTGCTTGAATTCAGGTACACCTGTACCATAAATCAGAATTGGAGGGGTTAATCTTTATTACTGTGTTTCAAGTGTCTTTGAATTCCTCATAAATTCTTATATTTATAAAATTCATCATAAATAATCCATGCTTCTCTGAAACCTTTGTGTCAATACCTCACCTAATAGTAATTTTTGTCTTGTATTTTGATAAAGATCTTAAACTTAACTTGAACATTTTCTAAAGTTGTACAGCTCATATTTTTGGGATTCTATGTATCGTGTTAGAATTTGATCTTTGTGTTATCTTGTATTAACTGTGCGAAGAGATAATGAGATTAAGAACTGTGTTTATCGTTCAAATATGAATACATGTAGACTCTTTTAATTGTGGTAGTATGAAATTAAACAATCCAATTCTTGTTTGAAAATTGCTGACTAAATTTCTTTCTTTTTTCATGTGTGACTTGTAGATTTTAATTTTTAAATTCAGAATAGCCAGAAAAGATGAGAAAGATTCTCCATTAACTTTAAATTTTGCTTGATTTTATCCTCACTTCCATTTTTTCATATCTTGACTAGCCTGTCATATTGGTAATTACTATCTAATTCACCTTTAAAGGTAAAGACCAGTATTGGAAATGCCCCAATTTCAAAAAATGAAATGGAAGCTCTCATTACCAATCATGTGAAAGAATATGTTTTGACTAATACATGATGATAACAAATTTGCCAGGAAACCGCCTACTTATTCATATATTTGGTAAATTTGTTTCTCTCATGGTCTGTGAGAGATATAGGGTAGTCCCATATACATCTTTCTGTGTAAAGTGCTTGTAACTTTACGAAGAATGGGCCAAATTTCTTATCATTTTGATGATTCCAGAACCTTGCAGATGCTAGATGCTAGATGATCAACCTTTTCTGATCGATTCCACAACGTTTCTTTCACAATGCAATCGCATGACCATAACTGGTCTTTACCTTTAATTCCCTATCACTCCATCTTTAATGCATTATCATCCACAAATACCATGTACAATTTCATAGAATTCAAAAAACTTTTAAGATACGTTTTAGACCTCTTTAAAAAAAAATAAAGAAGAGCAGTATAATATATCTTTACGCACATACACAAAAAAACTAACAGATCAACAAGCAAAACACGTTACCCTAGTCTCAATTCACCGAGAGAGAACATCCCAATGCATCCTGATGTAGATATCTATTTTCTTTAAAGGGCGGTTGTTGACACGGTAATAGCTGCATGGGGCTCGTCTTGTTATGAAGGGTAGGGCACCGGCATTCATCTCGGCAGGACCAAACCCGCTCACCTGCTATGACGATAATCGACCACTTATCGCTCTGACGCCAAAACCTCCTTAATAACAGCCTTGAAACAATACTTCTAAATACGATCAAGATAAAAAAAAAAAAAAAGGGTCTTCGTAGCTTGTCGCGCAGGACTTGTTCTCGCTTTAAAATATTAATTGAGATAAAGGGAGTTAACACGGTGTTAACGAAGGCAGCTCCTTTATCATATATTTTTAGCTGTTTTTGAAATTGCTAAGCCTGTTCGTTTTGGTGCTAATCTAGATCATCTTCACTTAAACCGCAGTTTTAGCAAATGTAACCCTTTTTGTCGAGCAAACATATGGTTTCTCAGGTAATAGGCGGACTCTTGACTAAATAACTTCAAGCTCGCATTACAGTGCATATCGTGTTTCAGATTTCCCGTCTATTTTCCGTAACCTACATTTTTCAATTTCATTCTCTTTTGTTTTCCTTTTTTCACTTTTTTGTTTAATTTACCATGTTTATGTATTAGTGTAGTTTTGTTTTTCTTTTTTCTTTGGTTTTGTGTGTTGTTGTTTTAACTTATTGTGTTGATGTTAATAATAATACAGTTGTAATAATAGTAGTGATAATAATATTGATAATTATAATAATAAATTATGATCATGATTTAAAAAATAGTGATGATAACAATAATTTTAATAATAATAATAATAATAATAAATAATAATAATAATAATGATTACAATATTATGATTCCCAGGGTAGCCTCATCGGTATTAATACTGTTCTCCCTGAGGGCCTTGTAATAATTGTATTCCAAATAATTTCAGACTAAAATTTCAATAGCCTTGGGCGTCACCTATCATAATTGTTTCGTAATCCTTTCACGATTTCTAAAAGCAGGACAATAAAGCAATAAATGTACCCTAAAGTTTTTTTTCTTTCTATAAAGTCTTTTTGTCTTTAAGATAAAACATGGAAATGTACCCAGCAAATGTGCGACTTCTTCCCCCTGTTCTATCTATCTTAAAGCCCCACTGCACTAGTTTGGCCAGGAGGGATTAGACCTCCCAGCATGGTCACTGACAGGTGGTTTAATCTCATCAAATCAGCTCTCACTTAACATAAGAAAAAAAGGTGATCATGGGGACAAATGGTCACCGATTAGGCATTGTTTGCTATATAGAGGGCGCAAGTAGCTACAAGTAGTGCAATGGGTCTTTAAGATTCGAGACGGTTAGACCTTTTGAACGTTTAAAACCTTTATAAAACTACCATCAATGCACAAATAGGATAATAAGGGTGTTTGCACGCTGCATAGTTACGCAGCAGTAAGCAGGCGGTCGCCCACCATAAACGATCCATGTCTAAAATCAGATCTAATAAATAAGTTGTTTACAAACTCCTGATCAATGTCATGTCTATGGGTGTTTCTGGGTGTTTTCAGCTCAGCCTTGGTCTGCAGTGGTATTCATCCCGGTGCGAGAGGTTACAAACATGCTAGGATCAAGTTTGTTCTAACAGTATTCATTTCATCGCGAATTAGAGAAGACCAAAGTAAAAAGAAGAGTTCGGTTGAAGCTGACATGACAGATAACAGACAGCTTGACATTTATGATGAGATTCGAAATCTATGCAGAAATGTATGTTTGATTGTCTTTTGAAAATGAAGAGTTATATGAATTTGGAGACGAAAACAGAGATGGAGAAAATAACAAAAATAAAATAGAAATTATAAAACATTACAATAGTAAGGAAGGATTGGAGGAGTAAAATAATGGCCTAAAGCCCGGCGCACACTACATGATCTTGGATCTTAATAGTCATGATTGATAAAATCTAAATTTCAATGAATTTCACGCTCCGTTGGAGGGGGGAGCTAAATCAGGTAATAATCTTATCATCAAACTAGTAGTGCGATTGACTACGATCTGAAGCCGATTCGGCTAGAGAGTAAAAAGCACTAACATTCCAGTAGCTAATATTCTTATCATTATTTTGAACCAAAATCAGGAGGATAGTGGATTTTTAGATTTCCATATCTAATATAACCGCCCTTTCTATAAAAGTTGGATCGATTTTGTCTAGAATGTATAACATTTGTGAATTTCATCACGCTGGCTCAGGTGCAATTTGTAAAGGTAGGTTAGGAATTTGACTATCAAAGCCATTTCCAACAAACCACGCGAAGATATAATCACACCAGTCTAAGATTTATGTAGCCAATGATCATTCCTTTGTCATTTTGGGTCCTTTATTTTTTCAGGTAGATAAAAAGGTGAACCATAAAACGGTACAACTCAGACACTAAATCATCACAATATTTATCCGAAATGTTGTTCTGGAGTGATCCGATCCATGATAATGTCAGGGGATGTATAGTGGCGTAGCCTGTGTCAGCCCATTAAGGGGGCATTAAGATGATAGGGGCACCTGTCTTACTGGATAAATTGAATTAACATGGCCACCAATTAGGAGAGGGTGCAATGAGGAAATTGCCCTGTCATCTAATTTACTCTTCCTTTAAACACTCTTCCTCTCCTTTCTCTCATCAGGCTCATTTAAATTATCCCCCCCCCCTTTCGACATTCGATGGGGAAGGGGCATATGCTCCTCCGGCTCGTGCCTTCACCATTGAATGAGGTGTTTACTCTTAGATTTCAGACGGTAACAAAAAGATGACTATACACCTAATGAAGCCTGACAAGGCTCAAAGGGCTAACTAATCAAAATCAAAACATGTTATTCGGATATCAATCACCATCTTTTAAAAGTGGTCATGAAAGAAAGTTATGTATTTCACATAAAGTTATGGTTTCATCCCATAACGTACATTTTATATGACACCTCACGTTCAGTGTCAGACATTCTTGTTTAAACGGTGCAACTCAGCCTTCTTGTTAGTTTACGATGGAGTGATCTGAACTCTGCTCCAAATATTTTGACAGCGATTTCTAAAATATGTTTCCGCCTAATTTTTCTCGACAGGGCTCATGGTGGTATCCGATCAGATCTTAGTTGAAACCTGTCCAAGATGTTTCCCATCACACGTGGAGGTCCTACCGTCATAAGAAGTTTACCCCCAAATCAAGAAGAAGAGTTAGCGAGATATAGTATGGATGTTACACCTCCTGTTCAAGCATCTCGTTTTTGTGACATCTAAAAAATAAGAACATTTTTTTCCTTCAAATTCACCATGACATGAGGTGATGGCAGAGTATTTGTTCGCTATCAAGGCTTCCTACCTTTGGTTAATTCAGCCGATTATTTAGTAAGATTATAATGTAGGCTTTGTGTCCTTATCCTGTTCTGTATATCGTTGAGATCAAATCAATTCATACATTTCTATATAATAGTCTTCCTGCCTCCTATTCACTTCGCCAAAAAGGGTGATAAAGTGCCACACAGGACTAATAAAAGCAACTCTCACTATTGTGAGTTAATTCTGTGACACATCCAGAACACTTCTAAAGGTATTTACCTGTAATAGTTTCAATACCTATGGTTCAGACACATTCCATAGTAACCAGAACTCGTCCAATGAAAGCATCTGAACTATGGACACCGAAACTGTCACAAATATATTTGGTATGTGTCACAGAACCAATTCCTGATTATTCAAACTATCCTGAATTCCTGATGAACCTATGCAACATGCCACTGTGATAAGTTCGGCAAGCGATGAACAAAGCAAGCATTGGCTATAATACAGGGCCTACATCGGCTAAATTTGGGGAAACTAGCACAATAGCATATAATCCAGGTATAAACCAATAATATTATGAGAAACAAAAAAAAACGGGTTTAGGCATAACAAATAACGAGACGGTATTTCCTCCTGGACAAAAACGCTGGATTTGTAAATTAATCCAATAAAATGAGGTTTTTATTTCTTCCTTGAGAGTAAATAGTTACGGGGAAAATACCCAAACAAACTATGTCTAAATATGAACATTATTTTTGTTTCAAAAGCCTACTTTATTGTTGTCAGACAGATTATATTTCTTAGAAGTGGTGGACGTTAATCCTTTAATCGGATATTCCGAGTCGAGTCTACCAGAGTTCCGTGCGCTAAAACCACGTCTAAAATAACGTCTCATTTCCGTGGTAATAATTATCGTCTCTTTAATAAAACTATTGTTTTAAAACATGATGGAACTCATGAGCGGAGAAGAACACAAACTGTGGAAATTATCTTTAACCTCAGCTGGTCATTGGCACTGTGGACATCTGTTTGTTCTCTGTATCTATTTTATGTTATACTTGTAGCCAAATATTAATATTTGTGTTTTGACAAGCTTTATCTAACTTAATTAGACTTGAAATTTGACATTTCTATATAACATAAAAGAATACTTTGTACGAAAAAAATAAAGATTCATGTTGAGTTGTGTACATTTTATAATTATATCATTTAGGTAATTTAAACTGACACAAATTGTCATACTTTTCATAGCTTTATCAAAAACTTTATATAATCCTTTGGTAGTCAGCTATATAATATAAACTTTGTCTTCATCATAAATGCCTATAATCCGTTGATGATAACTGTGTTGCTAGAAAGATAAGTTGCTTAAATACAACATAACGAGAGACCTGACAATGCGCCTACCGTGATACACACAGATACATGGGTAAATATTGGCGCCGCCTGTCTTACATAACGGCGACCATTAATATACCGCGGCACCAAATCCATGAAGGCGCCACCGAGTATGTACATGGGCAAGTCAAGGTTGCATCACAGGCCATGGGGTACGCACTATGATAACGATCTGCCGATTTCATTAAAGTAATATAATATCCCTACTGGAGCATGGGAAAATTATATTTCCTATGCAAATCAGCCTACTTATCAAAACGTAACATTTGATTTTAAAAGTAGGAGAAAACAATCAACAAATTTGAGTTAAAGGGTTATTTCATGTATTCAGTGTGTGCTCCTGAACTTGCAAATAAAATGTGCAAAAATGTACAGGCCTATGAAAATACGTAAACAATTAAAAAATACTTTTCTAGCTCACGCAAAACTCAAAAGGAGGAAGTTAAAGAACCACCAGAAGACAAAGACTTTGAGGGAAATGATACAGGAAATATTTCTTTATAAAACAAGCAAACATCGGAGATGTCGTTATGAAGGCTAATCTAGGAAATACCGGTGCGTTATCACTCAGCGCTTGTGAGTGCTCAAAAAGTTTCGGAGCAGACCCCCGCGGAATCAAAAGTCATAAATCAATGGGGGTACGTGTATTACAGACGTGAGCAGCATGGTCCTGCCTCTTCATCGCATTCTGTATCTTTTGGTGGCATAACAACGCTGGCGAGGAACGGAGTAACACGTGTATTCGAGAGCATCTTGTTGAAAAAGAGTTATTTACAGTGCAGTACAAACTCGATAGAGATCCTTGTTCGAACAATCAAAACTATCAGCCAATCAGTTACGTGAATCTGGTTTAGCTGGTCTTTCTGTTGGGGTTAGGAAACTTCTCAGGATCATTCATTGTGTAATCACAAAGAGCATCGCTGTAATTTTGTTCGGTCGCGTCACACACAACAGTTTGAACAGTGGGATTTATAAACCTCGTGGATCAGTGCTGTTGTCGGGGGTAAATGTTTTGCAGGTTCTATGGAGTTGTGGTCGTATCCGGGAATGTACTCCTAAGCTAAGCAACAGACTGGGAAATCATACATACACGCGTTGACATTGAATTATAAACATTGATTGGTAATAATCATCATGAAGGTCTACATAAGTTTGATAACACTTCTCGTCTGTTTCAGCTTTTGTCATGGTAAGTCCAATCGTCAAACCGTTTTTATTTTACCATGTTTACTACTGTAATTACTCGGATGATTATATATTATGTTCAGCATGTTCAGTAAATAATGACATTACCAGGTTACCTAATATTGTAATTAGATGAAAGACATGTTAGGTGCAGGTGAATAAGCGAGGGAGAGAGTGACTGAATGGGTAGGAGCATGGACACTGAAATCCGTGTTATGTCTAGTAGCTGTGTGTTGACAAATATTTGTACATTATACAGGACTCCTTGTCTGTATTTTCCCATTTTCAAGGCTTAATGCTGGAACAACCCAATTCTCATTGGCTTTTCAATAGTGAAGGTTGTGCAACGTAATTAGAAGTGATGTTTTACCACATGTACCAGTATTGTAATAATATTAATCCAAATGTAGACATTGTCTTCAAGACTTTAAGTTTAACGGTAGTGAATATGAAGACAAAGAACTTGTAAGTTGTAGCCTACCTGTAAGTGGGCACTTGCATATTAAAAGTGAAAATACATCAATGGTAAATGAGATGAGAAAATTATATTTTGGGTGTTGAATTATATAGAGATAGAAATAACCATCAATATCAGTTAAATTGCACTGTGAGGAGGACACAAAAAGAGAAATTAGAAGTTGAGAAAAAGAGGCAGACTGAGCGTAATATTGATAATTTAATATGTTTTTTTCCTTCATATATTCATATATACTCAATGCAATTTAATACAAGTGAAACATATGTATGCAAATAAAACAATTTCTAGATAAAATGCCCTGCTGCTTTTTTTTTTAAACAGTTTTGCTTAGTAACAACAGGGGTGGGGTGTGAAGCTCAATCAAACACTTTATTTCCTAATAATGGTTCATAGAGATTTTTCAAGCTCATTAAACATGATGTCGGCAGATGTAATTCTTTTCAGTTTGTTTTGCAAATTCACCTGGGCTGCTACCCCACGATCCCCCCCCCCCCCCATCCTCACCCCTTAAAAAATAAAGGAAATGGAAAAAATACATAATTGGCTACACGGATGATCTGTAAAAGTGTTTAACCTGATTTACCAACTAAGAGGAAGTGATTATGGAGATCGAGATCCAAGTTTGCTATGCTTTGAGAAGAAGTTTTGTTTTCTATTGACAAACCTTTGAAACCAGACATGTAACAAAATATTATGTGGGAATGGGATAATGATTTCATATAGAAGTTCACAAGTTCAGAGCCATACATGTAGGTGGCTAATCAATGAAGAAAAGATCTTAATCATGAACTGTAGATGCCACTCTTTTGCTGTTTAGATGCCAAACAAATATTCACATTTTCTTCATGGTCTTTCACTTGGAAGATTAATTTGTACTTGACATGGATGATTTGAAGTGGATGACTTGCATTGAGATTATTATAGCCCTCCCCTGCCCCTTCCCTGCCCCTGCCCCTCCTCATGTGTTTGATGTGCTTGGGAGCTCGGTAGGGGGTGTAGAGGGCCTCTAGTAGAGGCTGTCAATTATCATTACTCCTAAATATTATATGGCTAGTGACAGGCTATAGGTTTGTATGATATACTCCAAATACAATATTCTAATTATGAATGGTATTGAAATTTGTGATTAGTTGGTATCAGTCTCTTCATTATAGTTCAATTTGGAGTTATATTGCAGCCATAGAATTAAGAAAAGCAGTAATTTATTACCTCTTTGTTTTTGTAATATGAGTCAGTTCAATAAGTTGTTGTGATCTAAAAAAAAAAAAGCATAGTATCACACACATGCCTTAGCAGTCACGCAAAACACGCATTGTCAAATTATTATTCAATAAAATCTGAGAATGTATACTATTATCTAGATCTATTATTTTTGAATTATTTTTAAAATAATTCCATAAATTGGGGTAAAACAAAAATATTCCAACTATATACGGTAAGGGACAGTGTAGATGCATATTTGGAGCCTGTGTTACACACAGCTATTTTTTTCTTAAACTCAATATTCATTTACACATTTAAGACTTGCTTTTTGTGCAGTTTAAGTTTAAGTTGTTTAACACATTATGTCAACAAGAATTGTCTTTCTCTTTTCCATCCTGTAGCATCCCTGATAGATGTGATGCCAGACTGCTGTGAAAGGGGTGCATCATTTGCCGGTTTAGGCCGCACGTGCGACGACCTAGAGGCAATCCCTGATATAGCGCCAGGGGACCATGGGATCTGTATGGTTATAATGAAGTCATGCTGTGCAAACAGTCTCGGGCCAGTCTTGTGTGAAAGAGCTCTTAATCACAGGATGAATGTAGGCAGTTGTCAGACCATGAACAATGACACATGTTTCTCAGCTGGCAGGGTAAGTGGGTTCCAGAATGGAGGCTTGAAGTAAACATTTTTAGATGAATATGAGAGAATCGTATTTGGAAGTCTATTACTCCCTTTAGAAAAAAATAAACATATAATTGTGTGGATGTGATACATGAAACTTTTCAAATGTGCATCTTAATTCAAATCATTTCATCAAAAATTGTCTATTGGAAATATATAAGATATTTCAGGAAACTCAGTTCATACCTTCATATTAAATAGCAATTAAAACTTGTAATAGAAATAAAGCTAATATTTAGTTAGCCCAGGGAGATACATGTAAACTCCCATCTCCCTGATTAGCATGTTCATCGAAACGTTTAAAACTCATGAACATTGTAGGAATAATCTAATGTGATTGATTGCAGGAAACATTTCATGTAGCCTTCGGCCTTGTAATGGCTCTTATCTCGACAAGATCTTATCTAGACAAGATCTTTGAAATTCATTCAAGGAAAACTCTAAGTTCCTGATTTTTAAGCAAAGTTGCTCATAGCACAGAAACTAGCATCACCAGTGGCCCAGTCAAAGCTTAGCCTGTTGTGTGAGAGTTTTCTTTTATCTACATCTTTCCTTTTTTGAAAGAAAGGGCCTATACATATTAAATGAACTATTTGCAATATTCTCCTCTTTGTAGCTCAATCAAGCCCTGTGTTATTTTAACATTAAAACAATGTATGGCACTATGCCATATTCAATGTAATAGTATATGAAAAGTGACACAATGAGGAGGAAACTTCAACCCATCTTTTTGTAGGTCAGAGTAGGACGTGAAAAAACCTCCGAAACACATTTTTAGCAATTGAAAATAGTCGAATTTGAGTGATTTTATTACTGCATTTCAACAGTCTCTTTTATGTGAAATAAGATGCTCCACAGCTAGGGGGTTGTGGAATGGCATTATTGGTGCATAAAAAGTCTAACCTGTTGTCTGATGTGTTTAGTAGGCCCATAATTTGATAATTGTTTTGAAGAAGAAAAAAACAATGTTTCCAAAACAGACCGATGATCTTCTAAGGGCGCGTTCATGCTTGATTTTGACGGCTAGAATCAGGCATCTGTTACGCGTTTAGTTTAAAACACGGTTGCGTCTTAGCTCACTTTTGTAGAATCACCGAAAAACGGCGATCACGATCGCCGATCGTAAACTCACAAAAAGATGCGTTTACAATTTGTAAACGCGTTTAAATGGGGTCAACGCACTGACCTCTAGTGGGTCTACGTAGCATGCACAGTGAAGGTTTGCGAATCCAGCTGGAAGACCAATTAAGGCCACACACTGAGAATTGCCTGGGGGAGCCAGAGAAGTAAGCATGAACACTACATCGTGGAACTGCGATCACGATGAGCGTTTACGATGAGCGTTTCAGATCGCTCATTCTGCCTTCAAAATTTAAGCATGAACGCAGCCTATGACCCCCTGGATTGTAAAGTATATATGTTGAAATATGTGTACATAATGTTTTCCCAACAAACCATACAATGGAAACAGTCAGTCCTCTAAAGCAGACAAATATTCAAAATTATACTCACTTCCGTATCACTGATACAGTGAATTGAACAAAGAAACAATGAGAAAAGCAATTTAAACATTTTTTGACAAAAATATAATTGTTTCAATTATTTGCACCCGTTTCAACTTTTCAAAGAGGGCATGTTTATTATTAATGAGTGACTTTTTGATTAAACGCTATTGGCAACCATTCAACTTTTAATACCTTCTTGGAAGACTCAAGTATATTTCATTTGAAACGGAAATTTGATGTCCCTGCCCTCTCTTCCTCTAGCCCTGGAAGTTCAGATTTAAACAAAACATCTGCATAGTCTCATACAGAATTAATAATCAAGGCAATACATTTCTTTTCATTAGCACTTGTCAATCATTATGCTGATTATAAAAGTGAAAATAGACAAATGAAATAAACTTTTGTAGGCTTATTGTTAGTTAATGATAACAGTCAATTAATAACTAGTTGAGATAAGTAAATTCTTTTCAAGAATCGTGTTATTATCTTGTAAGGTGTTTTAAGATGAAATTGAATTTATTCTTTTTTGGGTGGATTGATATCATACTTTCCAGGAATGCTGCGATTGCTGTGAGCTTGGTATCAATGCATTTCATGATGGTATCGAGTGTGAATCCATGAGAACAGGGACATCTTGTGACCGTGCCTTCGCCTACTGCTGTAAGGCGGCTGCCTCTAGTTTTGATGGTAAGATATTGATTAAAGACCCTTTCCAATCAAGAAAAAGTACTGTTAAGATAGGAAAATAGTTGGTGAGTTGTGTGTCCGGACACTTCAGAAACATAAACATTGACTATATCACCCATTAAATAATTTTGGAATAGACCATGCATCGATCTAGTTCCAGTCAGCTATAGTGTCCAAATTTTATTTCTATGCCCGAGCTCTAGCACCTTCTTATTAGTTTAATGAAACGGATTTTCACTTGTATAACAGATTGCCATAGTCATTATTAGATTTGTTATAGATATATATCGATATATAACCATATATATGGTTTATGAAACGGGCCCAGTTGGATGTCGGTATTTCCACAGTAAAACGTCTTTTGATTAGGTAACTTACTCTTTTCACATTGATGTATATTTCATGTATTGTAATTTGTTAGTTTATTTTTTTAAATATTTTTTTATATGTAATTGTTTATCATTTTGTTTTGTTTGTCTAGTGCGTAGAGATTTTGGGGGTAAGCGCTTTATAAGCACCGTATTTATTATTATTATTATTACCTTTGAAGCACCAATCATCATACAGACTGCACTAAAACACCATTTACCAGTCACTACCATTTACCATTAAGTAATTACCATTGAAATACCATTTAAAATTTAGTCACTACCATAGAAGTTCATGTACCAATTATCATTTCACCACTATACCATTGAAACACCATTTACCAAAGACATATGTACCACTGTAACACCATTCACGATTTAGTCAGTATACCATACCATAAATTCAAATTTAAATTCAAATTCAATTTATTTCCACTTTAAAAAACATTTACAAATCAATAATGTATAAAGATATTAGTGGCAGGGTCATAAAAAGCACTAAACTGGCTTGTTGAAAGTGACCCCTTAATAAATAACAAGAATATACATAACAAATTATACATTGTAAGAAAAATATCAAAAAATTATTACAGAAAAAACTTAACAAAAACAAAACAAAAACATAAAAATTTAAATTTACAAAAAAGATAGGAAATATCAACAAAATATTATCATTTATGAGTTCAGTAGGTGTTGTTTAACTAATCATTTTAACTGTTTTACGGTCTTACTATTTTTTAGATGAGTTGGGAGGCTATTCCAAATAATTGGACCATTGCCTTGTGTTAAAAAATATATATATTTTTTTTTTTAAATAAAAATCGATTTCTGAGTAGTTGATGTACACTTTAGAGGGAGGTGGATATTTAGAGCATTTCTAGCAATATGAATGGAACAATTCAAAGTAAAATAATCATCATACATCTTAGGAAGAAGTTTATTAGATGGCTGAAACATGACCATTGTAGTATTTAAGGTTAATAAATCATGGATAGGTATGATTTGCATTTTTTTTTAATAATGGTAGAGTGTGAGATAGATAAAAACGAGTGTGTGATAAGGCGAATCCCACGTTTCTGTAATTTATAAATTTGTTCAATATTTCTTTTAGAAGTGAAATTACTCCTAAAAATGTTGTACTTGACACCCGAGTTATCTTTTTATTTGAATAGAACAAATTTAAATCCATTGGAATTTTGGATTTAGTTCCAAACATAATATAATTAGTTTTATTAGTATTTAATATTAACTCATTGGATTTCATCCACATACTTAAATTTATTAATTAAGTATTTACGAAATGAAATAAAGTTGTAGGATCACGACCTTTACAAAATACACTGGTATCGTCTGCAAATAAAATATAACGCAAATTATGGATTGAACATGGCATAACATTAAACAAAAGGGGCAGAGAATAGATCCTTAGGAATTCCGTCGAGCTTCATTAATAATTGTTAATTGTGTACGATCAGATAAATAACTTGATAAAAGTTGTAATGGTGTGCCCCTAATAACGTAATATTTCAATTTTTGTAATAAAATAGAATGATTTATAAGCTGCTTTAATTAACAATAACAGGCTGTTTAACTCTTCATAAAGCAAATGTATAATAATGTACACCACAGAGTTATATGAGTGGGACACATATCAGATCAAAAATTACTCCAAATTGAAGAAAAAAACTAAAGATCCATCATTGTTCCTGAGGATTGGGGTATTATTCCTTGCAGTTTGTCAGCTTTGAAACGTTGATCATGAAGAAAAATTCGCGGAAAATAAAAAGAAATCACAGAGATATAGCTCCGTTTAGTCTCATTTGAGAACACCCCTATCGGCAGAGTCCAGCTGCCTAACATGTACGTTAGCCTATGGACTTTTACACAAAAAATCGTTAAAAATTCATTTTTTGTTTAAACGAAAAGCACATCCACTCCGACGTACGTTATCACTAGCTCTTTCATTGGAACCCTCATGTCCCATTGACTTTTGAAAGATCACCCACCATAATTTGATCAAAATAGGTTGCAAGCTCGCCATTGCCTATGCATGTACAACAAGTCGAACTTTGGATTTGATTTACCACACGATTGTAAGGTTATAAGTCAAGCACACAAAGGATAAGAAGCATGAATTATCATAGATCAATTCTGATTTGTTCATTATGTCCATTTCATCCAACCCCCCACCGTAATTTTTCCATTTAGTATAGGCAAGCATTTTGCCGAGGTAAGCATAAACATGAATATTCATGAACACCATGGACTATTCGATTATTAACAGAGGGGTGCAATTGTGCACCACATCAAAATCCCCTACTTTCATTCAAGTATTTCATTGTATTATATAGTTTGGTAGGCTTATTTTACTAACTGTTTAATTATCAGATATCAATGATAGTTTAAAGATATGGAAAAGATTCTTGTATTTTATATTTAGCAAAGCAATCTCACATACAAAATCACTATCAAGTGTCGTCTGATCCGCTGATTGCCGTCTGCTTTATACGCGAACTAGCCTACGTTTGTGCTGGCGAATATGAGACAACCGGAGCAATATGGCAAATTGTAGTTCAAAGTATAAGGGACACGTAGTTTTTTCAAAGTCACTACCAGTGAAACACCATTCACCATACAGACTCTACCATTGAAACGCTATTCACCATCAGACGCCACCATTGAAACACCATTCACCATACAAAATCCACCATTGGCACACCATTGAAATACCATTTACCATTGACACTACCATTCAAACACTATTCATTTACCATTAGGTTTTTTTGTAAGGGTCATTTTCGACTGCACGCAGTCAAAGTTCCATCTAGTTCTGGGTTAATTTAGAATGGTCAAGTGTTTTGAATATATTTGTGATGGAATACATGTCAATTTAGTAACCTCGGGGGACCTAGCACTGTTAATTCCCTTGATCAGACTCTTGTAATACAGGTTATACATTGTAGCTACTTTGAAAACATCTAGTTTGCACTTTGTTATTACCATCCTATTACCATCCTATTTAGTTTGGCTCCTATAAAGTACACTTGGTTGATAATTCTAATCACAGTTTATAACCCTTTTCTGTCTAAAACTGGTGATAAAGCCAGGTACAAACAATAGAGTTGAGTTTGCACTACCGGTAGTTTAGTACTTTATGATATGCCTATCATCAAATCACTGTGAAGTTTCCTTCTGTTTATCCCTATGCAGAAAATGAATGTTCCCTGCAAACGAGCCACAGATTGTGTACAGAACGATGCGTTAATCTGATTGACAACTATGTTTGTGAGTGTCATCCGGGCAATCATTTACTGGAGGACAACATTACCTGTGTAGCTGGTAAGATAATAAAGTTCTAACACAGGTCATTGTTTAGTGCAAATACACTCTTTGAAGGTATACTTTAAAAGTACTGCTTAACATTCCCAGGTGAAAAACGTATATTAGTTTTAAGCTTAATTAGTTTAATCGTGTTGACTCTATTTCTGAATTGTGAAAAGTTGTCAGCATGACATATCATGATGATTATGAAGTGGATGTAAGACCAGTGCTTTTTATGGATTTACAAGATATATGTGTTAGAATATATGAACATAATCTGTCATCTACATGTTTCATTTTCTGAAGAGATTCTTCACTTGGTGTTTATGCTCTTAGTGATCTTGCATTTTATAACACATCAGTTAATTGTTTTCATCATATCTGTCAAACTGTTCAGTAGTGTCTTTAAAACTCTAAGATGGTTTGTGTATGTCTGCTAGACTGCTACTATAATCATATTTTTCATCTTTCCATTGAAATATTTTTGTAATTATATGTGAACCTTTAGATTCTAAAGTTAATCGTTTTCCAAGTTGCCAGATTTGCCTTTTTTTCACAATCCGCAGCAAATGTTACAGATTCCCCATCAATTTGATTTCAAAGCAGAATGGTGATGGAAATTTATCTCAAGTGACATTCATGCTGGTCTCAATTTAATCAAGACAATTATTGTGCCTGTTCAGAGCCAGAAGGGCATTAAAGCTGTGTTAAGGTAGATGAGGTAATACCCTCCTGGCTCCAAACAGACGTTTTATTTACTTAAAGGGGACGTCCCATCCTGATATTAAGTTGGTTTTAATAGAAGCAGAAAACTTAGAGGAACGAGTCAGTGAAAATTTGAGCAAAATCGATTATTGATGAAAAAGTTTGACCTTTTGAAGTTGGAACCAATCAAACACAAATTGGCAACTCTGTGACATATCTTACGAGGTTCCCTCCCATTTGCTCTGTACTAAAACATATTTCTATTTTTCCTAAAGAAAATGTTCAATCATACATGCACCCTAAATATCATTACTGCAAAGATGTTTCTCTACAACCCCTGTACTGTATGTAACAACTCTATTCTGTCATCAATAACTAATAAAATAAAAGTTTATGACATTTCTGTACCAAGCAAATTGGAGTGAATCTAGCAAAGTACGTCACATTGTTGCCAATTTGTGTTTCACTGATGACAACTTTAACAATTCATGTTTTTCCTACTTTTAATCAGGTATTACTATTGCTCAAGCTCTCACTAATTTGTTTCTCTCGTTTTTCTGCTTTTTATTGATACCACTTAATTATCAGGGTGGGCTTCCCCTTTAACACACTTGGCTAACAAACTTTCATACATTCTTGAAAGCAAAATGCCTGCCTGTTTACTTGCAGATGGTGATACAAGACCCCCTCCTAGATACTTGGCATGCAGTCAGGCACCTTGCCAGCATGAATGTCGTCAAGTTGGCAGAGAGTATGAGTGCTACTGCCGTACAGGATATGAGCTCCTGTCAGATGGGTATACTTGTGAAGGCAAGCTTTTTTGCAATAAGATCATTGAATATGGATGCAATTGTTTCATTTTGTAAGTTTAAAGCCTAGATATGTTCATTCATCTTTCTTCTACAAAAGACTTTGCATTTCAGATTTACTCAATTGATAGCCCCATTTTTTAAAAATACAACTGGTTATGTGAAGAAAGCCATTAGACATGGTTGAAAGATTCGCTCCTGTATTTGGTTTCATTGTTATCTTATAAAGTTGTTAGTTGAATCAGTTGATTGTTGATAAACTTTATTGGGTCTTCAGATCCGACAAACAGGCTAGTAGGGGTGATAACAGATAAGGAATTGATAGATTTAAGGGCGTTTTTGATAATGATACAGGCAGTCTGATTAGCCAGGAGACCAACATACCCAATGAATATGATTATTTTAATATATGTGCATGCAAACAGATAAAAAGAATACCGGTATCCTATAGTGTTGTTTTCACCCATTAGAATTTTCCCGTCATATAAAGTTTATTTTGATAACCTATGACTTATATTCCAGATGTTGATGAATGTGCTGTGACTGATTCGTTAGCATGCAACTACGCAGAGAGATGTCTCAACACCATTGGTTCCTTTAATTGCATTAGTGATGTGGTGTGCCGAAGTGGACTAAAATACGACCCTGTAAATCAGTATTGTGTTGGTAAGAGGCTGAATATGTACTCCCAGTGATGAAGATTTCATTCTTCTTTTCTTGCCCTAAGGCATTGAAAGCATACAGGGTATTACTTTATAGTAGATGTACTACAACCTGGATTAATGCCTTATTAAACCACTTGAGTGCCAAGCTGTGACTTGAACCACTTTTTGATCCACATGCAGTCTGACAGCATGTCGACTAGACCAAGACACATGTTCATTGGTTTTCAGCAGACAAGATATCCCACCGCTGCCACCAGATTAAGAAAACATGAAATTCTAACAAAATAATTAAACATTCCTCAAAATAATAGTGCTTTCTCTAGAAGAAGCATATAGATGGACTTCTGTGAGGGTGAGGAGCATCTTTTCAGTATCAAGTATTTATGCTAGACTGATAGCATTGAGGAGAATTGCGAATAATATCAAATTGCAAATATGCTGTTCCAGAAGTTATAATGGGATTACGGGCCCTATCTAGTATTGTGTAATGTGACCGATCTATAATCAATCCCAAACTAACTTGGGCTTGGTATCAATGCCAACCGCTAACAAACAAAATATATTATTGTAACACTAAAATTGATTAGAGGACGGTCAAATCAATATCAGCTCCATGTGAGATGAAGTCTTGGTTTGTATCTCTGCACTAGATCATATAAAATCATGTAATCTCCTGTTACAGATATTGATGAGTGTGCTGAGAGGACTGACACCTGTGATGAACGAAGCATTTGTGAAAACAGGTACGCCAGCTATACTTGTCAACATGCCAGCTGCCCAACAGGTTACTACTATGACAGGACCGTGTCACAATGCAATGGTGAGGATAAGCTCTTGTTCTCGCAGTAAAATTGGCATGTCTCCTGACAGGTTGTTCAAAGGATTTCAGTTAAAATTAAACTATTATCTGCGGGAACGGGGTAGTTCCTCCTATCATCATCATCGGAACAGTCAGATAAAGAGAAGTATCATTTCTTTAGAGAGTCATACAGACAGCTAGCATCTTTGTAGTATTCTATTGTGAAATCTCCTTCGTAGTATAACAACTACGTGAAACCAAAAGAATTTCCTTGTTGTATTGAAACTTTGTTATATTGGGGCTCAATAACGTAAGATTACAAAAAAGGTGGGACCATAAGAAATATACCTTGGTATCATCATGGTTTATAACAGTGATCGTTGTAGTAAGGTCCTGCTTGTTTGACCTTTTCAAATTCACTTTATGTTTAGTATTTAAATTAATGATGGGTTAAACAATAAAATTGATTTCGTATTTATCTTTCCCAAAAGATATTGATGAATGTGCTAGAGGCACTCATGAATGCCTAGATGGAGCTCGGTGTGATAATCTACCAGGAAGCTTTCATTGTACCAGGATTGTACCCTGTGGCACAGGATACACTATCAATGGAGTCACACAGCAGTGTGTTGGTAAGAATAGAAAGGAAAATATTGAAAATAAATATTAGTCGAATCTGTTAATACCAGGGATTGAAATAAATGCAGATTTAAGTCAGTTTTATAAAAAGTAAATCAGTAATACGAGTGAATAGCAACTCTTCAATTGATAAAGTAGGTGCTAGTGGGTTAAGAAGTATATTAATGGTGTAATTATCGCCTATTCTTTTGTTTCGTGTCTTTTTGTTCAGTGTCAATTACATCCATTTCTCTTTCATGTCTGGGCAGTTCCATGCATTGTACAACATACATAATTTATACATGTATTTCATTTATGATTGAAGTATCTCTGAAGATGAGTACAATTATTGGAAGGGATACCCGAAAGAGGCATTATTCAGTTGAAATTTCAAGAGATTCTTTAGTTTTTGATGAAATATGTTTTTCAAAAGACTTTTTAAATTGCCTAGATCTAGATCTTCTTCTTCTCAGCTGTATCAGTTTATCATCATTATTTTATTCTTGTCACTACTTATTATTTGAAAAATCACGTTCAAGTTTGTTTTTCTCCGGATTCTCTCACTCACCTTTATCCCCTAACATAGATGTCGATGAATGCAGTCAGCAGAGCCACGACTGTGAGATAAATGAGCTCTGTATAAATATCAGGGGAAGCTACGACTGTCAGTCTTGTCCTCGTGGTTTCAAGACCAATGGCAATGTGAACAGGTGTACACAGGGTATAGTAATACAAAAGTTGTTTTAAAGGCTTGTTCACACTTGTCACTAATTTGTTTTGTTTACTAAATGAATGGCAGGTGCAGATCAAATCGATGGTAATACACGTCAAATTACTTAAAATTATCCATTTTAATGAATAAATAGGTAATATGTTAGTTGGTATAGTTCTACTTGTTTAACAAAAAATTAAAGTAGCATTATCATCAGTTTATTCTTGCAAAATTACAGAACTTTAGATGACCTAACTTTTGCTACCATACAGACTGAGACGCATGGCCCTACGTGTTATCAGTGTTTGATATATGGTGTAAGATTGCATGAAGCCCTAAAAAAATTGTACTTCAAAATAATCATGAAGTGCCTCAAAAAAGTATAAATCTCTCAGTGACCAGTTTTACCATACTCATTTTCCCCAGTAGAATGTATTGTTACAAACACCGTTAGGAGAACGAAATTGATAATCAGACAGGTGATCAGCTTGTAAAAGCCATGGGAGTCCTGACTGAGTAAAAGGTTTGTAGTTACGATTGCAGTATGAGCTAAATCCAGGATTTTGTTTCAGAATCTGAAGCAATGTAACCGAGTCTCTTTAAGGTTAAATACTTGCTTGATATTTCTTTAATGTTTATTTCCCCCCAGATATTAATGAATGCCAGGAAGGTACATTCGACTGCAGAGAAGGTACAAGGTGTGAAAATAATGTGGGAAGCTATACCTGTATTTCTATCTGTATGACTGGTTTCGAATATAACAGAATTCTGCGTGCCTGTATGGGTGAGTTGTTTGTTATTATCTGAAAGTATCGTGTGATATACTTTCCTTATCTTCAAAAAATATTAGATCGTATACAGCACAACATTTCATGCGAGACCACAGATCATGTACTCATATTTATAATTTGAACTATCTCCTTATTGTTACTCTTCAAATAATAGATATCAACCCATATTATTTGTAATATTGTATCCTTTTAAGAGATTAGTAAACCCATCTTGTTTTTTGCCATTTTAATATTTGTCATTTATATTTTACCAAGTTATGCTTTTGGGGTCAGTTATACCCTTATTTATGTTGTAGTTCAAATTGATGAAGACAATAAATGTTTTTATCATATTTTTAACCATTTTATGCTTGATAAAAGCTCTGTTAAATAACTTATTCTCATTTGACCTTTGAATTTAGACATTTTACTCATTAACTTCTGATCTTTTTATAATATTAGATGTGGATGAATGTCGCAGAGGACTTGCCAATTGCGCAACATATGAGATCTGTCAGAACACCAATGGAAGCTTCAGTTGTGGTTGCAGACAAGGATTCAGACAAAACAACTATGGGCAATGTGTCGGTATGTATAAACTAGATTTGATGTTCACCAAATGTGATAGATAGTGGGCAGAAATGTTAAAGCCCTCTAAAATTAGTGTAAGTTGATGAAACTTTTTGAGGATGTTTTCAGACATAATCTGCATAGACCTGCATTTTGAATCGTTGAAGAGCTCTTTATGAATTACTGTAATTTGACAAAACCATCTGGATATATTCATAACTTTAAACAAAAAATAACTATGATACTTTTGGTTTGAAGTGCCCATAATTATTTAATATTATTATTAATATTATTAGAACATTATTAATACTGATGAGGCAACCCTGAATTATAAGATTATTATTATTATTAGTAGTAGTAGTAGAAGTAGTAGTTGTATTTGGTACACCCTACTGTTACTCTGCTATTAACATATACAAGCATACTCACACACACGCACCCACCCGCACAACATAGTGTGTCTTTAATTGAAAATCTTGTTATCAGTGAGGGCTGACTTGTCTTTTACAATTTATCCCTAAAAATGCTTTGTTTCCAGATATTGATGAGTGTCGAGAAGGACTGAGTGAGTGTAAGCCTAACCAAAGATGTTACAACCTACAGGGACAGTACCAGTGCCGCAACATGTGCAGAAATGGTTTCAGGTTCAACAACTTTAACAGCGCCTGTGAAGGTACTTTTTTTTAAACGTAGGGCAAGTCAAAGCTATTCCGTTCTATATATTACCAACCGCATATCATAAGCTTTTAGTATATCTGATCATTTTATGATGTTGAGAGCATTAAAAAGATCTAGACAAAATATAAGGTAGAAAGATATATATGGTGTTGGTTTACACAATTTTAATGCATTGGACTTTAAATGATGAAAATAAGTTTGACTTGCCCTTTACTCTCTTTGATTATTCAGCTTCCAGTTTAGTGGTATTATATATATTTTCAATTCACTCATAAACTGATTTTGACCAAATTAACATTATTTTTGTTATGTTATATAATTTCATATTTTCATATATAGTGTATATCACTTTAAAAAAAATTGATCTAGCTGTAATGATCAATGTTTTCATAAATGTTAATTTTGGTTAGTATTTTCATGAACAATTATTATCAAAGACTGACCTTTAATGTAAATGGTATAACATGTATACCATTAACAGTACTTCTTATCAAACCCATGTCTATCTGTCAGTTTAATCATTGTTATGTTGATTGATTGATTCTTAATTTGCATGAAGGCTAAGAAATTGAGTATATGTTGTTGTGGAGGACATCTATATGGGTACAGCCCAGAAGCTTGAAGTACTACCTCTGTAGGACTATAGAATTGATGATAAATTCATTGGGTGTTAGGCTGTTAGCTGTCTTGGTCTCAACCCTTTGATACACCATCACTGAGATAACGTTGTACAACATTTGGTGTAGTGAAAATTGCTTTATGAAGTCCTAAATCAAACCTCTTAACCAAACTCTGTACCTAACCCGGACCCTTGCTCTGTATCTCACCTAAAACCCTTTTAAAATCCAATCCATGACCCTATATCTTTAACGATTCATAGCCCATAGCAGTTGTTGCTGAAGCATATGTTGGATCATCTAATTGCTGCATCCTTTTAACTAAACATCCTCAAGATCGTCATTGAATTCAATCGATAGCTACAATAAATGAATGAATGAATAATTGTCAATTGACATAGTGCTAGTGTAATTACAGTCCTTGGCCCTGTTTCACAAAACTTGTCATCATTGACAAATGACAGTCTTTGTTATACTGAAATCCTTGCTTCTGATTGGTCATCAGCAGATTTGTCACTGATTTTTGTCATTTGTCATTAAAAAAGGTTTTGTAAAACATGTGCCTGATGCAAAGCACAGAATGCTAAGAATTTTCTTTTTCTTTCAGATATTGATGAGTGCGCTGAAGGACTGGATGTTTGCCAGAACAACCAGCGCTGCATCAACCAGGAAGGAGGCTATGTCTGTCAGTGTCCTGCAGGTCACCAGGCAAACAGAGATCGAGCCACATGTGAAGGTAACTAATCTACATTTTTTCACAGATTGAGAATTTCGACTGAATCTTAAAAAATGGTTGCCAGGATCTGACCCATTTTCATTCATTTTCATGTTTCTGTTTATATAACTGTATAATATAATAATAATAATAATACTTAGTTTTTATATAGCACTTACTACAATCACTAAACGCTTCCAATCTTGGAGAATATTACCCCAGCTTTAGCTGTGCTGCCATTACGGCGCTCTAGCATTTCAAGGAATTAATTCCTGCCAGGTACCCATTTACATCACCTGGGTTGAGTGTGGCAAATGTAGATCAATGTCTTGACAAAGGACATTAGTCCCGCGGCGGGTCTCGAACTATGGACCTTGTGATCGACAGTCCGGCGACTTAACCACGTGACCACGGCCCCTCTACATATGCTTTTTTATCAACAGGGAAAGGGTGATAGCACAAGTTTGTTCAGCTCAGTGAGTTGAACATGAGTATACAGTTTGTACCTTACCTGAGGATTGAACCATGTGAGACTTCCGCATCGTTTAAAATATATATGTTGCATGCACAAATGTGTGACGACTAGTCAGCTGTGGCATATTCCAATGGAAGATCCATAAGTCGAGTAGTAACGGAAATGAGAAAATGTTTTTTCTGATTCAAATCGCAGCCATATATCTATTGTAGATGGGAAATAACAGTTCTGCATGTATGGAATTGTAATTGATAGGAATCCTGTAAAAAAAATGTGCAATTATAGATCAGTTTATATATTTCAATCCTTGTATAAAATTATTCTCATTATATACAATTAGTGACAATATTCAGTTAACAACTAAAATTATTCATACCTTTACCAATTTTTTTTTTTTTTTTTTTAATATTTGAAAAAGTGGACATGACCCGGTTTAATTTGCTTAGGAATGTGACATATTGAAGCTTACATCTAAAGGAATTTGACAAAGGCTGTAATTCAACAAGTCCACCTTTTATTCTTGAGTAATGAAAAACACCCCAAAAAAACCCATCAAATTAACAAGGGGTAGAATAATGCTGTCAACTGTGTACATACACTTTCATCAACCCTATATCCATATTGTGCAATGCATACACAAATAGGTAGTTTTTGTGTTTGTGAATAATATTTGTTTCTAATTCTCTGTTCAGATATTGATGAGTGCAGTCTGGGGCTGTGCAGGGGAACTTGTGAGAATCTTCCAGGCTCCTACGTGTGCACCTGCCCAGCTGGCTATGCTTTGATGGAGAATAATGTCACCTGCAAGGGTAAATAAGTGCTTTCTGCATTCACCTGTTTGATATGACTTGATTTTTATAAAAACACATACAATGAAACCTGTATATAAAGACCATCCAAGAGAGACAAGAAAAGTGGTCTTTACAGGCAGTTGATCTTTATGTACAGGTTTCGTTTAGTGCATGTTTTGATGAAAAAGATTATTCAAGAAACAGAAAATGTGGTCTTTATAGACAGGTGGTTGTTTTAAAGGCATGTTTCACTGTATTAACCATAGTCTTCATCCAGGGTAGTCCTGGGCTTAGTGGTCTATGGGTTACCCCTTGAATAGTTCCTGAATGCCTTTAGACCCCATTCATTCACAGCAGAGTGAAACTTATTGATGAATCTCAAACACACCTGCAAATGCACAGTGAGTCATCATTACATAGTCCAATTTTGAACTGAGGAACTTGATTTTGATGTGGAAACTACCTTTAACTCGTTATATCCTAAACTGTAGTTAACTTGGTATGAAACACTTTTAAAAATTGAAGTGACCACTGTAGTTGATAATTTGTATATTGAGAATTAAATGCTCAGTATACCAGGCCGTCAGGTAAATATTGATGACTAGTAGTAGTATGTGTTTATGATATTAGGAGTACCGGGTATGTTCATGCTGTCAGTGATAAATATATAGCAGGATTTGAGATCTAAGCCAATTTTTTTTTGTTCTATTCCTATCATTTGACGTCAGACCTTGACGAGTGCTCAACGGGAACTGACACTTGCATACAGGATGAGGTCTGTTTCAACACGCGCGGTGGACACAAGTGTGAAAGCGTCGTCTGCCCAGAGTACTACCAAGTCCGAACAAGGTAATAAATTAGTAAACCACTTTGATATTCCTATGAGATACAGGGTATGGCAATAATATATATTACCCATCAGCAAGCTTTGTTCTACATTATATATATGCAAATTGATGTTTTAATATTGCATATCAGTTCCAACTTGATATACGTTATTTGTGTGCTGTTTATTTTCTTCCAATGTTATGTATCTTAACTCTTAACTTGAAGATAAATGGAGTCACACATGCACTAGTTGTCAAGGCAGGAACACAAGTTATCTTTTGTTGAGGGTAATTTGGCATAAAGTACATATAGAAATCACATAGATAGGAAGGATTCTGGTTCAGATTTTAAAGAAATCTTCACTTGGGTAGAATTAAAAAAGATTCTCGAGATAAATGAAAGTTAGGATGCTGACCGATTTCCATGGATAGTAATTAAAAAAGAAAGTACTATGTAAGGAAGGCACAGAGATAGGGAGAATGCTGGTTCAGATGTTATAGAAATCTTCACTGGGGTAGAAGTTAAAGAGTTAGTAGAGATAAATAACTTTTAGGATGCTTACTAATTTCAATGAATATTACGTAAACATGAAGATTGTCTCTCTTTTTAGAGAATAAGAAAAGAGAGGGATCGAGATGACTTCAAAATCAGATTACATATTTCTTTTCATTTGACATTAAATAAAGTTTGATGAGAACTTGAATGTCCCATGTTGATAAGTGCTAATGAGAGGTATATGAGTAGAATCAAAAGGAAAGTATATATATATATATATTTTTTTTGGGGGGGGGGGCGGGTTATTAATACTGTCTTGTGGCTAATAATTATGTTCTAACTATAAAGCAGTCTGAGAAGAGAAGTAAAATAAACATCTGGGTACATTTCATGCCTGGACGTTAGTTTAAATGTGCTCAAATGATCTTCATGTTTGTCAGTTGTTTGTTGATGTTATGTTAAAGTAAGTGTGTCAGCAATGCAGCGCTTTATACTCGGTGACTCAGCTTTACAGAACAAATAATCGTGATCGCCATAACATCCAGCTAAGCAAGTGGAGCCTCAATTAGTGGTGAGTTTCAGTTTACTAGTTTTGCAATTAACTTGTACTTGTGCTCTTAACATTTACTAGGCTATCAATGTCTGTTTGTAAGCTATATATTGTCAAACTGATTTAATTTGCTTTTTGTATAGCATTGAATAATACTTGATTATACTGATAATGATTGGCAATGATTGGTTTGTGCTCATATATGCATTCAAAAATAAGTCAAAAACTATTATTGCATTGACATGACATGAAGGTTGTACCAAAAAGTGAAGTTGTTGATGAAGGAAATGATCCTAATATCATATGTTGAACACTGTCAAAACCAAAAACCATTACTGTATCTAACCTCTTTTATACTAAGATGACACACATTCATGCAGTAGTGATGACATGCTTTACATTTCGTGATGCAATTGAAGTTAAAATGGATATGTTTTTTTAATTTAAGATCTTTAATTAATGTCCAATTTCCTTTCTGCTGTGCATACATGTTCCTTTCAGTTATAAAGTTGTTAAAAATGAATAGTGAAATGAACTACCAGTACATGTAACAACTATTGAGTTAACAATTTTAAGCCTGTTTAAAAAGAAAATACCAAAGCAAACTTCTTTGAAATTCTTTGTTTAAAATCAAAGTCAATATCTGTCATTACCATGTTGCCAAGAAAATCACAATTTTAATTTTATATTGTGTCCTTTTCGATTACGATATCCTAAAAATGTTATCATACTCTGATTTAGGGGTTTATTTTGCAGGAATTAATCATGTGTGAGAAAACGCTATAAAGAATGTTACATGTGTAGCATCTAAACAAAATCAGAACAGATTGCATTTGAAATCATGTTGTTGGATGTTTGTTTTCATTCTCTTTTATCCAGCGTGAACATGTGTATCCGTGTCCCCTGTGAGCCTGACAACTCTTACTGTCTCTTACAACCAGTGTCAATCAGCCACAAGTTCGTTGCCCTCCCTGCCAACTTTGACAGGAACCGAGTCATCTACAAAATTCAGACCAAGGAAAACCCCAAGTACGACTACTACTTTCGCATGCCAAGAGGGAATCGAGGACGAGAATTCCGACTGGTTCAAAAGGGGTCCAAGGCTAGCGTCAAGATGGTCCGCTCCCTGGTGGGACCACTTGATTATATGCTCTACATCTATTTGGAGATTTACTTGAAGGATTCATCACAGCTGGTTGCAGAATACTTGACCAAGCTTTATGTCGATGTGTCCCCACATGACCACCCATTCGTGTAGACCAGTCTATCATAGAGAAAGGATTGTGAAATGGAAGTGACCAGTGTGAATTCGCTCATTAGACCTTGTTGCAGTATTGAAGGTGTCTGGGTTTTGAGACCATTTAGATAAAGTCTCATGGAGCTGTATTCCAATATAAAAGTTGATATATATCCATCTCCTGAAAATCTCACAGCAAAAATGCTAGAATCTTGGTCAGCGCTTTAGCAAATGCATCTTCTACATATGACTATATTTACCATTATATATCCTCACAAATGTATATGGCAAGAGATGTGGTATAATCCTTCAGATTGCTGAGTCTTGGAAACATCAAGCCATGATAGGGAAGTTGGCTTCAATAGTAAAAGTCAAATATTTTTGTACACATTTTCCAGGGGAGATTTTCTAATTCTTTCAAAAATTTAGATGCATTTTACATTTACAGTGATTCATTATCATTTTTACTCATTCTTAATTTGTGTACCCACTTTAATATTAACATTTCCTGTCACATAAGGTTTGAAAGACTTTTATGGTCATGGCATGTTGATCAAAGATGATTTAAGTGAAGAACATTCTTTTATTGAAGGAGTATTGACTTGCAGCATGTTTTAAGAATGATCATTATTGATAAACATAAATCAGTAGTAGGCTTGGCTCTCCAAGGGATAACATGTCTTTCTAGATTATTTGACATTATGATAGGTTATCCATTGCAATCAAGCATCTTTGAATCTTAAGAGTTTCAGAAAAAGGTTTACTAACTACATTGCAGATAACTGTAGGATTCACAGTGGGCTAAATTTAGTGAGTTCAGCCTAAATTAATATTTTAGATGGATATCTTTTGTACAGTTCATAAGAACATTAAATGTGGGTAAATCTCAAATGTTTAAAGTGAGATAAATACCATTATATGTGTTTAAGAAGCAATTTGCCTCTGTTTAGGCCTCATTCACAAACGTTACAGTAACCACATTAAAAAAATACCATTGCAAAGTAAAATGACATAAGCATGAACAATGTTTAACATCTCTGATGAATTTAGGCACAGAGAAAATGTGGAATTACCAGACATAATACCTTCAATTGATTTTGTATCTTTGCTCCAAAAAGATTAGATACCTTTCAAGGAATACAATAATGTTGCTTTAGTCCTTTCTCCTCCTCAATTATTGATCTAATAGTATCAAATATTATTAAGTTGGTATTGATTTTTTTTCTCAAAACATTTTAGTGAATAATTTGTATATTTTTGTTTTAGAAATTGTTTATTACTTTAACTAGAAAGTCACAGTTTTTCTGTCAAAATGTTAAATGCCATTGATATAGAGGATGTACATTTGCATAATTTGTAAATATATTACTTCTTCTACAACTTCTCTCACTCACTTTGGTGTAGATATGTGAAGTTGATGCTTTGGAAATGTAGCCCTTGTCATGTGTGTTATCATAAGGCTGAAGTCATATAGTGATGATACGGTACAAATGTCATTAAAATTATCATTTTATGCCTGAATTCAAGCCGATTAATCATAAAACTTCATGTATAGTGTTGAAATGATAATAGTTGAGCAAAGTTTGTTCATTATAACTTTGTTTCATCAACATGTCCACATCATGTTGATATATTATATTTTACTTTGTTAATGTAAATTTAATTTCATACCTTGACTTTTGTGCCTGTATATAAATAAACTTTTAACACACAAATAAGATAGCTTGGATTTTTTTGTGTGTAAATGTTTATCTATAATAATGATAGTATGTGCATTTAACCCCATATCATAACCTGTGGATTTAATTTTTTTTTCTCCTTCAGTTATGCATGGCAGTAAACAATGATTCAATCTGTAATGCTTTGAATCTATTTAATCAGAAAACTGTACCAAAGCATTTTCGACATGATTTTTTTTCCCCGGGAATGTCTAGACAATGTCCTTCTACTTGTGGTTCTGAAATATCCTAAATAATATACCTTCAAAATAATAGCCAGCAAATTGCCTGAATACCTCCATATATTTTGGCAATGAGGCACCTGGATATCATTCTATTTGACAGCGAGGATGAAATATATTTGATATCTTCAATATTAAAATTATATATTTACTACCGGTACTCGTTCACTTCACTTGCTCGCAACATTTAGAAACAGGAGAATCCTGAGCAAAGAGATGCCCAAATATCCTCATATTTATTAATATTTGACATAGGGATGCCGGCATACATTATTTTATATCTTATCTAGTGTGTTGAATACAAACTAACTTTTTAAAATAATGGAGATGTAATTCTTTTGCTTGCTCGCTCATACAAATTAGAATCATATATGCCTGTGGGTGTATACATGGCACATGATTAATTTCAGAGTGATGCACAAATTATATTCTGTGATGAATTTGGGATTGGGATGACTTGAATTTTTTATTTCTGAAAAGGGAAACTGTTACTGAAAAAAGATTAACAAATGCTGGTCTAGCTAGCACATCCATTGAAATATGAAAAATGAATACATTTGTTTGATATACTTATAATCATAAATTTCTTGCACAGCAATATAACATTGTCATTATCTTATGTGATATGCTACTCCCTGCAAGGCATCATTGTTTTTGTTATGTGGCAACATGTTGTATATCCTCGCCATTTTTATCACTGTGGCTGTGTTCAGTTAGCACCCCAATATAATGGCCATAGGTTAAGGTAGATTTGTGATTGAAACGATGTCTCTACTATTGTTGTGGTGGCAGCATTGGGATGTAAAGTGACTGATGATTAAAACCAGAGCAATGTGGCTGTGTTTACAGTTGTTAGCACCTCAATATAATTGTCATACATATATGCTGACATAGCCATTGTTTTTCAGGCAGTTTATGGAGGCAGCGATTGGGTATGAACCATTGCCATTGAAATGACCGATGTGATTGAAACGATGACTCTACCATTGTCATGATGGCAGCAGTGGGATGTGAAGTGTCCGATGACTAGAACCAGAGCACTGTGGCTGTGTTCAGTTAGCACCTCAATGTAATGGTCGTGGGGTAAGGTAGCTATTGTGGTTGAAACAATATCTTTAGTGATGGCAGCGGTGGGATGTGAATCCATACCATTGAAGTCAATGGTTACTCGATCAAATCAGATCTTCATGGCTGTGTTCAGTTAGCACCTCAATGTAGTGGGTATACATGTAGGTTAAAGTAGCTCTTGTGGTTCAAACAGTGTTTATTAGGTTGAAAAGTTTTGAAATCACCTTCAAGATGGCCTTTTGAATGTGTTTATAACCTTGTTTATTATTCATAAATCCTTCTGGGTTTGGACTCATGTAGGTATTAGCAGTGTTTTATTATTTTGTTCTGTCTCTTGTGTTTTATAGCAATGACAACATCCAATGTGTGAAGACCTGTCCACGTACCGGTAATGCACCGGACTGCCCACCTGGCAACTTGAACAGTACCATCAGCCATACCTTCGTGGCTCTTCCCAGCATTCCGTTCCTGAGGCAACCAATCAGATTGCTTACAATAGGGGTGAGTAAATAGCCCAGGGTGCTGATAACCTGCTTGCCCAGCACCCAAAGGCAACCAAAATTCTCAAATGGAAAACTGACTTTTATCACTTGGCTGATAGGGAAAGTAATTTTGAATTTATTTATTTGAACTCCCATTTTATTGGTTTGAGGAAACTTTGTCTGACTGTGAAAGTGGGACAAGTTTGGCAAGCAACTTTGTGAATTCCTTCCTTTTTTGGGCAAGTGGAAATAGTTTCCTTGAAGGAAAGTAAATAATTTTCTGTATTGGTCAAAGATTTCGATTAAAACTTTGATTATATCTACACCCGTATTGGTCCCTAATGCAGATATAGACAACCTTGTTGTAAATGCACAATACATACTGTTAAGGGAGCGCTGTGAAGTAGCCTTTACCGGTTCTTACTTATTGCTATTATTATCATAATGTAAATGTTTTGTTAGAGTGATGCAAAAATTATTAAATGTTCAGTTTTGCCTGTACAACTTTGTCAGTCTCTTGAATGTAAACATCCAAACCTGATGATATACCGATTACCGATACTTGATTGTTATTCATTGCTGGGATCATCTGCACAAATTAATTATCAAATGATTCATTCTTCCGTTTGCAGCTTCCAAACTACAGGAGTGCTTATGGCGGGAGCTCACAGACGTACTTCAGATCAATTAGTGGCAACGAGGATCAGTACTTTGTCATTACGCGATTATTCCCCAGAGGATTACCTACAGGTTAGCCAACATAGATTTATGTATATACACACAGACCCTTTGAAAATGACATCCTTGATGTCCAAATTTAAGTTACAGTATGTTTTTTTTTTGTATATCTTCATCAATCTGCTAAATTGTGTTTCTACTAAGGTTAAACTTGATGTGAGGATTTAAGGCAAAACTCAGAATAAACTAGACCTTGGTCAAACTTGTTTTGTTAATATCAACTTTAGATAGAGCTTTATTAAACCCAGCAGCAATTCTACGTTTTAAAGAAAAATAATCTTGGCTTTTTTCCTTGAATTTCTAGGTTGTATCTCTTGGAAGTAAATTAAAAGAGGCACATGATTGATAAACGACTATTTTAGTATGTGGATGATGTTTTGGAGACATGTCGTGGGAAAAGACAATTTGGGACTCATAATTAATTACAATGAACCGTTTATTAAAATATTCTGAATGACACGGCTTTGAATTACTGGAAATAAGCACCCCTCATATGTAAACTTCCCATGTGAAAATTCAATTAGCTTATCAAAATAATAATATAGGTTGATATTAGCAATTCTTAAAAAAATGATTATAAAGCAATTTTAATCTTGGTTTCCATGTTTATTTGCATACAAGGTTACGTGTCCCTACAAAAGCCCATCTCTGGACCCTTTGAAACCGTTCTGCACCTAGAGATTGTGACCGAAGTGAGGAATCCAGTCACCCGAAGGACGGAGGTGACAGCGACATCTTATCTGATGATCCACATAGATGTGGGAGAGCAATCTTACTAGATCCTAACATAGAACCAAGATGTATGGAATACCATCAGTGCTCTGGGGACATGTATGGCCAGATAAGTCTTATGTATGATTGGACTCATGGATTATTTGCACAATTTGGAGGGTTGTCATTTCGAGTAATGGACATCAAACTTGCAGCCGTCTATCATTTCCAGGACCATTCAATCCATTTACATGGTTCCTTTTGTAAGCCTAATTAGGATTGAGCAATTTCAACAATGACTTAACTCAGTATGATACCGGTATCAATATCCATAAAGATAATGCGAGTCATTTATTTGCTGGATAGTGTCTTTGCTATATTTGAATGCAAAGAGAGAAGGAGTAGTGGAATAGACAGAGGGATAGGGAAATGAAGAGAGGAGACAAGGGTACATTAAGGAGAGGGAGATATTAATTATTACATAAGTCATAAAAGAGACCAGAATTCAAATTTGATATATAATACTGTTAAATTTAACCACTAATGCAGGAAACCTTTTTGGTGCTAAAAAAATATGTTATGTACCGGTACATTGTTTGGTATGAATGTATTTAGATTTTGATATGTAATTTTACATACTTGAACATCTATGCATTGTGTATTAAAGTCTATGTGCTGTAGTGCTATGTGCATAGAAATCTTTTTGCTGTGTATGGAATATATAGAGTGACAGTCAGATTTAGATTGTTTGATAATCATTGAAAGAATGGAGAAAGTAAAAGGATGTATTGTTTTCTATGTGCTGGTCAGTAAATCAAAATACTCCATATGCTATGCACAGTGAAATACTCTTTGTCTGCATTCAGTTTATGTCATTTGAATTTTATAGCTATATAGATTTTGAAACACCAAAAGAATGTCCAGCAACAAAAATGACGTAGTCCAAAGATGGTGTTTCACTTTGCATGGCAAGGTGTTATTTTCATAAAAATAAATTGATGGTAAAAATTAACTTTCAAAAATAAAAATCTTAATTGCCCGTAACGCAATTGTACATACATGTATGTCCATATGTTGTCATGAAATGCTGAGACTGCCCCCCCCCAAAAAAAAAAAAGAAGAGAAAATTGCTAGGGAAAATTTAGGTCATCTTCTAAAATTCAGAGTCCATTTATTCTACTCATTTATTTCAAAGCCAGGTTTTATATCATACATGTATATATAAATCATGCATATTATACATATTATGTAAAATATTTAGAAGTAAGATCCATCTCTGTGTTAACATTGTCGAAAAGTGCTAGTTTTTGCAAGCTGTGAAAGATTTGTAGAGTGAAGCAAAAGATCAAAAGGGAATTAAAAAAAAGGTTTTATAATGATTTGAGGGAAGTTAATCATTTTTATGAATTTTTTAAATAGTACTTTAAACGTACATGCATCTATAATCTAAAGGATGCCTTGATGGCTTTATTACCATGTTATTGAATGAGTGTGACAATTTTTTCTTCTAAAATTGAACATCGAGGAGTTTGCATACTGTCATGTTTATATATTTCTCAACTTGTAAATATTGATTTTTATGTTTCATGTTTTTTTCTTCTTTTCTATAAAATTAACAAAGATTATGCCTCATTGTACTACACTTTCTTAACAATCATTGCACACATGAACATTGATGTACCATTCAAAATATGAAACAATCATCTCCTTTTAGAAGTCTGACAAATTAAATCTATTTTTAAATTAAATGTTCTTTGTGGTTGTTTTCATTTGTGTATTTTTCCCGAAAAATTTATCCTTTACAGAATTATGGAGTAAGATGGGAGTCTATCCTTGGAATTTATGGCAATAACAGATTTGAAAAGATTTTTTTTTTAAATAGCAATTACCGGTAACCATCAGACAAAATGTATTCTATTTTTATTTTGATGTCATCTAAAAGACACAATATGAGATTTGAATATTGAAATAAACAGATTGAAAGTGGTAAAAGTCAATAAATGCACATTGTGAAGCATTTACATGTTTTTTCATAACTCCCATTTTCAGTTATACTGAACTTTATGACCCGAGTATGATGTGAAATTATACATTCATGATTTGACATCCTGCCCACACAGGTTGAGTTTCATCTTGCCCCATCACAACACCACCCACATTTTAATGACACTTCAGCCTTTTCACTGCTTTGGCAACCATATATTAAAAAACTTGGTCATAGAGCATATTTAAAATCAGTATTGTCCAGCACAAGCAACAAAAACAATGGAACCTTGATATATTGTTTAACATAGGGTATTTGTATCCCATTGGTTAAAAATGTATCACATGACACAATTTGTTACATGGACACGAGTGTGCAATATAAAACTTTTTTTGCACAGTAAAATGCTTATAAAAGAGAATTGAATAGATTTCGCTGCGTGCATCCGACATGAAGGCCACCTGAATGTAATCAGTGACAAACAAGTGATATGCTTGACTTTGAGTATCATATTGTAAATGAATTGCAGTGGAAACTCGTTACGAGGTCCTTGAGACCAAGGAAATGACCTTGTTATATCAGGAATCTTGTTATACCAGGGAAAAAAAAACAAAAGCATATAAAGAGCTGGGACCAGCAAAATCACCTTGTTATAAGTCAGATACCTCGTTATATCAGATCTCTTTATACTGAGGTTCCACTGTATATATATCTCTACAGAATTGTGGATATTTGCTCACTATCAAACACAATAAAAGCAATCAAGAAGAATTTACATTCCTGGTACAATAAGCAAATACATCATAGGCCCAAATCATGGGGTTTTATTTCAAATACATCGCATCATTACTCGCTGCATATCAACCTCATGTAGACACACAACTTAGCACATCAAAGACACATCATCCTTGAGGATTTTAAACTCCCTTCAGCCACTCAGAGCACGGAGCAGTTCCACAAACCATGTGTACAGTGTATTCATGATTGAAAAGGTACAAAGAGACGCATGAAAGTTGAATCTAGAATAACATTTTCACATAATTCATGATCATGGAGAACTTTCAAGAAAAGGAGGAAGATGTACATGTTAGTATCACAATGGTGTTGGGCTAAAGCACACCTGCATTACAAAAATATTTTTAAAATGTTTACAGTATTATGCTGGAAACAAGATGAATGTCCAAGGCTGTGAACATTCAGATGTAAAATTGTCAATCAGAAATCAATTGTACCACACAAGTCATGTTTAATTGTAGTTTGATGCATGTCAAACTTCATAACATACTCCAAGGATATGCCGAGATATGACATACGGAATATTGATAAGAATACATTGGTACATAAAGATAAAAGGCCAATCTAATTGGCCTTTTATTATGATTGAATCATACTGCTGGTAATCATCTCTGAATACATGATTTTAAATAAAGATTTAAAAAATGAAATCTTAAAACATACTGCTCTCCTTTCTTTTCGTTTGACACAGTGGCAAATGACCTTGTCATGGTACCACCATCTTAAGAATTTTTTTTTAAATTTTAACTGATAGATGAATAAAAATAACCAAAATAATAGAAAAGAGTTATACAAGCAGTAGTTTCTAAATATCCACATTAAGGTTTACTGGGTCTAATCACCCATAATACATTGCCCCTGGATTGTGTTCAAACCTTGCAATAAAACATTTAAATGCTATAATCCTTTCACCTGAGCAAACTACATGTATTCATAAATGCAATGTACATACTTCAGCCAAAGTTATACCAATGCACTTTGCATTTAAAAAAAACATGTAGTACATGTATAACAGCAATTGATATCTAATATCATCAACAAACAAAGTTTACTAGTGATTGCACTTAATAATTGTTTTCAGAGTAAACATAAGAGCAATGCCACTTCAAAAGACACATGCCCTTTCGGCTTACATAATTCCTATCAAAATGTTATTAAACTTAAAGCTTGATCCGATTCACTTGGTTGGTCATTCATGAAAATATATATTCCTCCTAGGTCGTAAATAAAAGTCGATGCATCTACAGTACAAAAAATATCATAATGATAAGAGTGTAAACTTATAGAGCAATGTAGTTTTAATAATAGTTTGTGCATTTGAACTCTGAACCCTGTCGCTAATCCCAGAACCTGTTGAACATCATTCTCAAACCTAGTGCCTTATCGGTCACTGACTACTTTTCTAAGGCTTTTATAGGCATGAGCATAGTGATGTTTCCTGACATATATCTGTACTAGTTGACAACGATTCTAATTACCTACTTAAACGTTGTACCCATTATGGTTGCATCCGGAGAGCCCCATCCAAGCGGATCACCTCCCCGTTCAAGATGGGATTCTGAACGATGGATTCCACCATGTGGGCGTATTCATCAGGATGAGCTAGCCTGCTGGGGAAGGGTATACTCCTTGCCAAGAAAGTCCGAACTTTTTCTGGAAGCCCTGCCAAAAGTGGAGTGTCAAAAAGACCTGTGTAGAAAAAGGAAATTTTTTTTAGCATAAATCACAATGTGACAGCATGAGTGTGTATTATCCATCTTTCTACTAGCTCCTATAGATTTGACCAATGAGATGGAAATAAATTACTAAAATTGAATAACTTATTTTCAAGTAAAGGTAGTCCCTACATGTCAATTTTTAATTTCTTATAATTTGATAAATTATTCTAAAACAGTCACCATATAATTTGCCACAACTACTGGTAACAAAAAAAAATAAACTAATAATTGTTCCAACATAGTTTCAAATTTAAATGCAAAATGCATTAGATCCATTTTAGGCAGGTTGAGAGAATTTTTGTTAAAGACTACATACATAGGTAAGATGGGTAAGATTTCACTAGAGTTTGATGCTTCCTTGAAGATCAGTAAGTGTTTAAACTTTATTAAAGTGAATATGTTGCTTGATCATCAAAATACACTCAATTGTGTAAAATTACTCTTACTTATAAATTGAGTACAGGTATTTAATTTGCTTTATCAAAAAATTATGGAGGCTTTTAGAATGAATACTAAATTTCATGTTGTTTTCAACAACAACAAATTAAAGTAATTTGTAATGGAGAGATAGAGACATGTTCTTTCTTTATAAGTTCTAATTAGCTGTGATTTGTAGGCAACCTTGATGGCACTTTAAGTAGGACACTACACTAGGAATAAACACTTTGAAACAGATAGTATGCATGTGGGTCAAAGGGTACTCTTTTAGATTGTTAGTCTATGGTCAACATATTTGAAGGACACTGGGTGATAATGGTCACGCTACTACAACTTAAACAATAGTGGAAGTCTTATCTGATAAGCTTGGCACAAACAAGTTTGGAAACCCAAGTGTGATTGAAGATATCTGTAATATTTATTAACTGTAGCGCATTAGTAGTAAGGCCAAACAATTTTTTTCTGAAAATCTTTCCTTGACTGAAAAAATACAAACTACTTGATACTCCACAATACTGCCTGCTATGGCAGTTACAGTGTGTATTACAATGGGTAGCAGACTACACTATCTGTAGCAGACAGAGTCTCTGTTATTAGACCTCCCAAAACTTCTAGAAACAAGCAATTTTTCACATTTTACCTCTACTTTTTACCATTTCTCTTTGGCTCCTACCTCTTCATGTTTTAAACTAAACTAAAGATCGCAAGTCAACATAATTAGACGATGGAAAAATCTTAGGTTTCATCATGTAATCAGTGAATACACCTGAACTAGGCTGGTGGAGCACCATAGACCATAAACATAACACACACAATACACAACACACAGACTCACATAGACACATACACAGAGCATGTATAAAGCACATGTTGTGAATGCTGTGCTGAATTGACTCTTTGGGAGATCACATTTACTACAAACTAATCATTCTAAAGGTAAATTGGACACTTTACAAACAGCAACATATGTCATTAGTGTTTCTATATTTTTAGTAACATTCACAAGTTACGATTGGGAGACCTCCGCAAACCATGCAAAATATAATTTTAGTGGTCATCCCATCGTCCACTAGGAGTAAACACTCGAGCCTCAAGATAGATTTTGAACAGAGATAGGTTCAAGGGCACTCTTATAGATTGTTAGACTATGGTCAAGATATATGAAGAACACTTTGTGATATTATGGTCATGCTACCCCCAACTTAAACAAAACTGGAAGTCTTATCTGATGTATGAGCTTGGCACAAAAAAGGTTTTGAAAGTTGAAACCCAAGTGTAATCGAAGTTATCTTTTAATTTTACTGTATTACTTCTAACTAATTACTTCAAAAACCTTTTCTGCCAAGTTTAGATATAACACTTAATCAAAGTGCTTATGACAGCTATATGACTCGAACAGAGATACACCCCACAGTGTATTTTATAATGTACCGGTAATCATTATAGATATCTTTACAATATATGGAAAGTCTTGACATCAATATCAGATATCGTGGTAGCTTTGCTTTGTTTGTCTTTGAGTGTGTGTTGTTTTTATGTTTTTTTTTTTTTTTGGGGGGGGGGCTGCTTTTTTTGTTAGGTAGCCCCTAAATCTTATGAAAAAGGAGATTATTGAGGCATACCTGGTGCAATGGTGCAAACTCTAATCCCCTGAGATGCCAAATCCCTTGCAATCGGCAGAGTCATGCCCACAATAGCACCCTTAGAAGCTGAATACGCCGCCTGGCCCATCTGTCCATCAAACGCTGCTACACTGGCTGTGTTGATGATGATACCCCTTTCTCCATCGACATTGGGCTCATTCTTGCCCATGGCTCCAGCGGCCAGTCTGGCCAAGTTGAAGGTTCCAGCCGTGTTGACCATCAGGACCCTCTGGAATTCCTCCAGGGGGTGGGGTCTGTCTTTGTTAAAGTTGTAGGTCTTGACTGCCACACCGATTCCTGCGCAGCTAACAGCCACGTCTAGACGTCCAAAGGAGTCCTTAGCAACATCTATGGCTCGTGTCACATCGTCTGCTGAAGTGACCTGATGGGAGTTCAAATTTTGCATGAATTAATGACATTTATATAGCAATTTCTTAAATAAAACTAGGGGAGGGACTGAATTTTAAATACAATACAAGTCAAAATAATGCAGATTTTGATCGAGAGGTTGAATGCTCATAACTTTACGGTAAATCATTTACTATGATGTCCAGTGATTTACACTTCTCATGTAATTGTTGACATCTGTAATGTAAAATCCTAACAACTGAAGAGTGCATTAGCACCCTTGCTTAACTGTGAATCCACCATGTAAATCAAATTTTTAAACTTTTTTTTAAAATGAATTAAATCCTCTCTCATTTTTGTTATCATTTTTTTTATATCTAGCTTTTACACAATAAGAAGAATAGTAATCTAAGATAAAGACAATACAGCAACTAAGTAATATGTATTGTTAACGAACACATACAACATTATAAGGAAAATTTAAGTGAGAAGTGAAACCATAGCATTTCTGGAAAATATCCAATATTAAACTACCGGCACACGGTACCACCTCTGCTCCTACAAGCCCTCTCTACCAGTCTCTTTATGCATCAAAAGAATGAGCATGAACGTACATGTAGCAATGCAAAAGGTACAGCTCTGTTTTTCACAACCCTTTCATTAATACGAGACATACTACAGTACAAAGCATTTAACTTACATCCCCGGGAGAAAATTTGCAGTCCTCTCCCAAACTCTTGGCTACCTCTTCACCAGGAGAGTTTGGCAGATCCACAATGACCATTCTGGCTCCATTTCTCACGAATCTCTCCACAGTGGCCTTCCCAAGACCAGAGGCACCACCGGTAACAAGTCCAACAAGACCCTAGAAACAACAAGTTATGATCTTTTACTGAAACCTAAGTTCCACATAATTGTGTACATCTGAACAGCCTCTACACAGATTTAAAATATATTGTTGGTATTGTTTTCTCAATTAGCCACATATAAATTTCCCACTTTTATCCAAGAAAATGACATACAAATGTCTAGATCTAGATAGATCTAGGGGACCATTTATTTGTTACTATACTGTGGGTTCCATTCCATGCTACATACAAAAGTGATTGTCCAGGATATTCCCAATTGAAATGTATAATGTTTACCCGGTATTCCCTTGAAATTCACAATTTCGAAAATAAATTAAAATGTTGCTGGTTGGGCTATAACTACCTCCTGTCTCAATACCCTTTGTACAAAGGTGTTGATGGTATTGGCCTCAATGATGTTGTGGGACAGTCCATTCCACTGCTTGATGCAGGTGCATGGCATGAGGGAGTTTTGATGATATTGCCTATATTGGGTTCGACAGTGTGTAAAAAGAACTATTTACACACAGGTATGGGTAGTTACGTAGGTGATATCAACATCTTATTTTATATTATTTTCAACAAGCCTTGCCCAAGCCTTTCCCTTAAAGGTAAAGACCAGTTATGGTCATGCGATTGCATTGTGAAAGAAACGTTGTGGAATAGATCAGAAAAGGTTGATCATCTAGCATCTAGCATCTGCAAGGTTCTGGAATCATCAAAATGATAAGAAATTTGGCCCATTCTTCGTAAAGTTACAAGCACTATACACAGAAAGATGTATATGGGACTACCTTATATCTCTCACAGACCATGAGAGAAACAAATTTACCAAATATATGAATTAGTAGGGGGTTTCCCGGCAAATTTTTTATCATCATATATTGGTCAAAACATATTCTTTCACATGATTGGTAATGAGAGCTTCCATTTCATTTTTTGAAATTGGGGCGTTACCAATACTGGTCTTTACCTTTAAGGCCATAACCAACAATGATTGATGAATCACAAACCTTTGCTTAGAATAAATCTCTGGTAGATGTAAAAAAGATCATTACTCAAAAAGGTTATTTGAAATAACAGGAATAATGAATAATAATAACAATGTAATAAATCAAATCATTTTCAGACTCGATCTCAGGTAAATACCGATGGTGCAGCGGTTTGCCGTGAAACCTGTGAAAAAGTGTATACTAATATCACGTGGATGATACGCTCTTTTACGTGTATATAATGATTTGTTGTTAGCTGTGGACCAAGGTGATGAAGCTGTTTTAATACTTTTAGACTATTCTGCGGCTTTCGATACTATCAGTCATGATGTTTTTCTTGATCGCTTACGTAATAGATAAGGTGTATCAGGTACTGCCTTGAATTGGTTTAAAACCTACTTTATGAATCGTTCACAATCTATTGTCATTAATGACTCATTATCCAAACCTCATGTTCCACTTGAAGGTGTTCCTCAGGGATCCGTCATCGGCCCTTTATCATTTACTCTGTACACTGCACCACTTGAAGATATTATTGAAGCGCATGGTTTAGGCCGAATGATATATGCAGATGACACCCAAGTTTATGTTGTTTTGAAACGTGATTCCGACCATTCTGTTATTACTAAACTTGAAAGATGTATAAATGATATCACAGCTTGGTCCACTGCTAATGATTTGAAGTTGAATGAAGATAAAACTGAGGTTATACATGTAACATCTCGATTCAGAAAGTCCTCCCATTTACCATCTGTCGAAATTGCTAATGTTCCGATACAACCTGTCAAAAGTGCACGTAACCTTGGTGTCATCTTTGAAAATGATCTTAGGATGGATGATTATATAAAAAATATTTGTCGCTCAGCTTCATATGCCTTGTACAAGATAGGTCGTATTAGAAATTTTCTTGATAAAAAATCTACCGAAACGCTTATACATGCATTTATTACATGCCGTCTTGATCAATGCAACAGCCTTCTTTATGGCCTTCCGGAGTCGCACATTGCAAAACTCCAGAGAATCCAAAACTCTGCTGCCAGGCTTGTAACACGCACACGTTCTTGTGAACACATCACCCCAGTACTTCGCGAATTGCATTGGTTGCCGGTGACATACCGCATTATGTACAAAATCTTAGTTTTAACTTATAAATGCATTCATGAATTGGCACCAATTTATCTGCAAGAATTAATCGAGGAATACAAACCCTCACGCAATTTACGGTCATCTTCACAATTAAACCTCGTATTAAGGCTGTGAAGGGTAGTCGAATGCTCGAGTACCCGCACGGTTGACAACTACTCGGGTACGATTTCTCGTACCCGAATATTCGGCCGCAAAATTTTTTTTTTTTTTTTTTTAAATGTCCAGGCCGACGCTTACCCGTGCCTGGGTGAGCGGCGGCCGCTGGCATGGTGCCGTCGGTAAAAATTTTTCCCAACTCAAGCACTGTCAAACTCACCACTCAGAAACTGGGACCAAATGTCTGGATTTCTGCTTGGACTTGGAGGAAAATGGATTATTCTGCCATCTTTGGTTTTTAAAACAGCATTGTTCACTGTTATTATTATTATTAAATCGGCGCCTTCAACTGCAACTCAAAGTAAAATTGCATGCGTTTTCGGCGACAGAACTGGGATACTGCTCCAGTGGTATGTATGGTGGTGGCAAAAAAAAAAATCAAAAAAAATCAAAAAAAAATTCAAAAAAAAAATTAAAAAAATTAAAAAAAATTTAAAAAAAATTTTAAAAAAATTTAAAAAAAACATGGCGTCCGAATACTCGAGTATTCGCTTGTAAGCATGGGAGTGTACTCGGGTACCTCATTACACTGTTGTGCACAGCCTTACCTCGTATCTACTTCTGTGTCAACTCTCTCTTATGGTAATCGCTCCTTTCGCAAAGCTTCTGCTGAACTTTGGAACAGATTACCTTTAAATGTAAACAAGGGAAACGCTCTCGGCGGTCTCGCCTGCATAACGCAATTCAATATGATAAACCAGAACGTCAATGACGTAGCGTTCATCCGCATCTCACAACAACAAATATCGTAAATTTTATGCGGTACACTTTTGAACTGGTCAAAAATAGAAATTTGATGCCCTGGAAGGGACATAATTTCATTTCATTTGCATAAAGTACCATAAATAATCAATGGAGCAAAATCTCACAATTCTGTGTAGAAGTTTATTGTTCCAAATTTAGCTCTACCAGATAAGGCAAAATCGGTCGAGAAATGAGGAAAAAGAAGCAATTTTTGTTATTTTTGGAATAAATTTGCATAAATTACCATAATTAATTAATGGAGAATAATTTCAAAATTCTGAATAGAAGTTTAGTCTACCAAAGTTAGCTCTACGATATAAAGCAAACCAAATCAAAATCGGTCGAGAAATGAAGGAGAAGAAGCCTTTTTTGTGATTTCGAATAAATTTGCATAAATTAGCATAGATAATGAATTTCACGATTCTGTGTAGAAATTTTAAATCCCCTCCTAGCCCTATCATATGAAACAATCAGAATCAAAATCGGTTGAAAAATAACGAAGAAGAAGCATTTTGAAAATCTTAATGTTGATGCCACAACAAAGTCTAAGTTTGTTGACCTTAAATGGCCTTTGACCTTCACTTAGTGACCTGAAATTCTACTCACATGATTGGAGAGACTTGATAACCCTATAGTCCAAGTTTCATTGACTAAGAACTTATACTTTCAAAATTATATCAAAAATTCAAAAACTTAACCTTAGGTTAAGTTTTCGATGATGATGCTACAACATAGTCCAAGTCTGTTGACCTGAAATGACCTTTGACCTTGACTTTGTGATCTGAAATTCTACTCACAGGATTGGGGATACTTGATTACCCTATAGTCAAAGTTTCATTGACTAAGAACTTATACTTTAAAAATTATACCAAAAATTCAAAAACTTAACCTTAGGTTAAGTTTTTGATGTTGACGCCGTCGCCGTCGCCGCCGCCGTCACCGGAAAAGCGGCGCCTATGTCTCGCTTTTTGCTACGCAGGCGAGACAAAAACTGTCAAACCGTTAACCTATTCAAAACTAGTCCCAAGACACATTTATTCAAAATTGCGTTTGATGATTAATTAACTCTGTTCACTTCGATGTGTATTCCATATGTATTGTAATTTGTATGTCTATTTGCATTTTTAGTTTTGTATAAGATGTAATTGTATATCAGTTATTTTGTGTGTATAGCGCTTAGAGACTTCGGTGGTAAGCGCTTTATAAGTAACGTTTTTATTATTATTATTATTATCATTTATCTGAAAAATACTCCAATAATAACAAGAAAATGTACATGAAACAGGTAGTAAACATAACGACTTTTAACTCATGATATTTATTTGGACATTTAATGAATATTTACTTCATTTTGGGTAAGTTTTATTGCTATTACTTTTAGGGTATTTCCACGCCGGAGTTACGGGACAAATTTTGGATAGGTTTCTGAACAAGCGCCAATTTTGTTGGTAGTGTCTTCACACCGGAGTTACAGGTCTAAAATGGATACAAAAGTACACTAGCGCCCCACACCCCTCCCCTCCCCCCCCCCCCCCACCCATCTCGTAATTTCAACTGATCAGCTATTAAAAGGCATGCGAGGTGCATTCTAATTTCTACGTTCTAGGGTTCTATGAAGGCCGCCGCGCCGCAGGGGCAGGAGCCGCGACATGCATTGGCAACCCGGGCCGGGTCGGGTTCCCTACTTTTGCCAGTTTTTGTGTTAACTATTACTGTACGAAACCTACACACAACCCAATTAAAAAAGTTTTAGGGAAGAACAGTAGTAGTAAAACTTACTTTCACAGATTTAACAGATGACATGATGGCACCAAAGATGTAAATCTCGGCTCTTTTCGAAATTTGCAGCGGTTCAGTAGACTGCACGAGTTGAGTACGAACACTTTAGTAATTCGCTATGGGACGCCGAGTGTGTATATTTTTGTGACAAACGATAGATAGACAAATCAAACAACAACAACAACAAAGTTTGACAACTTTACAAAATCAATTTTCTTGGTGGTAGGCCTACATGTATATATTCTACCGTACCTCCCTGCCCGAGTAATGAGGCGGCGCCCACACCCAGGGGGGGGGGGGGGGGATTACCAAGTACCCTCGAAGGTTTTGAAAAGCGCATCTTTTTAACTTTAGGCCAAATAAAAAAAAAACATGTTTAGATCTATGCGTCCTGTTTTTTGGAAAAATAGGAAGGAGGAGCAGGCGCGTAGCCAGAGTTCGATGTTTGGGGGGGGGGCACTTACATGTAATCGATCGAGGTAAAAGAAAAGGGGTCTAAAAAAAATCAACCGATCTTGGAAATTTTAGGGGGGCACGTGCCCCCCCCCCCCCCGTGCCCCCCCTTCCCCCGTGGCTACGCGCCTGAGGAGGAGGCCCTTTTTTTCCTTCTTTTTTTCCTTCAAAATGGCGGCACAAAATGGCCGCTCGGTACATTTTTCCTGTCAGACGGGCTTTTTTCCAGATGGCCGCTGACATTTTTTTTTTTTTTTTTTTTTAAATCAGAAATAGATCCATTCTTGCAGTGTTTTTCATGTTTTTTTACTTTAAAAAAAAATAAATAAAAAAAATAGGAGGCGGCCCCCAAAAAGGAAGTGGGCGGGGACGCTAGACATGTATATTTTGTTTAATGGCCTTAGTGCCCCTTTTTCTTTTTAATAAGTGCCCCTTTAACTTTGACCCATACCCCTATTTGTTCCTGTCTAAAAAAAATGCCCCTTTCCCTTCTTATAAGTGCCCCTTTTCGTTCTGCAGTGCCCCTTGCCTTTACCATGACTAATACCCCTTTTCACCTCTAATAGGTGCCCTTATGCAAAATTAGTAGCCCCTTTTACTTTGACACGTGCACTAAGTTCACTTTTCTCCTTCTAATAAGAAGTGCCTCTTTTAAGGTATAAGTTCTCCCCCTCTTTATTTGAAAAAGTATGTTACAGATAAATAGAAAGAAACAAACTAAGGGCAAAGCAGCGTTTTCAACTAGGTTTAATTGCCGCAAATTAAGACATATATGTTGGGGTGCCGCGAGAAAAATTAACTTTCGTTTATGTCATTCCTTTTGGATAACGTCAATTTTGTGAAAAGAAAATATTTAAATTTGCTATGTATTATCATAAGGAAATAACACTTTAAAGATAAGATTTTTAAAAAGTCTTCATCGCTCGTTTGCAACCATGGGTGTCAATCCCGGGGGGATGGGGGGGGGGGGGATATATCCCCAATATTTCAGGTGGGGGGATGGCCTGTACAATTATCCCCCCCCCCCCCCAATAATTCACTTCACCATGAAAAAAATAAAAAAATGAAGAGAAAAATTAATGATGAGAGCCCGATGAGTGTAGTTAATGGTTATAATTCTCAAGATGACCATCAATATACACATTTTGCTATCTCATTTTCATAATACATACATGTATACGAAGTAAATGAGACAACCGTATATGAGACAAGAATAAATTGAATTCTCGCTCATACAGCTTCATCAGGAATTGATGAATTTATTCAATTTGTTCAATCAACAGCATCATAGAAATGCAGTGCGCCAAATGCAAAGACGCAGTCAAAAAGCAACGAGCTAAATGTTAAGCGCGAAGCGCAAAGGTAGCAATGCACATGCTATGCACATCGGACAATCCTGGACAGTGTAAACATAAATGAACTCTGTAATGAATTCGTGATGAGATCGGAGACAAGGTGAAAGATTTTCGGACATTAGTATGACTATAAGATAGTTCACTAGTTGTTATGTTGTTTCCGTTCACCCTTTTTAAAATTCACGTCATTGTATCTTTTAAAAAAAATCACTCATTTTATTTCCTGATATTTCCTAAAACATTTTTAATTTTTGGAGAAAGATTATTATGTCACAACTTATTTTTGTTTTATTAAAAAGCTGATGTAGGCCTATGTCACTGGCGTACTGGTAGGGGAGCTTGGGGCGCTAGCCCCCCCCCCCAAATGAAATCCAATCATGACCTATTTTCAATTTCATACAAGTGATTTATAAATGTTCGTGATATCACATGATTTTCAACAAAATTCGCGTTAAACGCAAACTGACACATTCCCAAATAGCGAGGAAGAGCATATATTTTGTATAGTCACTAATGGGCCTAATTAGTGGCCGTCAACACTAACAGTAGTATACAATTCCTTTCGAGAAGCTATTGCGACAAGCACTGCCGGGAGATAACATGCTACCCACCACTCGGGCTGTGCATGCAAAGATTTGCGAACGAACGTTCCATACGTACATCATGTGGGGAAACTGAATTATGAATTAATATAGAGAACAGTAAAACGAATCGTCTTCATTCTCTAATGATTTAGTGAAAAGGGCAAAGCTTCCGCGGTGCAAATGAATTCAGACTAGGATTAAGAGTTATAATTAAATGAAACGTCAAAGTACACGATACAACGAATCGTCTTCTTTTACTAATAATTTAATGAAACGTAAAAGCTTCCGCGCTACGCGCGGGATGGGAGAAAATGTTTTCAGACGTGGATTAAGAGTAGTAATCAAATGAAACGTCAGTGTACACGATACAACGAATCGTCTTATTTTACTAATAATTTAATTAAACGTGAAAGCTTCCGCGCGCATAGTGCGGGATGGGCGAAAATGATTTCAGACGTAGATTAAGAGTCATGAAACGTCAATGCTTCCGCGCTTCGCGCGGGAGGGGGGAAACTGAATTCAGACAAGGACACGATACAACGAATCGTCTTCCTTCTCTAATAATTTAATGAAACGGTAAAGGAGTAAACGGGATGGGCGAAAAATGAATACAAACAAGGATTAAGAGTAATAATTTATTGAAACGTCAAAGCTTCCGCGCTTCGCGCGATAGGGGGGGGGGGGGAACTGAATTCATGAAGGACACGATACAACAAATCGTCTTCCTTCTCTAATAATTTACTGAAACGGTAAAGCTTCCGCGCTCCGCCCGGGATGGGTGAAAAATGAATACAGACAAGGAATAAGAGTAATAATTTATTGAAACGTCAAAGCTTCCGCGCTTCGCGCGGTAGGGGGAAAAGTGAATTCATGAAGGACCCGATACAACAAATCGTCTTCTTTCTCTAATAATGTAATAAAATGTGAAAGCTTCCGCGCTCGCGCAGGAATGGACAAAAATGAATTCAGACAAGGATTAAGACTCGAGAATGGTACATCGAATCGTCTTCTTTCTTTAATAATCTAATGAAACGTCAGAGCTTCCGCGCTACGCGCGGAGGAAGGGGAACATGATTCAAATATTAAGGATTAAGAGTCGAGAATGGTTCATCGTATCTTCTTCTTTCTTTATTAATCTTATGAAACGTCAGAGCTTCCGCGATACGCGCGGAGAAGGGGAAATTGATTCAAACAAGGATTAAGAGTCGAGAACGGTGCAACGAATCGTCTTCTTTCTCTATTAATTTAGTGAAACGTCAAAGCTTCCGCGCTTTGCGGGGGAGGGGGGAACTCCCGCTCCCTGCATCCAACCCCCTAGGGAGCTCGCTTCGCACGTTTCGCGTGCTCACTACCGCCACCCCCCCCCCCTAAAATGAAATTTTGGCTACGCGCTTGGGAGGGGGTGCAACTTGCCACACACTCTCTTGGTTGCTTTGATCCATTGCCGAAAATATTTTGGCACCTATCATCCCCCCCCCCCCCCCAACCACGGATACAAATCGACACCCTTGTTTGCAACATTTAGAAACAAGATGATTTTAGGCAGCGCATGCAGTCCCTAAATACCTCCTTATTTGGGCAACAAGTTGCCCGGATATTCTTCCATTTGACGAGGTACCGTACCCAAAATATCGTCATATTCGGGCAGCGAGGTTGCCGAATATATCTTATATATACTTTTTTTTTATATCGAAACTACATTTCACCTCACTCGCTCGCAATGTAGGCTATACACATGGGTCGATTCAGAGCAAAGGGAGTGCCTGCATAAGCGAATGCATGTATATATACAAGAAAAAGAACAAATAGAACGAGAAGAGGAAGAAGTAATTAAAGACAATGAGAAGTCGGCGGGGAGAAGCCTATATTTGGAGGAAAATGAGATAATTAAGGAGAAGAAGAAGAAGAAGAAGAAGAAGAAGAAGAAGGAGAAGTAGTGAGAGAATTAAGATCGAAGAAGAAGAAGTGAGAGAAGAAAAAGAATTAGAAGAGATCTAAGAAGAAGAAGAAGAAGAAGAGGAAGATGAAGAAGAAGAGAAGAAGACCAAGAAGAAAAAGATGATGGTGGTGAAATAAGCCTGAACTGGAGTATAGCTTGCAGAATATAGGGGAATGAGAAAAGGAAGACGAACAGGAAGAACAATTAAGAAGAAGAAAGACCAGAAGAATGAAAGCAGGTGGAGCGAGAGGAGTAGGAGCAAGAACATAAGTGGGAGTAGGGGCGTACGCAGGGGGGGGGGGGGTTTGGGGGTTCAAACCCCCCCCTTTGGTATTTTAATGTATGTAAACCCCCCTAAAAAAACCTAAAACCCCCCCCCCCTTTTATTTAAAAAAAAAAAAAAATTATCCCCACGGCTAACCTAAATAAGGTGACCTTACCCCCCCCCCCCCCCAACGAAGAAAAATGTCAAATTTTGAAATTTTGAGACCAAAAAAAAAAAAAAAAGTGTCTGCTTACATCCCCCCCCCCCCCCCCCCCCCCCCCCCACTGAGTGACTTTTCGGCCGGCGCGATTTTCAAATTTTCGGGAGCAAAATATTTTAAACCCCCCCCCCCCTTGAAAAAATGCGTACGCCCCTGAGTGGGAGAGATGCCATAGAGGAGTCGAAACGTTTTATGTTTTTCAATATTCTTTATTGATGCATTATATGCCCGGCCCCCCCCCACTCAGAGGTCGGAATGACCGCATGCGTGTTGCCAAAATGTCCGGTAAAGGGGTACTTTTCGTGCGACAAAGTCCGGCCCGAGAATTGTAAAAAAAGGGGTGTATTTGACTTTTCACCCGGAGATTTCTTTAAAAAGGGGGTGTTTTTCTTTTTTTCTCTCATCTCTTTGGACTCCTGAGAAATTATTCCGAATTTAGGGGGGTACATTGAGCATTTTTCCTGATTTAGGGGGGTCTCCAAGGCAGGAAAAGCACGCGAAAAGCCCGCGAAAGGGGGGTTCGGAAATGTTGGCAGTCCTCAGATAGGGGGTGCTTTCAAAAAAAGGGTACGAGCATATGCGTACCCTAAATAACACTGAGTGGGGGGGCCGGGATTATATGCATGCTATAAATCACACATAAACCATTCATCTTGAATATAAAAACCAAGAAACAGTTAAAAACAGAACTAAAATAATTGCATGTTCATCTAAGCTACGACAATTAATCATTACCCTTAATAGGCTACATAAATAATCCCCCTTGGCTACTATATCTAGGCTATATACACTGAGAACCGATTAGAAAAAAATAAAAGAAAGTACCGTATCGGTCGATGGCATGGTCAGCTGATCAATCGTCGTCACCATATCACGTGATGAAATAAAAACAAGCTGTCACTCTAGTCTTGCTCTGCGTTTGTCACTTCAACTTGGTTCCAATTCATATCCATTATCTGAGACTGTGTCATCTTAAATTCTGAAATCCACGGAACAGACCAGGAGGTAAATATATATGTAGATCTAGTCGCAGCATGAGAAGTTATAAAATAAATGAGACCATTATGATTAGAATTTGAAAAGGGCGACAATGCAAGTGCTATAGCCCACACATTCAACTTTATGTTATCTCAACCATTCAATCATATGGGATTAAAAAATATGTGGGACTGACTTATGTTCACCACTCAGTCTGTGGGTCTTTTCAAGAAACCGCGTCATAAGAACAAGGTCAATGACATCTCGACGCTGTTGCTCGACTTGTCTGCTAAGTTTTTCACAAAATCGTCTTTTCCAAGACCAGCGAAAACAAAGCTCTGTTTGTTTAAAGTAATGCTTGCATTTCTATAATTTTATTAAACGAATTACAAATTCGTTTTCACTGGCTGACTGCCGTAGCTAATTATAGCAACAGCGTTGACAAAAGACTTTTATGCATGGCTGATCGTGAAGTTTGCATGAATTCTTTTGTCTTCTTTGTTGTTAGGGCAGGCAGCCAGTGGAACAGATTCATTTGATAAAGCATGCAAGCATTACTTTAAACAAACAGAATTTGTTATTCCTGTCTCATTTTTCCTGATTGATGTGTCATATGAAAGGGTAGAAAATGAACTTTATGGAAATGTAATTTTTACTTTGAAATTCAAATACTGTACGCCAAATGACTTTTTGGTACCCTTTCTTTAAATTTTTTTTAATCACTCATGCATGAAATATATATGCATCATATGACTTGCATCAAATGAAAGAAGAGGATCAAGCTTTATAAATATGTGTCATTTATTAATTATAATCGTGATTAAGTTATGATAAAACATTGATAATTCTCAGTTTTGTTTCTTCTGGGACACACTATATATTATGATATGTAGCTTGATTTACTCTTGTTGATTAATTGATCTTGCTCTCATTTTCATTTTAACACAGAATCTATACACCTGATGTGATGTGTTAACTCAAGGTGTCACACAAATCTGTTCCTGTAAATAAGTTACCGCTCTTGATTCTGGTATGAATAGGGGCATGTGAATGTGGTGAGAGCCAAGATGAGTGCCTACAATACAGACATACAAGCACCTCTCTTCGGGGAGACACAGACATGGGTAAGATCAGGGACCCGTTTCACAAAGTGTTTTTTCAATGACAAAAATCAGTGACGAATCTGTTGATAACCAATCAGAAGCAAGGATTTCAGTAGCTTATAACAAAAACTGTCATTTGTCACTTTTGACAAGTTTTGTGAAACCTTTAAGAAAAAATGGTCATTATTATTTGAAACCTGACCAGATAACTTGACATATAAGGAGTGGTCATTAATGTGTTTTTAACTCTTGATAGAGTGTTGCCCAATAGCTTCTTGATCCTATTAAAGTAATTTTATTTTTTTCACTGTAATATGCTGTAAATTACATTACAAAAGGAATTTCAGTTGTAGGGAGGGGTCAAAGGATCTGATAGAAATGCACAAATATTATTTTACAGAGCTGATTCAGAGGACTTCTTCTAAACGTTTGATAAGTATGGGGTACTAAGATTTGACTTCATATAATTAGATAATTTAGAAGAAAATGTGCTAAAATAAAGAAAATAAAGTTGTTTTGATGATGAATACATGTAATGTGATCTGATCTGATATATCAAATATGATATTCCTTATATCATTGCTGTATGCTTACCTTTATGTTGCCTTTCATTTTAGGAACGAGCGGTGAACGTTATAATTGGCATTGTCTTGGTTGTAATAGTCACGGTAAGAAGCTAACAGATATATTACACATTTATATAAATTACAATTTTGCATTATCTGAAACAAATTTTCTTTTTTAAAATCACTGTTTATATCTGGGTGTTTATAAGAGTTGCAATAACTTTTATTACAAAGGAATATGAATTGCTAATTAACAGCATAACAATGTAGTGTCTGTTCTTTACAGAATAACTTTTCTTTGCTTGTAATAAAATGAAAGATTTTTCAGATTGTAAATATCTTTCAATTTACCTGCCATATTTTCAAACAGTGGAAACATGTCAAAGTCATAGAAATGACTGCAGGGCCATCTTGAGCTTATTTGGTGAAAGCACCACTTGAAAAAAACTGAATTAAAGCTACTTTTAAATATTTATCATGTGGCAAATGAGTTAAGGTAACTTTACAGAGACCATTAAAATATACTGGTCCTCTAAAGCTACTCTGAAAAGCACAATTGATTGCATACCTTTTTTATGTTTTCTTTTGTTAAAGACTACTGGTCTGATTGTCTCATTCTTCTTTTCTTTTTGCTGAACAACTGATACATTTTCCACCAAATTCTTTTTGGTAGATTATTTGTAATTATCATTCAGTGTAAAGTTTGTTACGATTCTGTCAAACTTATATTTTACCATGATCCATAACTCGAGATAGTCTTTATCAGACATATTTTTCTGTGTTTTCTTCATTCATACAGCTGGCTAAATGCACACAATTGATTAATTTTAACATTGATTTTAAACTAATGATATATTGCATACTCTGTTAATCTTTACCTAGGTCACCTTCATTAGTGCATTAGTCTTCCCTTCGTGGCCTCCATTGCCTGTCAATATCTTCTTTTCAATCTGTATCATCTTTGTATGCATTGGAAATATTTTGCTGGTAAGTATTAGGCCCTAAATCAATTTTATAAAAATGATACATAGTACTTTATCTAGGGATACTACTGATTTGCTTACAATGTTTTCAATTTGCGAGAATTATTCATTTTACTTCACAGGCCTAAGGGTCATCTCATTTATTATTTATTTAATAAGTTTCATATTCATAGTTTATGAAGCAGTGATCTCAAATCTAAATTTTACATAAAACTTATCTGTATTTATATCCATTTAAATCAAATACCAAGGGTCTAGGAGATTTGTTATGCAAAACACATTGTTCATGCTTTCATTCGAAATGATATTAGCTATTGGCTCTTGTGTTCATCTATCATATGACGGATGCACACAAACCCATCTCAAGCTAATAAATTGGTATAACAAACTAACAAACTTATTCACATCTATCATATGTACAGTTTTGACCATCTGTCTAAGGCAGGCCTTCTCAACTGGCGGCGCGCGCGCCACTCGTGGCGCTTGCGGTCAGTCAGAGTGGCGCGCGGCTGTTTCAAAAAATTAATAAAAAATTAAAAATTAAAAATTAAAGAAAGAACAACATTAAAAAATTATATACTAAAATAAAAAAACTCAGAAAAATCAAAAAGTCGCAGTCGAAGTTGAGCCCAAAATGTAAGCAAGCCATTTTGTTTGTTTGATTTTCACTTCATTTTGACATTTTCCATATTTATTGCACCAAAATAACTACATATAAATTAACTTCCAGTGTAGATTTTAGCCAGGAATTGTACTAACTATTTCACATCAATATGAAATTATGATTGATGTTTTATGGAACAAAAAGGTGTTAAAAATGCCACATCTGGGCCCTGTTTCATAAAACTTGATATCAATAACAAGTTACAAGCTACTGTTATAAGCTTGTCAAATTTGTCATAGTAATTTAGCAGTTGTTATAGATAAAAAGTTTTATGAAACAGGCCCCTGGGCCTCAAAAAAGCCCTAAAATCCACTAGCTTCCGGGGGCTTCACCCCCTGGACCCCACCCGGTATCAGCTCGGTCGCTACGCTCTCTCGTAACACAGTCACCAAACATACAGGTTGGCACTTCAACCTCAATTCATTTTTGTTTTGGCGCTTCTAATAAACTAGTTGAGAAGGCCTGGTCTAAGGGAACCAGGTGGTCCCTCAGTCCCTGTATCAATCCTTTGAGAATGACATCATTCAGTATTCAACGGGTTTGAAAAATGCGATAGTAGAGCTGATTTCTTGACTTTGATTCCGTTTTATTTTTTATTTTCCTCAGATTTACTGGTATAGGCAAGGAGATGTGGATCCCAAGTTCCGTCTGCTGATATACTACAACAGCTTCTGTGTCATTGCCCTCTGTGTGGCTGCTAATCTCTATTTCCATGAGGTATGATTATAACATTTTAACCACAACACCAAACGAAAGCACAAGATTGGTCGCGATGGAGTCTGTGGATAACATGCAGGTTTTACCCAATTCAAATGGTATCCAATTGCTTGAAGATCAAGTGGCTTGAACTGTGGAGTGGAAGATGCAAGATATTGATCTACATATGCCACTCTATACCCTGGTAAGATATGGAAGGCGATTGTGATTGAATATTGACTATCTCTTCAAACCAGGGAGTGGAGATACTCAGAACCAATTCCTATCTTGATTTAAAGTCTTCCTTTTTTATCACCTTAATTTCTATACACAACTAGTTTCACTCTAATATTGTTATCACTGTGAAACCTGAATTTGGATTTTTTTTTCAGAATATCCTTCTCTCGCTAACTGTATTTTTTTTTTTAACAGTACCTGTTATATGCAAGATATATGTTGTGCTCTTTTTTAGGCGCTTTTCACAGCTCCATATAAATAACTGGTTTTTTTTTCTTCATCCTTTTTTTCTTCATCACCCTATCAATAATAATAATATACAACTTGTTTACAATACATGTAGATGAGGAAAGCTGTATACCAAATATGAATACCAGTATATGTTATGGTGTTGATAATTAATTCTTATGTATGTAATGACACAAAAAATGGAAAAATTAGCATTTATCTAAAGAAATTTCTCATGTTTTTCTGAATGATTAAAAAAGCTGTAAAGCAGGTGTTTTTGTGTTCATAGAGGCATTAAAGGCAATAAACTCGTTGGCAATGTTGTTAACAGGAAAAAAGGTTAACTTGGATTAATATAATGTAACAAATCCTTACGGTATTATTATGAATACAGAAATTTGAAGAATGATGGCATCCCGAAATGTAGACATTTGCAGGCTGTTGCAATTTTTATGAGTTAAATGATATTTAAAACAGAAAGGAACAGCATTAAAGCATTCCATCATCTCGATCATTTCTCGGATGTCAGTGTAGAAAAGAAGGGTTCATTTAATAATCAACTGTGAATCTATACATTTTACATGTAGAAGTTTGTTAAGTAGAATATAATTTATCAAACGATAGTCCTTACTTTGGTTTCCAATTTTATGGACAGAATCCTGAGTGAGGGTATACTTTCTAAGGTTTTCAGTGAAGCCATTAAAAGCAAGGATTTTTTTCTTCAATCAGCTGTTCACTATTTATTGAAGAAGAATTATAAGACCTGAAATATTTTAAGTTTTGTAAAGTGTAGATCCGCTTTTCTATGGCCTCGACTCAATACTAAACAGGTAATACTGTATATGTACATGCATTCATACAAGTTTCATTCTGACCAAAAAAAGACCAGACTTGCCAAATGAATAGTGTTAATAACTATATTTTGACTTTTAGAATGACTGCTGATGTCAAGGTAATTACTTCTTGAGATTAGCTGAGCAAACTGTATGCAATACTTCATTGTGGCTTAAAATTCTTATTGGCCAGTATGTGGCATTGCAGAGATCAAAATGTATCTTCTTTATGGTTTCAACTGATGTATATTGTTGTTGTTAATGCTGTAGTTCTTATCATCGAATGTTTGGTAATACATGTATTTTGTACATTGCTTTGCTGCTAGTAGAATACACATCAATAACACCATACTACCTCTCATTAGGTCTCACCGTCGATCAGACAATAATCGTGAAATGTTTTCAAGATGAAAATTTATTTCACATCTTTTTGAATAGAAACAAAACCCATCATGAGATGATTGACCGCGCAAAATCAAAAATTAAATTATTGCATTTTTCATAGATAATTATTGAATGCAATTGAATTTAGCCAGTCAGTGTTTGCATTTAGCAAAGGTAATGCCAATATTACTATGAATGACTTCATTTTGAAAGATTCCCATGAACATGCATGTACATGAACAATGGAATGGATACATTCAGACCATTATTAAAAGTTCTCCTCGTCCTAGTATGATGTAACTTGTACAGCACAAGTGTTTGCAGTAGATCTTTGCACAGCCTAGTAAAGTATGGATAATCATGAGACCAGCATTTCTAATTGAGCAATAAGAATTGTATATTAAGCTGTTCTGTTCTAGCTGAAAGATAACATAGTGTGTAGCAGCCACTTCCATCAATAGTTCTCATTCTATTGATTAAGTAAGATATACTGTTTAGGTACTGTAGATCTACAATCACTTTTTTTGTTTAGGCGTATTATTATACAATTATAAATGTTATGCCAGTGTCTAATATTACATGCATTTAGATAGGACCAGAGAATTTAAGATACAATGTTTATACTTTAAGATTGAAGAAAATGACACAAATTTAATCATTTATTATGAAACCTAAGCCTAAATGTGTGTTTTCATTTTTGTTGTTGGAATGATGGCCGGTCATTTTTTTCTCCCCTTTTAAGACTGATACTAGTGAGTTTACACCTGGTATATTTATTTTAAACAGATTACAATCAACCAATCTTAAGATTTGTATTTGCTTACTCTCCATCTTTTTCATTTTATTCAATTATTATTTTACTTATTTCCTTTCGTCTCCTTCTTTTCTTTTCTTTGGGAAGTTTCTTAATTTGTTTAACCAGGTGATAAAGACCCCCAGTGCAATGCACCTGATCTATTTAATTCATGTATATCATTTTGGATTAGAAACATTATTTATTGTAAATGTATAATAAGTGTAATTACAACTCATTAATGTTTGAACTATAGTTATTGTTCATGCTTGAAATCATGGGTGCTATTTGCTGTATTTCTCACCCCCCCCCCCATAATGTTTTGTGTTTAAATGTTTATGTATAAGCACCCACTTTACACTTGCGATTAACCTTCTTTTCATTAGGGATATCATTAAGCCAAGTATACATGTACTGGTAGTTGGAGTATATATGTTAAGTTCATACAGTTTTGTTTGTCAGTTATTACCCAAGTATAAGCAATAGACATGCCACATTAATTACCCATCCATATGTTGATCAGTATTTGTAACATGTTTAGTTGTGCAATATTGTTTCCATAATATGAAAGAAGATTATATACAGTTATATTCACATATATTTTCTCATAAATATTTGGTGCAACGGGGCTTTATCCATATTTGCCATATCCTATACATGTATTTGTGATACTTTTTTTAGTATATTCCAAATAGACTAGTGCCCTATTGTCTGCATGGCAGTTTCTTCAATAATTAATGAGTTAAGGTACTGTTTAAAGTTTTGAGGCTATCATAGAATATTCTTAAGAGTTTTCAACATTTATATGTTACTGATAATCAAAAAAGAAACCCTCATATCATAGGTAGTTTAAATACAAAGCCTCATGGTACAAATTTTGTGGAAATGCAATTTTTGGATTTGGCTTTGTTATCTTCGACCAGCTTTTATACCATCTACTATGCAGTTACTATTTCTTGATGTTATTTTCTCTGATGTTTTATTAGATTAATTTTTTTTGTGGATTTTATTTTAACTTTATCTCTAATATATTTCAAATATACTTTATGTAGATAGTGTATGCATTATACATATATTCATTAGATGAAATCTATTTTTAACAGAAAATGTGCAACCTTTTGTAAATATTCAATTTCACACAATTTCACACACTGGCCATTGTCAGGTTCTATTAAATGCCACAAAGGTTGTTCATGAAGAAGTTGTTTTTATTTTGATTTGTAAAACAATATAGTGTTATGAATTATAATGACTGGGTGTTGACTGCCAATGGTGGGAATATTTCTGAGGTTGTGAGGTGTAATGGAAACATGGGACTGGAAGTGAATACAAAATTATGGAAGAGAATGCAAAATTGTTGACATAGAGAGACTTGTGCGATTAGTCAGAAACACACTTTGCACTAGGAATGATGGATAAATGAGAGAGGATATGCTAAAAAACTTAACAAAATTTTGTTTCTATCCACCCCATTTGAATCCCCGTTCACATAAATCCAGCAGAACGTTGCTGCAGTTTACTTTGTCACATCATGTGTGTGAACAAGCCTTGATGATGACGGGGTTGAGCATATCATAGTCATAAAATTATCAAGAAAGCAATGTGATTGTGAATGAAACCTTCAAAGATGCTTGACCTCTTGGCATGAATATTATGCAAAAACTGAGACTGTCATTCTGAAATGTTTTCTTGAAAATATGAGCTCTATATTATATTACTTTTCTTTCATTTCATTGGTAATTTTATGATTTATTGGCTATTTTAATGATGCATTTTTTTCTCCCAAGGGTTTCAAGATAAACCCAAATTGAGGAGTATCGAAAATGTAACAAAAAACATTTTCACGTTCAGAAATTATTTCAACATTAATATGTTATTACTTTATACTTATATTAAAAATGATTTACAAAAGCTTCAGAGTCACAAATTTTCATTAATTGTCATACATTTATTATAAATTTTACGTCTCACTCTCCACACTTCTCATATTGTTAGTACAGTCATAAGTGCTTTGAAAGAAGAGGAAACATTTTTATATCAAAACGACATCATATAAAAGTAAAAATATGATTTTACTCCTTTAACATGATATGTTTTTAACAAAACCATACATATTGACAATTCTTACATTACAATTAATTTCACCAAGAAATTATCATTATACAATATCAGATATAAATGCTTATGCATTCTTGCTATGTTCTATTGCGTAGGAGAGACTCGTATTTAAATGTAACAATCGCAAACATTGAATGCATAGTTTTTCATTGACATTTTGAGACGATTACTTCAACAAGGCACTTATCACAATATCAAGGTGTTGCAATTATGATTCAAACTATTCACACATAGAAAGTTGTAGATGTATTAGGAAGACTTGATCATATTGCTATTATTATCTAGCCTTTTCTCCTGCGATCTTTCCAAAACATGCAAGAAAGTATACATTATCTGCATTAAAACCAACAGAATATATTCTGGTAATTAAATAATTGACATGTAATTATTAATTCATGAATGTGTTCATTTCTTACATTTTTTCTTCTTTAATATTCCACTTAAAGTAAGTTGCTTCATTGATATAAATTGACAAAGAAGCTCACGTTCGGTAAAGAAATAGAATGAATTATTAGTATAAAAAACTCACGCTTTCTATCTTCATATCTCTCTTTCTTCACCCCTCCCCCTGTCTCCTACTCTCTTTCTCCCTTACACCATCTCTCCTTTTATATTCCCTCTATTCTCCACCGTATATCATCTAAATTTGCGTGAGGTCAAATAACAATTACTAGCATACATATGTATTTGTCAAAATTTGTATTTCTTGCATTGTTAAAAGATCATTCAAAATATCAAAAAGTGCAGTTATACTTTATCAACACTATATCTGTTTTGTCCATTTCAAACACCTGTCTAAAATAAGTTATATCAATACATATCATCATTATCAATAAATATGTACAACAGAAACAATAATTATCAATGATAATGCAGCATTGCTTCATGGCGTACATACATACAGCAGCATCTGCCAATTCATATAGCACATCACGGCAGCAGTAATCCTTTTTGAGCTTTCATTGCTGCAAGCTCTTCTTTTAAAAATGTCCATGATTAAGATTGATCATCATTGCCAGTTTTGTTTTGCTCTTATGAGCAAAGAGTCATGAAATATTAAACACAGTAAAAGAAGATATAACTTATTAAAGCATCAACATTAAATATCCAGCAGGACGTTTTTAAAATTATTATACACCTTTCTTCTGTAAGAGGCATATTGATTTCTTTTTAATGTTTAAGAATGGTCAATTGGCAACCTCTATTCCTTATTCTTTCACATGTTCAATCTCTTCAGATGTTCTCGCGACTCAATGATTTCAGTTTTAGGAAATATTTTACTGCTTGGTGAGACATGTGTGCAAAGTAACAAATACAATATGTTTCAGATTTCTTTCCATCATTGAGGTTTAAGTTGCAGCTCCCACACCAATTTTAGAGAAATTAGTATATTTCTTTCTTCTGTATTACACTTTGAAAAATCCCCTTTCACCTCGTGACATCCTCTGCAGCATTCAGAACCATTTAGCAGAACATGGTCCTTGTCACCAGCAGTCGATGTGATGAACATCCATTTAATAGGACATTAAAAGACATTGGAAAAAACTTATCACCTCTAATGTCACAACCATTGCACATAAGCATGTTTCACAAAGACTTCACAACTGAAGTTAACACTATCCCATCACCTCGCTTCAGTTTTCATCATATATAAATATCAGACACATCAGTTTCCTTCAAGTGTTCGTCTTACATACTCCATCCGATATTTTTTCAATACTAGCTCCACCTTCCAAGCATATTGTGGCTTTCTGAAGTTCACAACTATTGGTGTAAGTCCTGTTGTCGCTTCCACATACTGGATTGTATGTAATGGGGCACTCAAAGTCTTGACAGCTTATATCACCTTTTACTGCAACAAAAAATAGAAAAAGAAAGAAAAAACATTTACATATAAGCAACTTTTGACAAAATTAATGATTCTACATTATGACATTTTTAGCTCCTCTATTAAATAAGACACTAAGACGTTTTCCACTTAAGTAAAGTATCCATTAACACCACGCATAGCCATAGAAGCAAAACAGCAAGTTGACAAATTTTGTTTTAAATTGTTTTCGCCTCCGCTTTCAGTATTCAGTTTGAAAAATATCACAAGTACAATATAATTTTCTTTAAATATCTACTAATGCTTGCTTTTGCTTTTATTAAACAAATTTCTGCCTAAACATTTTCTTGTATCTACAGACATGTTGTCTGTTTAATTGGCAACTTGATGTTCCACTCAGTTTAAAAAAAGGGAAATATCATTTTTAGCCGTTTGGATTCCATGGGGCTATAGAAAAAATATATTGACACAAGAGGCTCAAAGTTCTCTAACTTTTACAAATGCTCATAAATAAAGTGTTAATTCACAAGAAGAATATATACCTAGCTCGAGAAATCCATTTATACATTCTCCTTGATAAGCTACTTGTAGACCAGTTTTCCTTCGTAAACACGCTGTCTGGTTGAGCTTACATTCGGATTGAAATGTAAAGCCATTCGTACCGCAGACGGGACATATTTCATTCCCACACTGGCCACATTCTCGTATTCCTGTTGGAAAGAAAAGAAACATTTTGTAATCATCGAAACTTGCACTTTTCTCTTCAATCAATCATCTAAATTCAACCATGTTAATTTCCAACCCTCTCCTGACTTAAGTTTTTCTTGCTTCCTTTACTCCTTTATTCTCTCAAATAATAAAACACTCTAATGTTCCATCGATATTACAGACATCAGGTTCTCAGTGATCATGCATGTAATTATATTTATTTGCAATTCATCTATTCTGATCAAGAAAAAAAAATATATTTGTTGAATAGAGTAGTATTAGTTCCTTGTGTGAAACAATTCATATACAAATTGGCTTCATCACTCCCTGAATCACATAGGAATATATGGCCTTGGCATTCTAATTCAAGGAGCCGGGTATATCTATAAAAGTTGCTTTTTCTTACTTTTTCCCGTCCAAGACGGAAGGCAACAATAAATTGGTAATTCTGATTATATGATCTATGCGCACTCATTCTGTTATTTTCACTTTGGCAATTGAATTATTGTTAAATCGATGCAAAGTAAGGCAATTTTTGTAATACAAAGCTTGACCTTCCATTCTCTAAAACATTGAGCTGAAATTTAAAAACATTTTTACGTACGGGCCATAAATCCCGGTTGATTAAGGTGAACGGAGGCTGACGGAACGGCAATGGTATCTCCATCCATATCTCCGCTGGTCCCATCCTGCTCTTCCGTCCTCTCCAGGACTGTCTCTGTTGTGGCCACCAGTGCAACCGGGAGATCACTGGCACCCGTGAAAGACATCGTAGCAGTTGTACGAGGTAGGCCCCGTGGAGGTGATGATGGTGGTGATGACGTGGAGGTAGAGCTGTCAACTGGAGGAGGCTGCAGAGTGCTCATCATTGGCGGATAGGGTGGGGGAGGCGGAGGAGTTGATGGTATCCTGATACGACCTGTGTAAATGCATGAATAAAATCTTAAAAGTAAGTTGACAGTGGTCCTTTCTGAGACATATTATTCTTTTGATTATCAATCGCGAATTACTGTTCGTGTTTATAACATGTTTTGTGTCAGAGTATTTTTCTAAATGGATGAGATAATAATATATGGAAGGATGAAATATGAAATGATATGTATAAATCTAAATTTCCCGTATTGATCTAATAGCAAAATTTGTAAAACATCATAATATGATGTTTTATATTATATTCATAATGTATGTTTGAGTCAAATTTTCATAGAAGTTATAAAAATAAAAATAAAATATTATTCCTTATGAATGAAATGGAAAATTTAAATCGCCTTTAAAAAAAGTCCACCCAATAGAAAAAAATGTTTAACATCATCTTTGTTATGAATGAGTTTGACTGAAAGTTTTATAGAACTTATTAAGAGGGTAAATATGTTTCCCTGAGAATGAAATAGAATATGGATAACTCTGAATTTCCCGTTGAAGAATACAAAAATCATAGGCTATATATATATATATATATATATATATATATACTCCTTTTTAATCATAATTTCCAAGTACATTACATATTGATCGTCATTTTTTATCGCATGTCATTAACCCTTCGGAAAGACACGATTATAGGTTTCAAACAGTATTCATTTCTTATAAGTAGACAGTGTAAAAGAGAATCTAGTTGATTTTGTTTTTAACTTATAAACTTGAATCATGTGCTTGGAATCATAAAAGACAATAAAAAAATATATAAGAAAATTCCTCACCTGTCCGTGTTTCTGTTGTTTCTGACGGTACGGTGTGTTCGTCAATACGATTGGTCCTCAAAAGTGTGAATACAGTTGAAGGTTGTTGGCTACGCCCTGATACCATTGTACTTTCATCCCCTGACCCCTCTCCAATAAAGAGCTCAGCTGTAGTCACCGTTTGGCTTCTTGGAGTGGATGCAGCCTCCAGAATTCTGCTTAAAGTTGACTTCGTTTCCGATGTCTGTGGTACTTCAGTTTTATTTGAATCAGACAATTTATATGATGAAGTTACAGGTGGCTGCGATGTTGTAAATATTCCTCCTAATGTTGTCATCGTCATATTCGTTATATAGTTTATTCCATCAAATATTATGTCAGTGACTGCTGTCCTCGGCGTAGGAGAGTCGACTCCTTCTGTCGGAGTAACATTTTCTGGACTTTTTGGTGTCAATATGCTTTCGTTCTGATCCGTTTGCTCCGACACTATTCTGCTAGGAGTTCTTCGAGTTGTGACAGTGTGATCGCTTACCGCTTGTTTTAACGTGGTATGAATTCTATGAGTTGGTGATGATGTCGTGGATGGTGTGGTTTCTAAACTTCCTTCTTGCTGAGACGCATCCGTAATAGAACTTGTTTCAGCTTCCAGTTTTTTAGTTGTAGGGATTGTAGAGCTCAATTCAGTATCACCGGTGACTATCTTTTTCTCATTGTCTGGTGATCTGGTGCTCGGTTCCTGCAATTCAGTCACTTCTGAATCATCCTCCGTTACCGTTCTATTAGCCACCAAAGATGTGAATAGTTTCGCTGAAGCTGATGGAGAAATTGCTACTGTTGTATGCACGGTAGCTGACAGTAGATCACTGGTGTTGACTTCCTTTCCAGTTGCCACGCCTCCACTACTTAATGTAGAAGCTTCTAGTTCTTTTACAACGGTAAACCAGGTACTCGACTGCTTATAAGTCACAGTCGGATCTGATTTTGATGGTGTTGTAAAGGTGAGATCTCCGGTATCTCCTGATCCAAGTTCTTCCGTTGGTTTCTCGCTAGGAACCACACTGTGTCTTTCGACTTCGTTGGGTTTGTCAGTGACAGCATTGGTCGAAATCCCTGTAAATGTTACTGGGATAGAGCTTGATTGTTCCATATCTTCTGTCGGTATGCTGGTGACTTCCGTTGGTTTGCCCGACGGACTGTTTGATATCGATGGGACAGAGGACAAGTCAGGTGTTCTCGGGGTTGGGGATTTTACTATGCCTGTAGTTTGAGACTTGATGTGACTTGTAGAAAAGTCTTCTATGGTAGTCTGAGACGGCAGAGTATCTAAAGGAATTTGAGTGTAAATTGTATTCAAAGGTAGCTGTGTGGTAGTCTGTCTACCGTGTAGTTCCTGGACGCCAAGTTTGTCTGTGGTTACCAGAGTATGACTTGGTGTATATTCCGTAGATCCTGATGTAGGCTTCAGTGTCGCACCTTCGGTTTGAACTTCATGTTCTGTGAGGATAGTTATAGCCATCCCAGGTGAATGTGTTCTAGCTTTGTCAGTGTTGGAAACAAATATTGCTGTGGTCAAAGCTTCTGTAGATGATGCGCCCTCTGTTTGGTCGGTAGAAGAATCTGTCACCAATTTTTCAGTTTCCCCAGTGACAGTTGTCTCGTTTAGTTTGATAAGTCCAGGTGCTCTAGGAGTAGCCACATCTTCCATTGGCGATTTTGATATATCCTTGCCTATAGTTGTTGACATTGACATCATTGCTTCCTCTTCAATAGTGATCGTTGTAGAGAGAATGTCAATCGTGGGGGAAGGTGCCATTCCGCTTCCTTCCATAGTTGTTTCGAATAATAGCTCCTGTGTTGCTGTTTGTTCAGAGTCTCTCATTTCAGTACTGACAGTAATATAACTAGGTTCTTCTGTTGCTTCCTTCAAATCTATCTGTTTAGAAGATGTAGGATTTACACTAGTTTGCGACGGTGGTGTGCCCCCTGTTTGGTCGGTAGAATAATCGGTCACCATTTTGTCAGTTTCCCCAGTAACAGTTGTTTCGTTGAGTTTGATAAGTCCAGGCGCTCTAGGAGTAGCCACATCTTTCATTGGCGATTTTGATATATCCTCGCCTATAGTTGATGACATTGAAATCGTTGCTCCCTCTTCAATAATGATCGTTGTAGAAAGAATTTCAATCGTGGGGGAAGGTGACATTCCGCTACCTTCCATAGTTGTTTCGAATAATAGGTCCTGTGTTGCTGTTTGTTCTGAATCTCTCATTTCAGTACTGAGAGTAGTATAACTAGGTTCTTCTGTAGTTTTCTTCGATTCCGTCTGTTTTGGAGACGAAGGAGTTACAGCTGTAACCGACTCTTGTTTGTCTGCAGTAGTGACTCCACTAGAAGTAGTCACTGTGCCACTTCCCTCAGAGGCCGTTCCAAATGATGTAACATCGGTCACTAGTACCTTTGTCTCCGCAGTTTCTTCTGTAGAATACCCGGTCACCATCTTTTCAATTGAAGCAGTGCTAGTTGTGTCGTTTAGTTTGATAAGTCCAGGTGCTCTAGGAGTAGCCACATCTTCCATTGGCGATTTTGATATATCCTTGCCTATAGTTGACATTGACATCGTTGCTTCCTCTTCAATACTGATCGTTGTAGAAAGAATTTCAACCGTGGGGGAAGGTGCCATTCCGCTTCCTTCCATTGTCGTTTGGAAAAGTTCCTCCTCTGTTGCTGTGTTGTCTGGGCCTGTCGTTTCACCAATGACAGTAGTACGTAGATAACTAGGTTCTTCTGCTGTTGTTTTCTTCGATTCCGTCTGTTTTGGAGACGAAGGAGTTACAGCTGTAACCGACTCTTGTTTGTCTACAGTAGTGACTCCACTAGAAGTAGTCACTGTGCCACTTCCCTCAGAGGCCGTTCCAAATGATGTAACATCGGTCACTAGTACCTTTGTCTCTGCAGTTTGTTCTGTAGAATACCCTGTCACCATCTTTTCAATTGAAACAGTGCTAGTTGTGTCGTTCAGTTTGATAAGTCCAGGTGCTCTAGGGGTAGCCACATCTTCCATTGGCGATTTTGATATATCCTCGTCTATAGTTGTTGACGGGGAAATCGTTGATCCTTCTGCAGTAGTGATTGCTGATGGTGTAGTGTGGACTTCCATTGGTATTGAGCTTGTTATTTCATATGTAGTATAACCCGCTGTTGTAGGCGTTGATTCCTTTTCAATAGTGAAAGTTGTAGAGAGATTATCAATCGTTGGGGAAGATGACATTCCGCTTCCTTCCATAGTTGTTTCGAATAATAGCTCCTGTGTTGCTGTTTGTTCTGAGTCTCTCATTTCAGTACTGACAGTAATATAACTAGGTTCTTCTGTTGCTTCCTTCAAGTCTATCTGTTTAGAAGATGTAGGAGTTACACTAGTTTGCGACAGTGGTGTGCCCCCTGTTTGGTCGGTAGAAGAATCTGTCACCACTTTGTCAGTTTCCCCAGTGACAGTTGTCTCGTTTAGTTTGATTAGTCCAGGAGCTCTAGGAGTAGCCACATCTTCCATTGGCGATTTTGATATATCCTTGCCTATAGTTGACATTGACATCGTTGCTTCCTCTTCAATACTGATCGTTGTAGAAAGAATTTCAACCGTGGGGGAAGGTGCCATTCCGCTTCCTTCCATTGTCGTTTGGAAAAGTTCCTCCTCTGTTGCTGTGTTGTCCTGGCCTGTCGTTTCACCTATGACAGTAGTACGTAGATAACTAGGTTGTTCTGTTGTTTTCTTCGATTCCGTCTGTTTTGGAGACGAAGGAGTTACAGCTGTAACCGACTCTTGTTTGTCTACAGTAGTGACTCCACTAGAAGTAGTCACTGTGCCACTTCCCTCAGAGACCATTCCAAATGATGTAACATCGGTCACTAGTACCTTTGTTTCCACAGTTTGTTCTGTAGAATACCCGGTCACCATCTTTTCAATTGAAGCAGTGCTAGTTGTGTCGTTTAGTTTGATAAGTCCAGGTGCTCTAGGAGTAGCCACATCTTCCATTGGCGATTTTGATATATCCTTGCCTATAGTTGTTGACATTGAAACCGTTGCTTCTTCTTCAATAGTGATCGTCGTAGAAAGAATTTCAATCGTGGGGGAAGGTGCCATTCCACTTCCTTCCATTGTCGTTTGGAAAAGTTCCTCCTCTGTTGCTGTATTGTCCGGGCCTGTCGTTTCACCTATGACAGTAGTACGTAGATAACTAGGTTGTTCTGTTGTTTTCTTCGATTCCGTCTGTTTTGGAGACGAAGGAGTTACAGCTGTAACCGACTCTTGTTTGTCTACAGTAGTGACTCCACTAGAAGTAGTCACTGTGCCACTTCCCTCAGAGGCCATTCCAAATGATGTAACATCGGTCACTAGTACCTTTGTCTCTGCAGTTTGTTCTGTAGAATACCCGGTCACCATCTTTTCAATTGAAGCAGTGCTAGTTGTGTCGTTTAGTTTGATAAGTCCAGGTGCTCTAGGGGTAGCCACATCTTCCATTGGCGATTTTGATATATCCTCGTCTATAGTTGTTGACGGGGAAATCGTTGATTCTTCTGCAGTAGGGATTGCTGATGGTGTAGTGTGGACTTCCATTGGTATTGAGCTTGTTATTCCATATGTAGTATAACCTGCTGGTGTAGGCGTTGATTCCTTTTCAATAGTGAAAGTTGTAGAGAGACTATCAATCGTTGGGGAAGATGACATTCCGCTTCCTTCCATAGTTGTTTCGAATAATAGCTCCTGTGTTGCTGTTTGTTCTGAGTCTCTCATTTCAGTACTGACAGTAATATAACTAGGTTCTTCTGTTGCTTCCTTCAAGTCTATCTGTTTAGAAGATGTAGGAGTTACACTAGTTTGCGACGGTGGTGTGCCCCCTGTTTGGTCGGTAGAAGAATCTGTCACCACTTTGTCAGTTTCCCCAGTGACAGTTGTCTCGTTTAGTTTGATTAGTCCAGGCGCTGTAGGAGTAGCAACATCTTTCATTGGCGATTTTGATATATCCTTGCCTATAGTTGACATTGACATCGTTGCTTCCTCTTCAATAGTGATCGTTGTAGAAAGAATTTCAATCGTGGGGGAAGGTGTCATTCCGCTTCCTTCCATTGTCGTTTGGAAAAGTTCCTCCTCTGTTGCTGTGTTGTCCGGGCCTGTCGTTTCACCTATGACAGTAGTACGTAGATAACTAGGTTCTTCTGTTGTTTTCTTTGATTCTGTCTGTTTTGGAGACGAAGGAGTTACAGCTGTAACCGACTCTTGTTTGTCTACAGTAGTGACTCCACTAGAAGTAGTCACTGTGCCACTTCCCTCAGAGGCAATTCCAAATGATGTCACATCGGTCACTAGTACCTTTGTTTCTGCAGTTTGTTCTGTAGAATACCCGGTCACCATCTTTTCGATTGAAGCAGTGCTAGTTGTGTCGTTTAGTTTTATTAGTCCTGGAGGTCTAGCAGTAGCCACATCGTCCACTGGCGGTTTCGTTACATCTTCAAGTATAGTTGTTGACGGGGAAATCGTTGATCCCTCTTCAATAGTGATCGTAGTAGAGAGATTATCAATCGTTGGGGAAGATGAAATTCCGCTTCCTTCCATAGTTGTTTCGAATAATAGCTCCTGTGTTGCTGTTTGTTCTGAGTCTGTCATTTCAGTACTGACAGTAATATAACTAGGTTCTTCTGTTGCTTCCTTCAAGTCTATCTGTTTAGAAGATGTAGGAGTAACACTACTTTGCGACGGTGTTGTGCCCCCTGTTTGGTCGGTTGAATAATCGGTCACCAATCTGTCAGTTTCCCCAGTAACAGTTGTCTCGTTGAGTTTGATAAGTCCAGGTGATCTAGGAGTAGCCACATCTTCCATTGGCGATTTTGATATGTCCTGGCCTATAGTTGTTGACATGAAAAACGTTGCTTCCTCTTCAATACTGATTGTTGTAGAAAGAATTTCAACCGTGGGAGAAGGTGCCATTCCGCTTCCTTCCATTGTCGTTTGGAAAAGTTCCTCCTCTGTTGCTGTGTTGTCTGGGCCTGTCGTTTCACCAATGACAGTAGTACGTAGATAACTAGGTTCTTCTGTTGTTTTCTTCGATTCCGTCTGTTTTGGAGACGAAGGAGTTACAGCTGTAACCGACTCTTGATTGTCTACAGTAGTGACTCCACTAGAAGAAGTCACTGTGCCACTTCCCTCAGAGGCCGTTCCAAATGATGTAACATCGGTCACTAGTACCTTTGTCTCCACAGTTTGTTCTGTAGAATACCCGGTTACCATCTTTTCGATTGAAGCAGTGCTAGTTGTGTCATTTAGTTTGATAAGTCCTGGAGGTCTAGCAGTAGCCACATCGTCCACTGGCGGTTTCGTTACATCTTCAAGTATAGTTGTTGACGGGGAAATCGTTGATCCCTCTTCAATAGTGATCGTTGAAGAAAGAATTTCACTCGTGGGGGAAGATGCCATTCCGCTTCCTTCCATTGTCGTTTGGAAAAGTTCCTCCTCTGTTGCTGTGTTGTCTGGGCCTGTCGTTTCACCAATGACAGTAGTACGTAGATAACTAGGTTCTTCTGTTGTTTTCTTCGATTCCGTCTGTTTTGGAGATGAAGGAGTTACAGCTGTAACCGACTGTTGATTGTCTGCAGTAGTGACTCCACTAGAAGTAGTCACTGTGCCACTTCCCTCAGAGGCCGTTCCAAATGATGTAACATCGGTCACTAGTACCTTTGTCTCCGCAGTTTGTTCTGTAGAATACCCGGTTACCATCTTTTCGATTGAAGCAGTGCTAGTTGTGTCATTTAGTTTGATAAGTCCTGGAGGTCTAGCAGTAGCCACATCGTCCACTGGCGGTTTCGTTACATCTTCAAGTATAGTTGTTGACGGGGAAATCGTTGATCCCTCTTCAATAGTGATTGTTGTAGAGAGATTATCAATCGTTGGGGAAGATGACATTCCGCTTCCTTCCATAGTTGTTTCGAATAATAGCTCCTGTGTTGCTGTTTGTTCTGAGTCTCTCATTTCAGTACTGACAGTAATATAACTAGGTTCTTCTGTTGCTTCCTTCAAGTCTATCTGTTTAGAAGATGTAGGATTAACACTACTTTGCGACGGTGTTGTGCCCCCTGTTTGGTCGGTTGAATAATCGGTCACCAATCTGTCAGTTTCCCCAGTAACAGTTGTCTCGTTGAGTTTGATAAGTCCAGGTGATCTAGGAGTAGCCACATCTTCCATTGGCGATTTTGATATGTCCTGGCCTATAGTTGTTGACATGAAAAACGTTGCTTCCTCTTCAATACTGATTGTTGTAGAAAGAATTTCAACCGTGGGAGAAGGTGCCATTCCGCTTCCTTCCATTGTCGTTTGGAAAAGTTCCTTCTCTGTTGCTGTGTTGTCTGGGCCTGTCGTTTCACCAATGACAGTTGTCTGTAGATAACTAGGTTCTTCTGTTGTTTTCTTCGATTCCGTCTGTTTTGGAGACGAAGGAGTTACAGCTGTAACCGACTCTTGATTGTCTACAGTAGTGACTCCACTAGAAGTAGTCACTGTGCCACTTCCCTCAGAGGCCGTTCCAAATGATGTAACATCGGTCACTAGTACCTTTGTCTCCGCAGTTTGTTCTGTAGAATACCCGGTTACCATTTTTTCGATTGAAGCAGTGCTAGTTGTGTCATTTAGTTTGATAAGTCCTGGAGGTCTAGCAGTAGCCACATCGTCCACTGGTGATTTCGTTAAATCTTCAAGTATAGTTGTTGACGGGGAAATCGTTGATCCCTCTTCAATAGTGATCGTTGTAGAAAGAATTTCAATCGTGGGGGAAGATGCCATTCCGCTTCCTTCCATTGTCGTTTGGAAAAGTTCCTCCTCTGTTGCTGTGTTGTCTGGGCCTGTCGTTTCACCAATGACAGTAGTACGTAGATAACTAGGTTCTTCTGTTGTTTTCTTCGATTCCGTCTGTTTTGGAGACGAAGGAGTTACAGCTGTAACCGACTGTTGATTGTCTGCAGTAGTGACTCCACTAGAAGTAGTCACTGTGCCACTTCCCTCAGAGGCCGTTCCAAATGATGTAACATCGGTCACTAGTACCTTTGTCTCCGCAGTTTCTTCTGTAGAATACCCGGTTACCATCTTTTCGATTGAAGCAGTGCTAGTTGTGTCATTTAGTTTGATAAGTCCTGGAGGTCTAGCAGTAGCCACATCGTCCACTGGCGGTTTCGTTACATCTTCAAGTATAGTTGTTGACGGGGAAATCGTTGATCCCTCTTCAATAGTGATTGTTGTAGAGAGAATTTCAATCGTGGGGGAAGATGCCATTCCGCTTCCTTCCATTGTCGTTTGGAAAAGTTCCTCTTCTGTTGCTGTGTTGTCTGGGCCTGTCGTTTCACCAATAACAGTAGTACGTAGATAACTAGGTTCTTCTGTTGTTTTCTTCGATTCCGTCTGTTTTGGAGACGAAGGAGTTACAGCTGTAACCGACTCTTGATTGTCTGCAGTAGTGACTCCACTAGAAGTAGTCACTGTGCCACTTCCCTCAGAGGCCGTTCCAAATGATGTAACATCGGTCACTAGTACCTTTGTCTCCGCAGTTTGTTCTGTAGAATACCTGGTTACCATCTTTTCGATTGAAGCAGTGCTAGTTGTGTCATTTAGTTTGATAAGTCCTGGAGGTTTAGCAGTAGCCACATCGTCCACTGGCGGTTTCGTTACATCTTCAAGTATAGTTGTTGACGGGGAAATCGTTGATCCCTCTTCAATAGTGATTGTTGTAGAGAGATTATCAATCGTTGGGGAAGATGACATTCCGCTTCCTTCCATAGTTGTTTCGAATAATAGCTCCTGTGTTGCTGTTTGTTCTGAGTCTCTCATTTCAGTACTGACAGTAATATAACTAGGTTCTTCTGTTGCTTCCTTCAAGTCTATCTGTTTAGAAGATGTAGGAGTAACACTACTTTGCGACGGTGTTGTGCCCCCTGTTTGGTCGGTTGAATAATCGGTCACCAATCTGTCAGTTTCCCCAGTAACAGTTGTCTCGTTGAGTTTGATAAGTCCAGGTGATCTAGGAGTAGCCACATCTTTCATTGGTGATTTTGATATATCCTCGCCTATAGTTGATGACATTGACATCGTTGCTTCCTCTTCAATAGTGATCGTTGTAGAAAGAATTTCAATCGTGGGGGAAGGTGACATTCCGCTACCTTCCATTGTCGTTTGGAAAAGTTCCTCCTCTGTTACTGAAGACGAAGGAGTTACAGCTGTAACCGACTCTCGATTGTCTACAGTAATGGTTCCACTGGAAGTAGTCACTGTGCCACTTCCCTCAGAGGCCATTCCAAATGATGTAACATCGGTCACTAGTACCTTTGTCTCCGCAGTTTGTTCTGTAGAATACCCGGTCACAGACGTGATTTTATTGGTTTGCAATGTAGTTCCTTCCTTGGTAGTGAATCGTGATGTTGAGGATAAACTTTCAGTCGTTGGAGAAGATAATCCACTACCTTCTGTTGTTGTTCCAAAGATAGGTCTCACAGTCGCATTTGTTTCTGGATCCGTTATTTCGACAATTACACTAGTACTTAGAAAATCGGGCTCCTCTGTTGTAACCTTTGTGTCTGTGGATTTTGAAGGCATATATGTTACACCAGAATCCAAATCTGTGTATAAAGTAGTCATACCACTAGAAGGGGTCTTTGTACCACTTCCTTCAGAGGTCGATCCATATAATGTTACTTCTACTGTTGGATGCCCAGTGGTGATGTCTGTAGAATAATCCGTACCCATTTTGTCGGTTGGAGGAGTGCCAGTTGTCTCATTAAGTACTAATAATCCTGGGGATTTAGCAGTCGTTACATCCATCACGGTCAATTTTGTTACATCCTCAACCTTAGTTGTCAAAGGTAAATCTGTTGCTTCTTCATTGGGAAATAATGTTGTAGACAGAACTTCAGTTGTTTGGGATGATGACATGCCGCTACCATCGAAAGTAGTTTCAGAGAGCGGTTCTTCTGTTGCATTCTGCCCTAAGCCTGTTTGTGCGGTGGGTGAAGTGCTGGTTCTTAAGAAACTGGGTTCTTGGGTTTCTTCTTTCAAATCTAACTTTGTTGAAGACATCGGAGTTACTGCAGTAGTAGACCCTTCTGAATACAAACCGGTTCGTTCCTCCAAGGTAGTCATCTCACCACTGCCTTCAGTAGTCGAAGTCACTTCGACCATGGGTTGCATTGTGCTTGTGATGACATATGTATAAGAGCCTGTCGTTGTTGCTTCTGTAGCCGCCTTGGTTTCATTGTGCTGAATTAGTTCTGGGGACTTAGCAGTAGTCATTCCCATCCCTGGCGGTGTTGTTTCATCCTGAAGTGTAGTGGTTGACGGAAATTCAGTTGTACGAATGGTAGTTTCAAAAGACGTAATTTCGATGGTTGGCGATGGACTTGACTCGCCCTCAGTTGTAAATTTGGATGTTGAAGATAGCATTTCAGTCGTTGGAGAATATAGCAATCCGCTCCCTTCTGTTTCTCCTTCGAGTGTAGGTTTCTCAGTTCCATTTGTTTCTGGGGACGTCGTTTCGATAATTACACTAGTACTTAGAAAGCTGGGTTCCTCTGTTGTAACCTTTGTGTCTGTGGATTTTGAAGGCATAGATGTTACACCAGAATCCAAATCTGTGTATAAAGTAGTCGTACCACTAGAAGGGGTCTTTGTACCACTTCCTTCAGAGGTCGATCCATATAACGTTACTTCTACTGTTGGATGCTCAGTCGTGATGTCTGTAGAATAATCCGTACCCATTTTGTCGGTTGGAGGAGTGCCAGTTGTCTCATTAAATACTAATAATCCTGGGGATTTAGCAGTCGTTACATCCATCACGGTCAATTTTGTTACATCCTCAACCTTAGTTGTCAAAGGTAAATCTGTTGCTTCTTCATTGGGAAATAATGTTGTAGACAGGACTTCAGTTGTTTGGGATGATGACATGCCGCTACCATCGAAAGTAGTTTCAGAGAGCGGTTCTTCTGTTGCATTCTGCCCTGAGCCTGTTTGTGCGGTGGGTGAAGTGCTGGTTCTTAAGAAACTGGGTTCTTGGGTTTCTTCTTTCAAATCTAACTTTGTTGAAGACATCGGAGTTACTGCAGTAGTAGACCCTTCTGAATACAAACCGGTTCGTTCCTCCAAGGTAGTCATCTCACCACTGCCTTCAGTAGTCGAAGTCACTTCGACCATGGGTTGCATTGTGCTTGTGATGACATATGTATAAGAGCCTGTCGTTGTTGCTTCTGTAGCCGCCTTGGTTTCATTGTGCTGAATTAGTTCTGGGGACTTAGCAGTAGTTATTCCCATCCCTGGCGGTGTTGTTTCATCCTGAAGTGTAGTGGTTGACGGAAATTCAGTTGTACGAATGGTAGTTTCAAAAGACGTAATTTCGATGGTTGGCGATGGACTTGACTCGCCCTCGGTTGTTAATTTGGATGTTGAAGATAGCATTTCAGTCGTTTGAGAATATAGCAATCCGCTCCCTTCTGTTCCTGCTTCGAATGTAGGTTTCTCAGTTCCATTTGTTTTTGGGCCCGTCGTTTCGACGATTAAACTAGTACTTAGAAAGCTGGGCTCCTCTGTTGTAACCTTTGTGTCTATGGATTTTGAAGGCGTAGATGTTACACCAGAATCCAAATCTGTGTATGAAGTAGTCGTACCACTAGAAGGGGTGATTGTTCCACTTCCCTCAGAGGTCGATCCATATAACGTTACTTCTACTGTTGGATGCTCTGTGGTGATGTCTGTAAAAAAATCCGTACCCATTTTATCGGTTGGAGGAGTGCCAGATGTCTCATTCAGTACTATTAAACCGGGAGGTCTAGCAGTCGTTACATCCACCGCTGCCAATTTTGTTACATCCTCAACCTTAGTTGTCAATGGTAAATCCGTTGTTTCCTTATTGGGAAATAATGTTGTAGACGGGACTTCAGTTGTTTCGGATGATGACATGCCGCTACCATCGAAAGTAGTTTCAAAGAGCGGTTCCTCTGTTGTATTTTGCCTTAAGCCTGTTCGTGCGGTGGGTAAAGTGCTGGTTCTTAAGAAACTGGGTTCTTGGGTTTCTTCTTTCAAATCTAACTTTGTTGAAGACATCGGAGTTACTGCAGTAGTAGACCCTTCTGCATACGAACCAGTTCGTCCTTCCAAGGTAGTCAATTCTCCACTTCCCTCAGTTGTGGATCCAGGGGATGTAACTTCTACCGTTGGTTGCATCGTGCCTGTACTGATTGCTGCAGAATATTGGGTAACCATTTTCTCGGTCGGAGTAGTATCCGTTGTCTCATTCAGTACGATTATTCCCGGAAATTTAGCAGTTGTGGTTTCCAGTCTTGGTGACTTTGTTACATCCTCAGGCATAGTTGTCGACGGAAAATCTGTTGCTTCCTCTACGGTAGAGAATTTTGATTTTGAAGACAGGAGCTCAATTGTTGGTGAAGATGATATTATGCCGCTTCCATCTAGAGTCGTTTCGAGGAGTGGTTGTTCGGTTGCATTTCGATCTAGGCCTGTTCGGTGAGTGGGTGAAGTTGTAGTACTTAAGAAACTAGGTTCTTCTGTTTCTTCTTTCACATCTATCTCGATCGGAGATATCGATGTTACTGCAGTAGTATAATCTACTGTAAACGAAGTCGTTTTTCCGTCCAAGGTTGTCACTTCGCCACTGCCTTCGGTAGTTGATCCAGGAAATGTCACTTCTACCGTTGGTTGCCTTGTGTCTGTGATGAAATCGGTAGAAGAAGCCGTCGCTGTCGCTTCTGGATAAGCTCTTGTTTCATTTTGTAGAATTTGTTCTGGGGACTTAGCAGTTGTCATGTCCATCCCTGGTGATGTAGTTTCATCCTGGATTGTAGTGGTTGATGACAATTCACCCGTTGTAATGGTAGTTTGGACAGACATAATTTCGATTGTAGGCAGTGCTGTTTTTTCGTCCTTGGTTGATGTTGATGTTGATGATGTAGATAACATTTCTATCGGTGGAGAAGATGAGAGTCCACTGCCTTCTGTGGTTGTTTCAAACATTGGTTTCTCTGTTACATTTGTTTCTGGGCCCATTGTTTCATCAATTAAACTCGTACTTAAAAAACTAGGTTCCTTTGTTGTAACATCTATGGCTATCATTGTGCCACTTCCCTCAGTAGTCGATCCAAACAACGTTGTTTCTTCCGTTGTTTGCTCTGTTCCCTTAGTGAGATCCGGAGAATAATCGGTAAACATTTTCTCAGTTGGAGAATCATCAGTTGTCTCATTCAGGACGATTGATCCCGGAAGTCTAGCAGTAGTGACATCCATCCTTGGTGAGTTTGTAACATCCTCAGGCATAGCTGTCGATAATAAATCTGTTTCTTTCTCTTTGGTAGATAACGTTGATGTTGTAGACAGAACGTCAATAGTAGCTGAAGATGACATGCCGCTACCATCCAGAGTCGTTTCAAAGAGTGGTTGTTCTGTTGCATTTTGACCTAAGCCTGATCGAGATATGGGTGAAGTAGTTATGGTTAGGAAACTAGGTTCCTCCGTTTCTTCTGTCACATCTGTCGGAGACATCGGTGTTACTGCAGTAGTAGACTCTATAGAAAACAAAGTCGTCTGGCCGTACAGTGTGGTCACTTCACCACTCCCTTCGGTAGTTGATCCAGGTAATGTCACTTCTTCCGTTGGTTGCCTTGTGTCTGTGATGAAATCTGTAGAAGAAGCCGTCGCTGTTGTTTCTGGATCAGCCCTTGTTTCATTTTGTAGAATTTGTTCCGGGGACTTAGCAGACGTCATGTCCATCCCTGATGATGTAGTTTCATTCTGGATTGTAGTTGTTGATGACAATTCACCCGATAGAATGGTAGTTTGGACAGACATGATTTCGATTGTAGGCAATACTGTTTTTTCCTCCCTGGTTGATGTTGATGTTGTAGATAGAATTTCTATCGGTGGAGAAGATGACAGTCCACTGCCTTCTGTGGTTGTTTCAAACATGGGTTTCTCTGTTGCATTTGTTTTTGGGCCCATTGTTTCATCAATTAAACTAGTACTTAACAAACTAGGTTCCTCTGTTGTTACATCTATGGCTATCATTGTGCCACTTCCCTCAGTAGTCGATCCAAACAACGTTGTTTCTTCCGTTGTTTGCTCTGTTCCCTTAGTGAGATCCGGAGAATAATCGGTAACCATTTTCTCAGTTGGAGTATCATCAGTTGTCTCATTCAGGAGGATTGATCCCGGAAATCTAGCAGTAGTGACATCCATCCTAGGTGACTTTGTAACATCCTCAGGCATAGCTGTCGATGATAAAGCTGTTTCTTTCTCTATGGTAGATAATGTTGATGTTGCAGACAGGACTTCAATTGTTGGGGAAGATGACATGCCGCTACCATCCATAGTGGTTTCTAAGAGTGGTTGTTCTGTTGCATTTCTACCTAAGTCTGTATGTGGAGTGGGTGAGCTAATAGTGCTTAGGAAACTAGGTTCCTCCGTTGTTTCTTCCGTCAAATCTGTCTCTTTCTGAGACATCGGTGTTACTGCAGTGGTAGACTCTATAGAAAATGAAGTCGTCTGTCCGTACAGTGTTGTCACTTCACCACTCCCTTCGGTAGTTGATCCAGGTAATGTAACTTCTCCCGTTGGTTGCCTTGTGCCTGTGATGAAATCTGTAGAAGAAGCCGTCGCTGTTGCTACTGGATCAGTACTTGTTTCATTTTGTAGAATTTGTTCCGGGGACTTAGCAGTTGTCATGTCAATCCCTGGTGATGTAGTTTCATCCTGGATTGCAGTGGTTGATGACAATTCACCCGATAGAATGGTAGTTTGGACAGACATGATTTCGATTGTAGGCAATGCTGTTATTTCGTCCTTGGTTGATGTTGATGTTGTAGATAGAATTTCTATCGGTGGAGAAGATGACAGTCCACTGCCTTCTGTGGTTGTATCAAACATGGGTTTCTCTGTTGCATTTGTTTCTGGGCCCATTGTTTCATCAATTAAACTAGTACTTAACAAACTAGGTTCCTCTGTTGTTACATTTGTGTCTATCATTGTTCCACTTCCCTCGGTAGTCAGTCCAAACAACGTTGTTTCTTCCGTTGGTTGCTCTGTTCCTTTAGTAAGGTCCGGAGAATAATCAGTAACAATTTTCTCAGTTGGAGTAGTATCAGTTGTCTCATTCAGAACAATCGATCCCGGAAATCTAGCAGTAGTGACATCCATCCTAGGTGACTTTGTTACATTCACAGGGGTATCCGTCGATGATAAATCTGTTTCTTTCTCTAAGGTAGAGAATGATGATGTTGTAGAAAGGACTTCAATTGTTGGGGAAGATGACATGCCGCTGCCAACCATAGTCGTTTCTAAGAGTGGTTGTTCTGTTGCATTTCTACCTAAGTCTGTTTGTGGAGTGGGTGAAGTAGTAGTGCTTAGGAAACTAGGTTCCTCCGTTTCTTCTGGCACATCTGTCGGAGACATCGGTGTTATTGCAGTAGTAGACTCTATAGCAAACAAAGTCGTTTGTCCGTACACTGTGGTCACTTCACCACTCCCTTCGGTAGTTGATCCAGGTAATGTCACTTCTTCCGTTGGTTGCCTTGTGTCTGTGATGACATCTGTAGAAGAAGCCGTCGCTGTTGCTACTGGATCAGTACTTGTTTCATTTTGTAGAATTTGTTCCGGGGACTTAGCAGTAGTCATGTCAATCCCTGGTGATGTAGTTTCATCCTGGATTGTAGTGGTTGATGACAATTCCCCCGTTAGAATGGTAGTTTGGACAGACATGATTTCGATTGTAGGCAGTGCTGTTGTTGTGTCCTTGATTGATGTTGATGTTGATGTTGTAGATAACATTTCGATCGGTGGAGTAGACGATAATCCGCTGCCTTCTCTGGTTGTTTCAAAAATCGGTTTCTCTGTTGCATTTGTTTCTGGGCCCATTGTTTCATCAATTAAACTCGTACTTAAAAAACTAGGTTCCTCTGTTGTAACATCTATGGCTATCATTGTGCCACTTCCCTCAGAAGTCGATCCAAACAACGTTGTTTCTTCCGTTGTTTGCTCTGTTCCCTTAGTGAGATCCGGAGAATAATCGGTAACCATTTTCTCAGTTGGAGTAGTATCAGTTGTCTCATTCAGGACGATCGATCCCGGAAATTTAGCAGTAGTGACATCCATACTTGGTGACTTTGTTACAATCACAGGGGTATCTGTCGATGATAAATCTGTTTCTTTCTCTACAGTAGAGAATGTTGATGTTGTAGACAGGACTTCAATTGTTGGGGAAGATGACCTGCCGCTGCCATCCATAGTTGTTTCTAAGAGTGGTTGTTCTGTTGCATTTTGACCTAAGCCTGTTCGAGGTATGGGTGAAGAAGTAGTGCTTAGGAAATTAGGTTCCTCCGTTTCTTCTGTCAAATCTGTCGGAGACATCGGTGTTATTGCAGTAGTAGACTCTATAGAAAACATAGTCGTCTGTCCGTCCAGGGTTGTCACTTCACCACTCCCTTCAGTAGTTGATCCAGGTAATGTAATTTCTACCGTTGGTTGCCTTGTGCCTATGATGACGTCTGTAGAAGAAGCCGTCGCTGTTGTTTCTGGATCAGCCCTTGTTTCATTTTGTTGAATTAGTTCTGGGGACTTAGGAGTCGTCATGTCCATCACTGATGTTGTTTCTGTCATTGGAGAAGATGGCAATCCGCTGCCTTCTGTGGTTGTTTCAAACATTGGTTTTTCAGTTGCATTCGATTCTTGGCTTGTCGCTTCAACAACTAAACTAGTACTTAGAAAACTGGGCTCTTCTGTTGTAACATATGTGTCTCTGTGTTTAGAAGACGTAGGCGTTACACCAGTATCCGACTCTGTGTATAAAGGAGTGGTACCACTAGAAGGAGTCACTGTGCCACTTCCCTCATCAGTAGTCAATCCAAACAACGTTGTTTCTACCGTTGGTTGCTCTGTGTCCTTCACGATTTCTGTAGAGTAGTCGGTAACCATTTTCTCGGTTGGAGTAGTACCAGCTGTCTGATTCACTACGATTAGTCCTGGAGGTTTAGCAGTTGTGACATCTAATCCTGGTGACTTTGTTACATTCACAGGGTTATATGTCGATGATAAATCTGTTTCTTTCTCTACAGTAGAGAATGTTGATGTTGTAGACAGGACTTCAATTGTTGGGGAAGATGACATGCCGCTGCCATCCATGGTTGTTTCTAAGAGTGGTTGTTCTGTTGCATTTTTACCTAAGTCTGTTTGTGGAGTGGGTGAAGTAGTAGTGCTGAAGGAACCAGGTTCCTCCGTTTCTACTTTCAAATTTGTTGGAGACATCGGTGTTACTGAAATTGTAGGTTCTATTGTAAACAAAGTCGTTTGTGGCTGTGATGTTCTTCCTTCAGTAAATGTTGTTGGAGTAGTCTGTATTTCTGTTGGAGTAGACTTTGTTGGCGTAGTTTTTTCTACTTCTTTAACCGACGTCGTATTTTCAATGAATGGTGGCGGCGGAGTAGACGTTGTTGCTGATGAGGTAGATGTGGTCGGCGTAGTTTCATCTACATCTATTGGTGATGTTGCATCTTCTGCCAGTGTAGTTGGAGTAGACTGTATTGCTGATGGGGTAGATGTTGCCGGTGAAGGTTCTTCTTCTGTAACCTGTATTGTTGGAGTGGACTGTGGTGCTGCTGGCGTAGATGTTGTCGGCGTTGTTTCATCTAATTCTGTTGGCGACGTTTTATCTTCTAAAAGAGTTATGTATTCTGTTGCCGATGTCATATCTTCAGTCATTGTTGTTGGAGTAGACTGTATTGCTGATGGGGTAGATGTTGTCGCTGTACTTTCATCCACTTCTATTGGTGATGTTGCATCTTCTGTCAGTGTAGTTGGAGTAGACTGTGTTGCCGATGGCGTAGATGTTGCTGGTGCAGTTTCTTCTTCTGTAACCTGCGTTGTTGGAGTAAAGTGTGTTGCTGATGGCGTTGATGTGGGCCGTGTAGTTTCATCTACTTCTGTTGGTGATGTTGCATCTTCAATTAGTGTTGTTGGAGTAGACTGTATTGCTGGTGGGGTGGATGTTGCCGGTGCAGTTTCTTCTTCTGTAACCTGCGTTGTTGGAGTAGACTGTGCTGCTGATGCGGTAGATGTTGTCGGTGTAGTTTCATCTACTTCTGTTGGTGATGTTGCATCTTCAATCAGTGTTGTTGGAGTAGACTGTGTTGCTGATGGGGTAGATGTTGTCGGTGCAGTTTCATCTACCTCTGTTGGTGATGTTGCATCTTCAATCAGTGTTGTTGGAGTAGACTGTGTTGCTGATGGGGTAGATGCTGTCGGTGCAGTTTCATCTACCTCTGTTGGTGATGTTGCATCTTCAATCAATGTTGTTGGAGTAGACTGTGTTGCTGATGGGGTAGATGTTGTCAGCGAAGTTTCTTCCTTTTCTGTAACTGCCGTTGTACCATCAATCATTGAAGTCGACGAAGCCTGCATCGTGGTCGGCGAAGTTTCTGTTATTGGTGTTGTGAATGTTTTTTCTTCTATTAAGGTTGTTGAAGCAGGTCGTTTTGTTGATGGAGTAGATGCAATTGACGTCGTTTCTTCTCTTTCTGTTGTCGGTGAAGTTTCTACTGATGATGTTGGAGAAGACTGTATGGCTGTTGTCGGAGTAGTCTGTAATGCTGGTGGAGTAGATGTGGTTGGCGTTGTTTCCATTGCTGTGTGTACCGTTGATGGTGTGATATCTGCTCTTGTAGTAGTCGCAGTTGTCGACGGAGTTGCTGTGGTTGGGATTGTTATTAATTCTGGAGCTTGTGTTTCTGCCTCTATTCTTGTCTTTGGTGTTGACTTGGAAAGTGGACCCGGAAGTAGATTTGTAACCCGTCCTCCGTCTGGTGTTGTTAGAGTTGGGCCACGTGTTGGTCTGGTCAGAAGAACAACAACTGTCAACAAAGAAATATGAGAAACAAAGATGAAGCCTCAAATATATAAATGTATGACTTGGTTCCCTTTTCATTTCAAAGGTTTATTGATGTCAAGGATTCTATTATATTTTAGGTTCTTGATTAATGGGTACGCAAAGCTTGAAATAATCAAGGTAATCGCTAAATAAGATGTGTAACACAATACAAATTTGTTATCATAACACAACATTACCATATAACATCTTTTTTTCTCTTCCATAATGATAACTAATTACCAATACTATCTATTCATATTTATCATGCTCTCTTTTTCTTCTTCTTCACAAATCACAACAAAAATATGGTTTAATCACGGAAGCAAAACCGTCTTCGTGATCGCGAACACCAACAGATTTTTTATCATTTAAAAGAAAAGATAATAACCAATACATAATCTAAGTCACGATGTTTGACATGAAATCTTAGACACACGTTCGAAAGACATAATAGTGTTCTTCTGTGCCTCATGATATTTGTAGACTTTGATTTTTAGCTCAGATTTTAAGGGACCACGTCATCCCTAAGTCATACCTTCTTGTCTGCAGACACCTAGGTAAAGGAGCCTCATTGTATCCATGTCCCTCCTGCAAGCAAAGTAGTCCATGAAGCATTTGTTGAAATATGTCTTTCCGTCCGTCCCGCACACGGGATCGTAGTTCATATCACATGCCGGTTTCCGACATTTCCGTCTTTTCCGCCTCCCTTTCAACAAAAGAATCACATCAAAAAATATCCTAAGATCTGAAGTTGTCTGGTGTGAGTAATACATAGTAACTAATGCAATAAATGAGAATATTATATGTTAATGAAGTGATTTCTAATTGGAATCATTAAAAATGTTTCTTTCTTTACAGTATTGTTTAATACTAAACAGAACGGAGGTTAAATTATATGATTATGATTATAGAACTTAAAATTGCAAATGAAATCTGGAGCCATGTCATAAGATGATTGAAACTACTATTATCACCAATTGTGTAGTCATCGGGTAAATCAAATAGAGACATGACTGTTATCGTGATATTTATGTTTGCGATCGCAGCAAAGGATCATTATAAAAATAAGACTTTATATATGAGTGTCAAATGCAGCGTATGATCACGAAAAAGAACAAAGACAGAAACATAGACATATATATGAAATAACAATAAACATTAAATCTCACCTTTAAATTCACATTCCCCTTTATGCGCCTGAGAGGCAAGGTTTGGGTCGTTTTGTACGCAGGCTGTGATCTGTAGTATTCCTTGGTTGACGTATGTTTTACCATCCCGACCGCATACCGGTTTGTATTTTCCCTTGTACTCCAGTGGACATCTACCTCCTAAACCTGATACACAGATAATAAATAGAATCATTGTAGTTTGTAAAAGTATTGATGTACCTGTCAAGCATCATATAAAGACATTTCAATTATTTAGATTGAAAAAGACTTAAACCAGTTCAGTTCAGCTCAGTTCAGTTTATTAATTTTTCTCAAGCATAAAAACAATATTATAATGTATACAAAAATGGCAAACATATAAGAGAAAAAACGGAAACTACAAAAAAGTTTATAAAAACTTGTTTGGAGTAGCACCCAGTAAAGGGAAAAATACATAGTATAAACAATTGCAATTGTTAACCATTATTTTGTATTAAAAAAAATAATTTCTTTTCTCGATTCAAGTCATTCACCATTGCACTTGTAAATTCACAAAGAGGATTTATTATTGTTGATTAGTTTTAAAAGGATGACCACCATAATGACATCAAAGTACATGCAGAACGTAGTTTTAGAGCTATTTCAGGAGAGCAGAAAAAATAAACATTGTGTTTTACCCCTTTGATCGGAATTCGTATTCTATACAATATCAGCGAATATGCTACTAAAGGAAATCAGCATAGAACCGTTGGTTTTTAGATCTTATTAACATTCTATGCTTTCAAAACTCTAATAATTAATCATGATGATGCGTCAATTTCCAATCCTGGAATTTGGTTTCTGGTGTTCGAGTTTAATCCAAAGTTACCCACTATGATATTTACAATAATGCTCCCTTTTCTTACGGTCCATTGCCCTTCATGATTGTTGGATATCATAAACCTCAAACGAAACGCTACGATAGAGCTTTCAAAAATGGAGGCTAAACACATGAAACGAAATTAGTTCTATTGGAATCTCCGGCGGACTTATAGAAGCAAAGGCCCTAATTAATGAAATTTGGTTAAGATTCAAGATTCAAGATTCAAGATTATTTTATTGGTCCATGCATGCAAACATTACATAGAAATTTTGCTTCCAATGGCTTTTTTGACAGTGAAAATACAAATGATAGAAAATACAATATAACATTTAACAATAGAAAACTATGTACATAAATATGGATAACTGTTTAAACAATTGTTCTGAAGTCGGGCCACAAGAAGGTTGGGTCATAGAGGAGCCTGATCTACTAAGTCTTATCCACTTATCCGTCCATGACAGTGAACGTTTTATGGATTCTAATTTTGGTCTGTAACCATGGCAACATATAGTTTAAAAAATATTGTTCCAAAGCACCCTACTTTTAGCATTGTTCGACACGGATAGTCATGCCCTTTACAATAAACAGCTCACTGGAATTCTTTACTTCTGTTTACAGGCCATCTATCTTTCAGTTTTTCAGAGTTTTCCGGCTCAAAGACGTCCTAGACATGAAACATATCTAAAAACAGTCATTTACCTTCTTGATCGCAGTATCCATCATTAATCTTGACTAATGATGGTGTCTTTGTTTCGCATGCCATAGCACCCAGTAAGCATGGATTGTCATAGGTTCGCCCATCACTGCCGCAGACCGGAGATACTATGTCGGGACACTCACGAGGACAGTCTTCTTCTGGTACTGCAAAAAAAAGAAACATAATGATAACGATGACATAACGAACCGATACGAAGTCATCCATCTTGGTCCTTAATAGTGTATCTTCAAATGGCGTCGCGCTAACTCGGCACAAGTATAAACCAGGCGTTGTGGTTTAGGAGTTGAGCCACAGTGCCAAAGTTATTGTAGCATTTCACCGCCTGAAATGTTAGTCATTATCTTTAGTATTACTTTTTACACTATTAAATATACTGAGATGAATGTTTTAAATGACATACTCGCAAACATTTCAACCACAATGTTTTGCGATCCATTCAGCTGTCTTAATGAGATCAGCTTCGATTTCTAGTTGAGCGGGGTCGTCCTGAATTATTTTGGATACCTTTACACTTACTTCATTTGAGCAAAATCGTCCAATATGTTTTTGTTTAATTGTGGTTGAGGTAAATAAATGAGTAAATTGTCTCCTTATCAATGAAATTGAATGTTTGAATAAATCTTCCGAATTGGATACATTGAGCCTTGTATAATTGATTGTGGAAATGGTCGGCAGAGTTTTTATACTAATTATAATTTTGTCAAGTATACTTTCAAAATCAAAACAAATTATTTTTTCTTTCTTCTTCACCTTCGAGACTGTTAAAAACAACAACGATGACTTACATACTGCGGGATGCCGTGTTCTACATCTCCCTTGATACGCAACAGCGAGGTCTGGGTCTTTTCTATGGCACTTTATGGAGAATAGAACGCATATACTGTAGTAGGTCTCTCCATCTGACCCACAGACCGGAGCGTAGTAACGGGTACATCTTCTGAAACAAGGGTCATTGGCTGGTTACGAAGAAAACACATAAATATGAAAGGTATTATTTTGTTTTACTTCTCTTGCTTAACAAAATATATACATTGATTGTCTTAAAATATGAACATATACTGCAACAGTAAGATGATACATTGGTATGTGTTCATTGTAACATACATTTATGTGGATTTTCGAGGTAAAATATGATAAATTATGAAATGGTGTCCATTTATGGCCCAAATACTGATCGGTCCCAATAAAATACGATTAAAAGAAGCTGTAAGAGTTTGGCACATGTCAAAGTTGTCGTATAAATACCTTTCATTTGGCATTTAGCGTAATGCAGCCATCATCCACTTTGAAAAGGCAAAAAGTAAAGTGAGAATCGTACAAGTGGCATAATTTTGTGGCAAATTAGTGAGTAACATGTGATTGTGATCTGTCTGAGGATATAATCTTTCTTTTTTATTTCGTGGTTTGAAATACCTGGATTTTTAAATCTCCACAATGTGTCATCTCCATTTTATCTACTTAGAAGTTTTCAAAACGAAAAATATTGCATTTTAATGTATATCTTACATTTGTCTTAAGTATTTTTATAAACGGTATTGCGCTGAACCCTGGATCAGGAACAGGTGGATGGATTTAGCATAAATTCAAACTGATTAACATAAATTGGTCGGTAAATGATGGATTTATCACTACTTACGATCATAGTGGAATGGGTCGTAGGCTTCAACAATGGATAAGAACCAGAATAAAATAGTAAAGAGCGCCAACACTCGGTCTGCACCCATGACACCTGTAGAACAAAACATCGGAAAGACTTTGTATCAGTGAGGAAAACGAAAATGTTTGATGCGACATTTAAAAAGGTTTCATTGAAGATTATGTGGCTAGGACATTTTTCATTTATACAGTTAAAGAGCAAAGTAGAAAATAAGTGGGATATGGAGGGAGAAAGAGAGGAAACGAGAGATGAGTGAAGGACAGAGACAGATAGTGAAATAGTGAGTGGATTCGTAGAGATGCAGACAGAGAGGGAAACAGAGAAAAAGATACAGAGAGATATAAACAGTGACATGGAAGAGTGATTTTTACGTTATACTTCATCGTAAACTCAAAAGTACATCTCAACTTTTCTTGTCTGATTCTGTTGCGCATCACTCCTAACCTGACGACCATGTAAGATTACAATGTTGACAACCAAGCATCCATTCTGTCTTTCATGCATTTTGTTACATACTTCAACTTGTGATTTCGATATTAAATAATCACAATTTTGGCATCAGTATAATCACTGCAATCAGTTATACTCGTGGAATGACGATAATACGGGAAGATGTTCTGTAAATACACGTCCCACTCGTTATTCTTTCTTGCCTGGACGTGACGTCAGACTTTGTGGTCGGCTATTTTAAATCTTGAACTTGTCCCTGAAATCATTTCATCTCAAAGATAACCCATGTCTGAACCTCTAAATAGTGCAAGGTGATGATGTTGCGTTTAATTTGATCTGAGCGAGATTGAACCAGCCATCGCCTCTCGCTGTTCGTCAGCTCACAATCAGCCCACGCCTATAATTCCATTACGAATATTAATCTAAGCTCTGTCAACAGTTTTATCCGTTTGACAATCACTTACACGCGACAGAATACATCAAATATGGAAACCATCATTTCTATATGTCTACTTTGGAAAATCCTGTTTTTCCTCGCCCCCTCTCCCCATCCATTTTATCTCGCCTTCTTTCCCTCAACACATCTGTATGAAAGTTGAAGATTTATGGAAGATTTTAACTTCGGGCATGTTCCACTGATACACAGTTTTTTGTTTGCCCTATAAGTCTCTCTCTCTCTTCCTCTCTCTCTCTCCCTCTTTATCTCCCTTTCTTTTTCCTTCTCTCTCTCTCTCTTGTATCTCTCTCTCTCTATATCATTAAGTTGTCCATATAACAAGTCATTATATCCTATATTATCTGAATTCACAGTAAATATAAATTCATAAAATATGATAGTATTTATTGCTTTACGTTGTGCTCAATACAGTCACTCGTTTTTTACCCCGAATACTCTCTGGTCCTCTCTTCACATATTCATTATTAGAAAATTCTCTAATAAGTTAGCCTAGTTCTGTTCATTAAATTTAGTAACCATTTGAAACGAAGGTATTCATTACTGCCCAGTGACTCAACAGAAGTCAACTCTGCGACAATTACTTCGTTATACGATATATTCAACATAAAAATGAGTGAATCTTTTGTCCATTCGAGTGCAGCATTCCAATGTTGTGACGTTATTTGCTGGTATTATAACTAAAAAAGTATTACATAATTGAGGGGTAAGAAGCAAAATGATCATAGTTGTGTTTAACTGAAAATTATTTATTTTGTCGTTACCATATGATTTCTATATTAATGTGGCAAATAATTCTTTGGTAAGCTAAAAATGAAAAATGTTGTATATTTGCAAATTGTATTATTCGAAGAAAGAATTTATTTTAATTTCTATACCTACCTACATTCAATCAAATTGAATCCTGAGTAGACACATCACTTTTCCTTTTCCCTCCTCGCTTATGAAGCGATATTATATATATCAGATTAGAGACAGGCCTACTCTGAATAGTCTAGCTACAGACTCTATTGAATTATCTGTGAATCACTGAATTGGATGGTAGATTTGTGCCATCTTTGTATCTCTTCAATGTTTTGCGATGATAGCTCAGTTTGTCGAAACATATTCTATTATTAAACCTGTCCGTAAAAGTTTACCCATCTTTAAATCTGTCGAATGCTGGAAATGCATTGTTGGCAGTAAATGGTTTTCAAAAAGTATTTTAGTAAGGATGTATGATGCGCCCTGGGGCGAGGCTATACAATCCGAGCACTGAGATGCGAAGAGGATACTCGGATAATCCAAGTGCTGAAAATCGACCCAGATCCGGGTCAAGATTCAACCTTTATCCCAAATTCGTTTAACGAACCGTTTCCTGATCTAAACATCGCTTTGATCTATATTAAAACCATAACCCATATTCTTTACCCAAACTGATCATGGGTTCAAAAGATTTTCATAAATCCGAAATGTATCGTGACTATTCCTTATACCTCAACTCAGACTGATTACAGAGACTCATGTTTTTGATAAATGGTATGAACTAACTTCCTTTAATAATGCCTGCAGGCTCGAACTGTATGCATATAAACGGCTGTTTTGCACGAGGAGAAAATGAATTGAACTACATTAAAGCTTGTTAACGCGATTATGCTGATTAGGGAATCAACGACTTGGTGAGTGAGTGGGATGAAGAACGAATGGAAAATAGATTTTCCCAATTTTATATTCGAATTATTTCATCAGATACTTGTTTAATATCTTGATATCGGGCCCTGGGTGTGAGAGAAATCATCACACGCAATGCTTCATTGATATTCCATGCGGATTGTATTATACTAATGATTTCATTCATTATTGGTTCCCAAATCTGCAGAAAAACTAATGGAAGTTGACAAATTGTAATCACACGTTATTTTATTTACCAGTATTTACAACTAAACTAAATCAATACTCTATCAATAAACAGACATGTCCATTGAGAAACTTCATGTGAAGTCATGAAAAGTGATGCGGTCTCTTTACGAAAAGTGAGAGTTGGGGCGTATCCAATATATAGGGCTGGGGGCGGAGTACATTCCCCCCTTCCAAAAAAGAACTTTTGTGTATGTGGGTCTTCATTTTATTTATCTCAGACTGAAGGAAAACAAATCACATAAAAATATTGCTTAATATTGCATTCACTGGCATGAATTTAGCTATAGAGAGGCTGCCCACGAAAATTCAGATCCCCTGTTTCTGGACACGCAATTGTGTGAGTATATTACCACACCTGAAACATTTTTAGGGCTTGTACGCATTAATGACATGGCAGAAATAAAATCAAAATGTTCTAATTGAATATATGCCTAAACTTATGGCCTTGTTGCTTAACTTGAACGATACGCCCAATATCTAAATCGGAACCCATTATAAGGACAGTGTGCACAGGTATGTTACAACTGATTTTCTCATGGGGGTTCCGCCCTTGCATGACCCCTCATCAAGTCTTCGTTTCATCTCCTCAGACTGTTTACTGAGCTTACAATACGACTAAACCAGCACTACAATAAAGAGACATACTCATGATGGGGAAGAGATGTTTACATTGTACAAAGAACCGAATTTAGATACCGCATACGCACTTTGATTACTTTTATTAAAAAAAATCTGCCAATTAAGATGATATGAATATTGATAATTTGATAGTTGTGCTCCAATATTTGCTTCGGCGACAACATTTCCGCTCTTTTTTTCGTCGAAGATGTAGGGGTTATAATTGGGATTAGGATCGTTAGGGATATGCTTCGACTTAGGTTTAAGGTTAGGTTTAGAGTTCAAGAGGCTTTTTAGGTTAGGTTCAATGTTAGGTTCAATGTTAGGTTTAGGGTAATTATCATAGTGTTTAATCCAGGGTTGAAATTACGACTTCAGTTAGTATAGGATATTAACCGCGTATAAATTCCAGAGCCTGTGTGGCATAACCTTTGATAAGATATTGATGGTTCGCAAAATGGTAGGACAATGCTACATGATTTAAAAATGACTTTTAGCAATAATTTAGTAAGTAGTACTGTCAAAATATACAATGCTGAACTTGACACTGGTTAATGTTTGTGACTGATACATCTGGGACGAATATTTTCCGTTACAATTTCACGCTGCTCTCTGTTTTATGTTCCTTTGCATTTGACTTGTACTATACACTCACTCACTGTAAAAACATATACCAATGAGTTCAAAACAAAGGGGGAAAAGAGTCAAGTGCATTGGTGTTCATACCTGCCATGTTTATACAGAGATGCGTGCTTCCTATCGCGTTTGACATTATGTTACATGCTTTACATGAACCCGTAAATGGATATTTACTTAAAATTCAGCAGAGGAGAATGGTGTATGCCCATATCTAATTTTAAAAAAGCATATGCTTTTAAAAGTAATTTCTATCAAATGCCGTCGATCTTCACGTAGCTTCATCATCTGTTATGTATTATCGGAGGACTTTTTATTAAGACTTTTTTTAAGACGAGAAAATCACAAGTTGATCAGTTCCTTCTAACGTTCGAATCATACACTTTAGCTCAAAATTTCCATTGTCAAAAATAATATTGCCTGGCCGTATTCACTCAGATCTGTTTTAAGATACAGTGAAGCATAATACACTTTACGTCATCATCATATAAGAAAAGAAAAAAAAAACAGTGGTTTCGCCGTTCCATATCTTTAAAGGATGCCATTTAAAGCTTATCTGCCACAGTTTACAGGAGGGATTAGACCGCCCTACAGGGTCACTGGACAGGTGGTTATCTCATCAACTCAGCTCTCAGTTAACATAAGAAAAAGAGGATCATGGGGGACCAATAGTCACCGATTAAGCATTGTTTGTTATATAGAGGGTGCAAGTAGCTACAAGTAGTGCAGTGGGCCTTTAAGATAAAATAAGGTCTGGAAATCAAAGTTACCTTTCTTGCCGCGAGGCGGGTCGCATATCAGTCACAGATCAGTCATCGGATAATGTTGGGAATGCCGTCTGCAAGAGATACAACGAGACAAACAGATTCACTCCAATTATCATCGTTTCCTTTCTCATCAAAGACTTCAAATTTCGACAATATTGAGATTAATGACTGTTATTGACAAGCACTGACACTGCTCATTGATCTTGAAGTCGTGACACTAATAAGGCAGATTAAAGCAACAATTGAGTGACGTGAACATGGGCGTGTGATCATCTTGTCAAGCCGTGAAGTATCGGAGCTGGATGCCAATTGATATAAAGTTTGTAACATCGCAGATGAAATGCAAGGCCTAGTAGGTTTCATCATAGTTTAATGATATTTTTGCTATCAAATTGATGGGTTTTCTCTTTAGGTGTAGGATGTTACACACAACACTGAAGAAAACAAATGGGAGGTCAAAATATTTAAACTTAAGGTATATTTCTGGGGCGTCTTGCATAATAATAATAATAATGAAAGAATGCAGTCATGTCAATGAAGAACAGCACAAAAGCTAGGAAGCAATTAGTACTTGCATTCTTAATCTTTAATTGATATTTTGTTTGTGGTATTGTTTACTCCCTTGCATCTGTTCATTTGAAAATAAGACCATCCGATTCTTCCCCAATCATTACTAACACAGCGTGGTGATGATGCGAACACACACAGGTCTTCAGAGGACTTCAAAGTTTCAAAATACGACATGCACCCCATTCTAAAAGAGAGTTACAAAGTGGCGTAGACTTTCCAGACTATTGGCGGATGACTGGTTATCAAAAAGCAATGAACTTCATTAAATCATTTCCTTAGATAATTTGCAGTCTATTGTCATCCATTGCTCTAATTACTGCGGAAAAGGTACCCTACAATTGGAGATTATACTTTGACGGTGTAGTATTACCTGGACGTGCTGAATGGACCGATAATACATAGTATCCTGCTAGCCTGACGTTAAACACACCCATCAAGAGTTACGAATGTGGGTTTTAGGAATGTTCTATAAAGACAAAGTGGAGCTCAGGCAACCGTAATGTGAAAGAAAATCATTCTTGTTTGTGAATATCCCACAGACATTATAAGCAACGTAAAGACTTTCGAGGGAATGAAGGGTAAAGGACTAACTTGGCCTCATGAACGTTGTGTAAATCTCTTGTTTGATACACATAATCTACATTCAAAGATGATTTGTTATTTGACCGATGAAGTTTGTTTGAAGTCTACTTTAAAACCTGTTTCTTCCTTTGAGCTGTCTGCTTTTATAGGTACTACTCGTTCAGAGGGAAATAATTTAGGTTTATTCCCCGGGCCCTTGTAATGACTCTAAATTAATCAAATATGAACGAGGTGAAAATCGGGGCAAGGAATGTAGGCGTGATATAAGAGAATTCTTAATTACCAAAAAACAAGGCAGTTACGATAAGACTAGAAGACAAAATTAATTGATAAATGCTGCAATTAATTTCATGATTCTGCAGTGCCTATTACGGCCGCTTTGTTGACGTTTTCAGGAAAATCAAAATCTCACCTAGTGGTTTTATATTCTTCAAAGCATTTGATGATCAAAAGATTAATACAAATCATCTAGAAACTTAATCGTGTCTACAAGTCCATATCTTATACAGATGAAAAGTCCTAAAGCACGCTGGCGACACATGTAATTTAGATATCCAGTTTGTTTCTGTTTTTAATCGACCGCTGTACAGATAAGTTTCTGATTAAAGCTGATCATATCAACAAATTCCACATGGAACAGGTTGGAAATTTGTCACAGCATCATCATCAACATCACTATGGGCAAAATTTACTGCGCAAAATTTCAAAGCACTTCCTTATAGATGTTCAAGTTTAACAAGAAGTGCTTACCATAAAGAGCAATGCTTTTTAATAAGCCAATCGTTTTCACCTGCCATAAACAAAATAGTCTCACCTCACATTACTTTAAAACTATAAGTTTTTTTTCACTTGTCTCTAAATACTATACGGACAAAAACTGGATTTTGTACAATGACAATCAACAATACCCTTATTTTTAGTTATACTGTTTGCTCGTGTGTTTGTCAAAATCAATTAATTCAATTAATATCAATCTAATCCGATTAAATTAATTTAATTCAGATATTTTCGTTTCATTTTTATGCAAATTTATGGTACACACCCTTAACATGTGCTGGTGGAAGCACGCGGTACACCCGTGTCTATTCACCCTGTGTGTTGTATATACCAATTATTGTTTTTGCATTCTTAGTAGGTCCATGGTTTTTGTCTATTTTGGGGTTGCTTCATAGAAAATGTTATTTAATAGGCGATTAATAATATGTAATAAATTTACAAGCGATGGTTTAATTTTGTTGGAGAGTATATTATCACACGCATATACAGGTATTGATGTAAACTTCCATAGTTTGATTGTCTCATCCACAATCTTATGGTGAAATACACCTCTAAATGTTAAACCGATGTGTTAAACTTTGAAACAATTTGGCGGCAAAAGAGAGATAGGAACATGATGAGACCAAGTGATCCAACAGAAAATGGAATCAACGAAACAGGGTTTACAGTACACTATACAGAATTGTATTCTATAAGTATTCTTTTATTTGAATTTGGACGCCATTATAAATGTTATGTAGGCCTATGCATTTTATGTGCTTTTTTCCCTTCAAAATTCACGTTCACGATCAATAACAAAAACACAATGCTTTTTTAAAAATAACTTTAAATTTGTATCAACTTTTAAAATAAAAGTAAAACGTCTTAATCTATACTTCAGGAGCGTGTTTTTAGCAGAAAATCATAATTCCTGCAAATAAACGCTGCATAAATTACGTTAAGTTTCTGCCGACAGAGAATAATTATTTCTCCATCACACTGTACGTGACCGACTGTGCTATTTCCTCTGCTCGCTGTCTGGGAGCTGTATGTGGGGGAAAAGGGGATGGGGTCGATGACCTGTACACAACGCATGCTCATGCATACATTACAAGAATTAAATTTGGGGAAATAAAATGTAGTTCCGTAGCTATGGAAACGTATTTGTAAGTAAACATTTGTCTGGACCCGCTTGAAAGAGTTGCGAGTTGAATAATGCATAACATATTGAGATACTTCCGGTTAAAGTGTTTGCATTCACTACTGAGCAGTGAAACAGAATCAAGTGAGGAGGAAGGAGTATTTTACCAGGTTAAGTTATGCAGAACATATAGAAGGCAATATAGATGAACCTTCATATTGTTCAAGGCATTTAATAATTCTCCTACATAAATGCTTCTCAGAGAAAAATAAATGAAGTTGCAAGTTCAAAAAAGCAAAGATCCATGTTGAGATCATCGCAATGTCCTCAAAATTAACTCGCATTAACATAGGCTCATTTCTTTATGTCAGTCATATTACAGTTGAAAGGTCCATGGCTTTAAAACCACCTAGGCCTAGTCGACACTCTTATTAAAACACTGCTACAGTTCTCATTTCATTTTCAAGTTATACATCTGTTTTTTCTATGACATCATTTAGAAGACTGCACTTTGCGAAACTACCATTAGCTTGATATACGTGCTTGGAGATCATCCTACCTATCAAGGTATTTTAAGACACGAATACTCACAGGAAGTCATACATCTTCATTCATTGACTACCCTCTTTTTTCTTTTTTCTTCTACGTCAAAAGGCGCACGCAAACATGACGGACACTGACATTTTGTCGGTAAGTGATTAATTAAACTTCAAAGCGATCTTTTATTCTGTTGTGAGTAACGTTTCCATATGCCGAACAGGTAGTCACTTATTACTCTTTCTGTAAAAAGGGGATAAGTTTCAAGTACTATTGTAACGTCCTGGATAAAACATGGAGGGGAGAATTTAAAACAAGATCTACAATCTCATTATTATGAGAGCCAATGTAGCAGGAATCGAGATGTCCTCATTTAAATTGGATGTGACTTCCAACAATGATTAAAAAAGGTTATTTCGTTACAAATGTTATTCTTGAAAGGAATTAAACATAGATTTTTCAAGTTTTACCATTTTAGTCAGATAATGGATGTTGTTATTTGAAAAATACGATTCAAAGATTAACGCCAACCCTTAAAATAAAAACATGGTACCGTTATTTTTTTAAATACCTTTCATAATGGGCATCGAGATGACACAATAGCTCTTGTGTCAGATCCCCCCCCCCCCCACCCGCACTTTAAAACTACTCTAGCGACACCCCTGTATTGAATCATGATAAACTTTGAAATTGTGAAGTTTTAAGTTTGGACTGTATTTACTCCATGGTTACAAAACAATACAAGTAATCTTGTTCTCTGTATCGGCATGGATACCTGCAATTTCTGAGGAGGCGTATGCATGGTATACAGGTGGAAAAGTCTGCTTTATTACCCCTGGTTATTAGCGATACTTATACGCATCACCGCCGGATCACCGCCAAGTTCACCGTCCGCAATGCTTGGTCTCCGGGGTGATCTAATGCAAAGTGATCGCTTCCTCCTGTGGCCTCAACCCCTCCCCAACCCACCCCGGGCCCCTCCCCCTCCATTTGTATCAGTCCTCCTTGCACTTTACTTTCGAAGTTTCAAGGTCATGGACGTGCCTTTTGGGAAGCAAGATGAGTTAGGAAAACATCCGTTGCGCAAGTAAAGCCATGATGGAATCATATGTGATTCTAAAAGTAATAACTGTTGCAGGACATCGAGGGCAAGGAAGGTAAACATCCCGATGGAGTTATAACCGTCCCATCATATTAATGTATGCGAGCAGTAATGATAACAGTGTTACCAAAATCCAAAACATTTACAGATTTCTTTGAAATGCTCTTAATTAAAAACGAGTGCAAAGTTGTGAACTCGAATGTGTAGCAAGTAAAGATAAACACTCATTTCAAAGCGCTTGTCAGTCATATTACTTAGCTCTCATTTTCCGCTAGCTTGGTAACTTCTGTATCAGATCTAAATATATTTTGATAATTTCAATGAAATGACGTCTGTTGTAAAGATAGATTATATTTTCATGTTATTTCTTGCGAAGCTTGCCA